AAATTTATTCTTGAGTTTCGGGAAGAATTCGCTAAAACTTAGTTTTATGTTTAATGCTGGTTCCATCCTACTTCTTGATCTGCCTTGACATGTTATCTGATGCCTGTATGACTTGGAATCCAGCATACTTGTACATCCTTGTTTTGTATTTTAATTAAGTAAAGAGTTTCTTCTTGCTATCCAGGAAGATATAATAATCATTTAATAATAATCATTTATTGTCTAACAGGTTCTACATCCATTTACAAGACAATCTGACAAGCATATGATACATCATTTAAATACAATGTAGCAAAATGTATAAACAATTTAAAGAGCTCACACTTGTACTCGCACCTTAGTGCCTGTGCGTGACATAATATCAATTGCCTAAACAAAAAATTTTGTTTTGAGAATGTTTGATAGCTGATTATAGGAGAGGTTGAAAATTTCAATATCACTACAACGGTCATTGAAAAGATACATAGCATTGTATTAGGGGGTTTTTATAAGTAAATTTGTAGATGGGGTAGGCAGGTGGAAAATCGGCGAACTGCGGACCGATCTTTGAGGAACATGGAGAGGTAATTGCATTAAGAGCTCCGAGCAGTCAATCCTGGATAGAACAATTTTGCAGAGGAAGATAACCGCTAGATAGTTTCTTCGCCGTTTTAAAAACGGGAGTTCAAATCTTTCCAAAAGTAATGACTGTTCAGTACCCCGCGCCGGAAACACTCCGTCAGTTTTAAATGCCAAGAATTTAACGAACTTTCTGTGTATACCCTCCAATTGGTCTATATATTTAGCGTGAATGGGCAACCAGATTGTCGCACAGTACTCAAGCTTGGATCTGACATAGCTAAAAAACAATGCTTTGAGAGTCTGAACGTTCCGAAACTCTTTAGCGTTACGAAATATAAAGTCCATCTATCTTGTTGCATCTTTGCAAATGGTTTCAATATGAGAGGCAAAGGACAGTTTAGTGTCGTATAAAATGCAAAGGTCTTTGAAAGAGGTGCATCTGGTAATTGGAGTAGTTTCCAGGCTGTAGTTAAAAACTATTGGACGCTGTCTGTTGGATTTAGGATTTATGCCTAACTAAGGCACTCTTCGAGTCGGAGAATATCAATGTTCTGCTTGCTACAGAGCTTGACCAACTGCGTATACTTCTGCTGAACATATAGACAAATCGAGGTTAATGCAACGGGAGGAAAAATTCCTCTTCTTTAAGCAAATTGGCTGGAGAGTCGGACTATCGGACTATCGGACCACGAATTTATGAAAAATATCGATATGATTATCAGTGGTTCTAGACTCTATCCTAGAGCCACGCACCGCGTAAAAAGTCGAGTGTATCGCCTTCGAATAGAGGAAGTTTTCAGCGAGCCGATCTGAGTTACCGTTCTCTGCGCCTCGTTATACCGGCCTTTATAAATTTTAATACGCCTTTGTTCGTCGTTCCGAACGGAGATCCGATTAAAATTCAAATTCACATTATTCTCCGTGTCGGCCAAACTGTAAAAGTAATTTAATGGCGGCCAGTCGTTTCTTCCGGCAAATCCGAATTTTACTTTTTTCCCGATCGTTTCCGCGTGAGTTTATTGTTCCCGATACAAACGAAAAGAAAATTCCGGTCTGTAGCAGTGGTGTCGTTTCGTAATAAAAATCGCCTCCGCCGCGTATTTTATTTTGCGGTCGTCAGCAAAAATAAATAAAACACTCTAGGTGCTACCGGGTCCGATCTAATTTAGGTCAACTATTAAGCATAATTTGGGTTCGTGTCCGGACTGCTTTGTAATTATTGAGTACAGTTAAAGTGGCCCGCACCTGCGTTAGCGCATACTCTAATCATCTCTATGATTGGATTTTATTTAGGTACAAATTTGGCAAATAATAACCGCCATAAAAAGTAATTAACATACCCATATTAAACAATTATGGATTACTTAGCTTATCTGGCTCTAAAATTATTTATTAAAATGAATTGAACAGTAAGTTTTACTCAATTAGGAATCTAAAGCTTCTGAGCTTAAATGCGATTTATTGAATTAAAATATGCTCCTACTATGCAACAATCTTACATCTCAGTTAATCAAATCCATAACTATTAAATTTGAAGTTTACAACTAGCGTTTATATGCATTGCATTTTTTCATTCTCACTGAAATTTTGAATTTGAAATCCATTCTATTCTAACCAATAATTCTAAATTCCATGTACTCAACGAAAAAGCGGTGTGCAAATATTTGTCATAATTTTATTTATTTTTAATATTATATTACATTTTATGTTAAGAATTTCAATATTATTATTAACAGAGATTCAAAACTGGAACGTAATTTGAACTACCTGAATCTTGTTTTTTTTTTTAATTTTATTTGATAATTAATTTTATTATTGACAACGAAAAATTTAAATTAATAATTTAATTTAATAATAATTTTATAATGGCACAATTTGGAATTTGTTAAGGTTCTATGCAGACGTTTCGGACCTGCATTAGACCATATTTATAAAGAAAGAAGAAAGAATAAAGAATTTATAAATATATTTTAAACTTTGTGTATCAATTTACAACTAAGTATATTAATTAAATAAATAATCTTTTTAGAATGTAATTATTGTACTATTTAGTAAAAGTATCTAAAAAATATGTTATATCACACATACACCATTTTTGGAACAATTATTTTTTGAAGCAATCCGTTTTTAGCGATCGGACCCGGTACGACGCGTCTATGCACCTAGTTGCGACATGCGTCCGCGGTTTTACAGTTACCGCGCCCGTTTCTCTCGATTTAAACTCGCGCCGGTTTCGTCGCCTAATAACAATCATTTTCTCGACCGTTTTACAATAAAATAATCATAATCCATCTGTTTAAATCGAATATACCGTACGAAGAACGAGGCTGCTTGCCGGAAGCCGGTTGCAACGACGGTAGTCCGATCGTACGTTGGTGACTCGAAGGTCGAACCGAAGAGCCGGTTGCTGATTTTGGTGGTGTCGTCACGGGTATTCCGTGGGTGATGCGACGCGCGTCGTACCGATAGTGATATGGGACGCGAACCGTTTAACATGTGGTGCGATGCTCAAGTGGGTGCAGAGACAGGGTTTTTTGGTGCCGAGCAAACGGGACGGGGTCGTGGCCAGAATTGAGGTAGGGGGGAGGGGGATAGAATTTTGAAAACATTTTGAAAATGTTTCTTTTTTAATTGTTCCGACCATTTTTATCAGGTTTCAATTAAATGATTTTAGTTTGCTAGAGCAGGAGTTGCAAATGCTATATTATGCAACAAGTTTGATAAACGACACATATTTGTTTGTTTTGACATTAGCGCAGCGACTATTGAATAAATGAGTGTTTGAAGAAGCTTATAAACGTTGCGTACTATACTCTTTCTACCATCATTAGTTTTTGGTGATATTTTTTCAAAACAGCATGAATACTGATTGGCGTGCGCACCAGAACTGACGAACGCCAAAACACCAGTATTTAAAATCTAAAAATACCGCCCAAAGTGACTTGCGACGAAGCTGAAGTCTTATATGCTGACACTGCGCACACGCAGTGTATGGTATGGCAGTGGAGAAGTACTTAGGGAATAAAAAGAAAACGACTTGACTATACTAATTCTGAAATAACGAGTTAAGCGCCAAAGATAAAAAAGGCGCTTAATACAGTCAAATGAATTACTAATAGTTTAGTAAAGGAAAGTAAAGTACTTATTTCATACATAATGTTCTCGAAAGTCTGCAATAACAGTACATTTATACTTTTAAAATTTAAATTATCTATTTAACAGGCTGTTTTCTCAAAAATACGTTATTGTTATTGCAAATTAAAAAATGTGTGTATGTTAGGTATTTGCCATCAATCAATAAAGAGCAAATATGAAATCAAATTAAGTTAACCTATAACAAAGGAACAAATAAGAATTAAAATGTGTGCAATTTAAGTTATGATTTTGAGAGAAGTGTTAAAAACTCTTTAAAAAGATATTAGCAGGATTATTGAACAACTTTTTACTTGGTCGTATTTTTTGAGTAATCATTTTATCTTTATTTATTATTTCAAGTATCTTAACATGATTTCGAATAATTGACAAAAGGTGTTTTTGAACGTATTATTTTTAACAAAAGTGCGAATTTATCAAATTTCTAATTTCCAAAAACGTATATTTATGTAAGCAAGGTATTTTATATTTTGGGCTCAATATTCAACACTCATTAAAACATTTTTTTAATTGCAACAACTAAAAAAGATATATGTAATACTTTTCTACATTGCGCCACCCTGTATATTCGAGACACCGTTTACTGCGGAGAAAATGGCTCACCCTGAACGTTGGCGAGGCACGTCAGGCATTCCTCATAGCTTCAGACACTTAACGTGCCAGCTCGTTTAGCATATGGCGCGGAGTTCGTTTCGTCGTTTTATAAGCCAATTGGCATTTCGAATTCTTGCGTTCTCGTGTATAATCCAGTGGTAAACGTAAAACCGCGATACGCTATGTGTTACATCCTGTTTTGCGTTCTGCGCCGATATCTCTATTAAAGTTACGACTCGTCGCACTACGTTGATGGATACGGTTGCGATTTCCTGGAGGCTTTAATTTCTTGTCGTTCCAAGAGGCGTTATAGTCGCCCCGCAATTATAACGGAGTAATAAAACATTGACGGTTTAACACTCGGATGTGTTTTCGCTTATCCCCAAGTTCTCGAAAATTGCCGCACATTTTTTGATTTCTTTATTTACGGAATCCATTTATGAAGCAAAATAGACAAAAAAACTCAACAAAATAAATAAATGCACTAACTAACTATACCAACCCACGTCTATAGGCAACTAGCCTCAATAAATATACTAAACTCTTTCAGCTGGTTCACTGTAAAAATGGTGTGGTGGGAATGTAAACACTTAGCAAATTAATTAAAAATGCAGAAAATGCCCGCAAATTGTTAAGAATTAATTGCAAGAGGCCATGACTAATTTTTAACAAATAAAACTTTGTTGTTGCAGGGTTCCGATCCGAGAGTGGCGACATGCAGGGGGAAATTGCAGAACAGACGTTCGAAACTGAACCAGGAGATCAACAAGGAGCTGAGACTGAGAGCGGGCGCTGAGAATTTGTTCAAAGCCACGACCAACCGCAAGTTAAGGGAAACCGTTGCCGTTGAACTGAGCTTCGTCAACTCGAACTTACAGCTGCTTAAAGAGCAGCTCGCCGAGCTCAATTCATCGGTGGAATTGTATCAAAACGACAGGTATGCGCTACGTTAAGAGAGGTAGTATTGTTTACGCTGTCGCTTAGCAACGCCCGCCTCGCTTCGTTGTGAACCACGTGATCTTTGCACAGCGTCGGGCACCTAACTGTACCTGTACCATTGTGTTACTTGATAAGTGTCTAATTTTATTTTTAAACTCCTTCTGAGACAATAAAGATTCACATAAAAAACACACTGATGTCCACAGTTACTATACCCGTAATAGAAAACAGTCATTAAAACTAAAATTCAATCATATGTTTTATAAATGGTCCCCAATTTGCTTTCTCAAAGCCTAAAAAATGTATCAACAAAGCAATTTAAAAAACACTTCAACAGGCTTCTGTCGGACAATGCTTTCTACAGGCTGAAAGAATTTGAAAAATATTTTAGAGAATTCAAATGACCTATATTTTTTCAAAATTAATGCTTTTGTTTTTTCTGCCAAAGTGTTGTTGGTTATACCACCATATATATGGCAAGTATAGAGTAATGTGTTATTAAAAATTTCAACATTCTGTAACAGTTCATTATGCTTTCTACACACTCTGTTTAGTTTTTAAGTTGATAATATATTATGCAACAATTGCGGTAAACGGTATTTGACTCACGAGTTTATTTGACACGAGCGGAGCGTGTTGCATACTATACTTTTTCTACGACTTTTAGTTTTTGCTTACATTTCCGCAAAACACGAGTAAATCACTGACATGACTGTCAGAATTGACAAACGTTAAAATTCAAAGCGTGGGAAATACTCCGAAAACATCCGATTGCTCCCAAACCCGTGCGGCAAAATGCCGGAAATGTCCGAAGTGGCTCGGATTCGTGGAAAACGAAACTGATATGGTAAAGTGACGCTTCCCGCACGATAGATCGGTGCGTAATTAGGTATTTTACAGACGGGAATTGGAAAAAGTCATTATAACCGTGTGGATCTAAAATACGAGATACGAGTTTCCAAAGTTTTATTTCTATTTTTTTTTTGTTTTTTGTAATCTAAATAATACTGATTTCTGAGCGAAAATAATGGTACCTGAGCATTGTCGTCAGAGAAGTATCCAATTGTTCTTAGTTTAGTTTTCTACCTGTCCTTTCTTACTCTGAAATGCTAGAAACTCTTTGTACCACAGAAAAAAAGAACTCTGCACTCTTTTTTATGTAAAAAAGGTCTTATAGAAGTCGTTTCTGAAATATCTTGTCTGAAATAATTCTAATTTACAATTAAGAGCTAACTACATTAAGAACTAATTCAAAGTTCTCATGTTAAAAAAACTTTCAGGTACGCCGTTGAGAAATTTATATAGAAAATTAGGCTCTGCGTATCTCGGATACTTTAAAGTGCTTAAGAAATTACTCTGGATACTTAAACAACACCATGCACCATCCCTGACTTAAGTTTGAGTAAGAGAGATTAAAAATTTATAGGAAGAGAGTTCATAAACGGTTACAAAACTTAACTGTTATCAAGTATACCTTTTTTAAAACTAAAGTAGAAAGAAGTAGCGACAAGTTTCAGTGAACGTCCGGCGTGACAGCTTCGACGGAAATATTCACGACGCGATCTAAAAAGCTCGAATTATTATTAAGGTAACGATACCGGTCGGGGGGAATCGCCCTGTGGCATGTTTGTTTTCGTAGTAAAAAAACCGGTAAACGTAGTAAAAAGAACCTTGGATTCCGGTGCCAGTCTCACGACAGCCGAGGCGTTAAAAACAGTTCCTAGAATTATCGGAAAACGAGACGACGCGATCGGCCAGATGCGGGCCGCCTAGAACATTCGGAGGCCGGAAGACCACAATGAGGAAGAAGGGTTAAAACCGAGATATACACTGTCAAATGTCATTAAGGTGAATATATTCAATGGATATGGTTCGCCGATCATCTGATGGCCATAAATATTGAGACAAACGAACCTATTAAGACTAATGAAACAGGTTCCATATCTAAGTTTGTAGACCAACCTCTAGTTGAATATGAATATGTGTCTTAATTATTGAGCTTGCACCATTGCTTGTTTTGAGAAACTTTTCGTAATGAATCTGGATTTGTAAATACGATTTGTTTATACATGCTTTAAATATGGAAATCCAACAATTAGATATAAAATTCGTTGACCCGTATACAAGGTTTGTCGAAAAATATGAATTTTAAGAGTGCTTTATTTCTGAAAATATCTACAATTGTTATTAACAAAATTGGTTCTTAATTGAAATATCCCATATTATCCATCTGATATTTTTATAAATTTATTTGCATTAGAATTGAGAATTTACATCGGCCTTGTCAGAATATTGATCATTTGAACAGAACATAAGCATGACTTTGAACTCATTGAAAATGAGTAATTAGTAATGCGGGATTTTTACTAAAGATCCGTAAAACGCTTAGAAAGAGGTTGTGGATATATTGAAGCTTTAGTTAATTGAAACAAAATACAAGTCATTATTAATTAAATTGTTTAACTTTTCATTTGCAAAATAAAATATTACAATATATATGCTTCAACTATTCAATTGTCACAGAACCTAGTAATAATATTGGATGTCTGAAAATACTTTATTATGAGTACGAATTGTAGATATTTGTGGTTACTATACTCTTTCGTAAAATTCAGATTTTTCGTCAAACCTTGGTTACCCCTTAATAAATTTTATATTTGATGGTGTTGTTTCAAGTTTTTGGGCCAGTTTATAGAGAACAAATTTTTGTTTGATAAAACCAAAAATACAAAAAAACGTTACTTGTTATTAAATTAAAGACTATCGTCCCCGTCGACATTAATTGATATACTCTGAAAATGAACCTATGTGCGAAAAAGAATTCATTTAATTTTTTGTTTTACAATCATCCAACAACAACATCCTTAGGACATGTTAGATTTCTTCAGTCAAATATCTTATCTCAAATGAAATATCTATTTTTGACATATTATTTTAGTTCGTTATGTATCAAGAACCAAACATTAAATTAAGAACGACTTAATAAATTAAGATCTGATCTTTTTAACCTTTAAGAAAATTTTTGCTTGTTGCTATTGATAAATATTGTCTCATTGCTTAAAAAGCAGCTCACCAATATTTATAACATTATCTCTTTATCATCGTTTATCTCAAAAAAACGATTGTTAAGTAAACTTCGTTGACTTCTGACGTCATAGAGTTTGCGGCCTCGAATATTCTCGACGGCCGGAACACCTCTGTTCGTTCAGAACTGGCAATTATATGACGATTATATCTCGCGCATTAAGCCCCCGGCGACGACCAACCTGACCCACATTGGACCGCGGGCTTGCGGTATTTCTCGATATACTTCGATCGTTCTCTGCTCACACGATATCATCAACATTAATTTTCATATTTTAACGCGCCGACAAGCTTTACCGGTTAGCGATTTTATTTTGTTTACGTTTAAACACGGTTTTAGGCGAGAAAGCTGAAATAATCGTCGAGGACAATTTACAACTCTTGCCCCCCACTGCCTGGTCTGCTTTTATAGCAGTAACCCGTGGTTTTGCTAAGCGCCATTTAATCGTTATTATTATAGTGTTTCATTATAGGTTTTATATAATTTTGATTTAATATTATTAATATAACCTCGAATATAACTATAACAAAAGAAGTGAACTGTGCTTTTTCCTAAACCATATTTAAAGTAAACTATGATGAGAAAATAAGCGATAGAAAATGAAGATTAAAAGTTAATGCATACGAAATTTTGTTACAGTGCCAACGCCGTGATGCCTATGATCCCACTTGGTCTCAAAGAGACCAAAGAGATCGATTTCAGGGATCCGTTCAAGGATTTCATCCTTGAGCACTACAGCGAGGATGCGGCCAAGTATGAAGACGCCATCGCTGACTTCATGGACACGAGACAAGCGATTCGTACCCCATTAAGAGACCAGACCGGCATAGGTACCATAATCGCTCTACAGCTTTAAACTTCCGCTATAACGCCACTTTTAGGTCTGCTCTTTAGGTACTACAACCAGCTCTATTTCGTTGAGAGGCGGTTCTTTCCGCCCGACAGATCTTTGGGAATATACTTCGAGTGGTTCGACTCGCTGACGGGTGTCCCGTCTTGTCAAAGGACCGTGGCGTTTGAAAAGGCCTGCGTGCTGTTTAATATGGGTGCGATCTACACCCAAATCGGCGCCAAACAGGACAGGTCCACAGCCAAAGGTTTGGACGCCGCCGTCGACAACTTCCTAAGGGCGGCCGGTACTTTCAGGTACATCCACGAGAATTTCACCAATGCCCCGTCTATGGATTTGGGTCCGGAGATGCTCGAGATGTTCGTACAGCTCATGCTGGTACATACTGTCACCGTTAGGTGCCAATGTTGTTGATTCTATCCTACTTCCATACAGGCCCAAGCTAGGGAATGCCTCCTGGAGAAGCTCCAACTCCAATCGGAGGACAAACGTCCGGTAGACATCTGCCTCGACCTTGCCCAGGAAGCGGCCGAACTTGCCGAATGTTATGCCCACGTCCACGAAATGATTTCTCACGAGTGCGTTCATGACTACGTACCCTACAGCTGGGTGTCTCTGACCCAGGTCAAAAGGGAGTACTACACGGCTCTGGGTCACTGTCTGGTCGCTGCTGGTGTGCTGCACAAAGAAGCGGCCCGAATGTCTTCGGCCACGAAGGAAACGTTGCAATTTCTCCACGTACAGAGCGAGTCCACCCAACTGGACATCAGGAGTCCCAAGGACGAAACCGAACGCAGGCTTCTAGGTGAATAAGGTGTTAATTTGTAGGAAACATGATATTAATGTTTTCGTTCAGGGAGAGCTCACCTAAGGGAAGCTCTCGTGCTCCAAGAGGAGTGCCAGAGGCAGCACAGGATGTGCCGCGAGCTTAAGAGCAAGCACGCCCTCGCGGCTGTTCTGCGGAACGCCCACAAGAGGACGCTGCAGGCCTACACTGCAACCGAGACCGAGGACGACTTTAGCGACATGCTGGACCCGCCCAGAGTTCAACGTAGGTTAGAGTTTGGGTTAAAAGGGTATGGTGCCATAATTTGTAATCTGTTTCAGCCGCCACTAAGTTCCAACTATCGCTGACGCCGCCGGACTTTGCTCAGTACAGGGTGGTCGATTTGTTTCGCAGCCTAGGCCCGATCGCCATATTTTCGGCCAAACGTCACTGGACTGCCCCCCGACTGATTCAGCTGCACAGGGGGCGGGGCAACGACGGGTTTGGCTTTTCGGTGAGGGGAGACGCTCCGGTAATCATCGCCATAGTCGAGTCCGGGTCGCTGGCAGAGGTAGGTGGAGGATTATTAACATCCTAAGCTGTTTCATTCGTGGTCTGAACAGATATGTATATTAGTTAGAACCTTGTAAGTTTCACGGCATCGGAAGGGGAGAGGGTTTGTTTATGAGGAGTTTTAGCCATTTGGCCTATGACGTGCTGATGTGCGATTGTTTTTAGTTCGGGGGAGTGAAGGAAGGCGATTTTATAGTCAGCATAGGGGACAAGGACGTGAAGTGGGCCTCCCACGACGAAGCAGTCGTGCTGATTAAATCAGCGGCTGATTCGCTGAGCTTGAAACTTGTAACGCCAATGGATAGAAATTATTTGAAGGTGAGTGGCGGAAAGATTTTCACAATTTTTAGGTTGTTACTTCTTTTCAGTTTGGGAAGTAACAGAGTATGATATTTCCTACTAAAAAGTTCTTACAACAGACCTCGAGTATTTTTAATTTTTCCCATTTTATTTTTTAAAAATCTGTGAAAACAACATACATTTTGGTTAATTAATAATTGGTTTAATTCAAGGCAGACCAGTAAAAAATAGAGATGCTCTATATAAAGTGATATGCATTTTTTGTGACTTATTTCAGGGTACCAAGTCGAACCAAAGCAAGGGTTCCGTATCGACTCACAGCAGTTCCAGCGGCGTATCGAGCGGGATGTCAAGTCCTTCGGGTTCCATGGCCCAGCACAACACCAACAACATCAACAGCAAAAGATCCAACTGGAACCCTTTCAGGAGGCACCATTCGGCTTCTAGGGAGGGCAAGGATTTTTTCGAAAACGTCATCCTCAGATAGACTCGTTCGGTATAGCGTTTACGATGAGACATTCCGTTGAGAGTTTCGTTTTTGTTTTTTTTAAGGGTGTTTTCTGCCTCTCCCTTAGGCAAGGGAGGTCCAAACGTACTGCTATTTATACGAAACAGTTAATGAATTATTTATCCAAAAATAGTGTTTAGTGTTAAAAATTGCGGCCCTTGAGGGATCGGCGCGTTATCGTCATTTTTTTAATTTATTGGAAAATACCGTTTATAGTGCTTTTTCTATCTTTTGTTTCCTTTATTATATCCGTTGTTATAATTTTGTTGTGTACAGTAAATTAAATTTATATTACCACAACCTTTGTAGTTTTACTATCTATTGAAAATTTAAATTTTTCTTTTTTTGCAAGAAACCATCGAAGTTTTTGTTCCTTTCCTTAACTGTCACAAAAACTAATTTTTATAATTTTAGGTGAGTATTTTTAAATTATTTTTATTAAATTTATTCAAAATATGAATATGGACATTGGAAAATAGCAAAGTGTTGGTCCTTGCTTTTGATAAAAAATTTCAACTTATTGATTAGAAGAAAGAAGAAGAAAATAAGAAAGTCAACCATAACGCGTCTATTTGCTGTAATTTATATTCATCTAATTCATTGAAAATCATTTTTTTCGTGATTTTTTATGTTTATGCTCGTTAAATAACGGTAGAATACTACATCTAGCGGCTCATCTAACGACTCACAAAAAAAACAGTCAAATCGTAATTTAAAAAATACTAGAAAATTGGCCCAAAAAAAAAACAAATTTAAATAAAATAACTACAAAAAAACAACACCAAAATCTTCATCGCCGGCTATGACGAGCTTTGATCAATTCCGACGCGTCTTCAAGGAACAGTACCAATCCTTGATGAACCTATCGTACTGTGGGTCGCATTGCGGTACTGCGGGATGAATGAATCGAGCTTCCATGGATCGGAAGCCGTCGGTATTCTCTAGATCAATGATATATTGAGCTGCTTGGTATAGAGTTTCGATATCCGCTGGGTCCGAAAAGGAATTGGGGTTAATCACGGGGGTCTTGGACTTCAAACGCACGTTGCACGTTGGATTTTGCACGTAACAGACTCAGGTTGATCAGTATGTCGTGCAGTGGGTCTGTGGAGAATCCTGAAACTGATTCGTTGTCCAACCTGCGAGCAGTCGCGTTCAGAGCAATCCCTAGACACCTCTTCGCTTACTTATAAACAAATTGCAATCCAGCTCCAGTTGGTGCCGGTACAGACACAATAAACTCAACGTCACGTCGATCATCTTTCTGGTTAGCGATGTTTTGGAAGCTGACAAGTTCCGAAGCACAACCAGTTAAAGATCTTAGGTTATCGAGAGCCTTAGCTGATCCTCCAAAGTAACGTTGTAGAACGTTCGACTAGTTCTGAAGAAAATTCCGAAATAGCCGACCTGATACTGCAGACCTTCCCTGACAGGTAATTCCCGCAGGAAGGGGATATCCAACTACTCCAAGTGGCCACGAGGACCAATTTCCGACCGCATCAAGAGCTGCGGGGTGTTGATGGCACCGGCAGCGCAAATAATCTCATTCCTCGCGCTCCTTCCTCTAGCAAATTCCACACCCTTAGCTGTCTGGGTATCGCCGTCGATGACGATCTTGGTGGCATAACTTTTGTAAATAAATTCCAAGTTGGGCCTGTCGATAGTGTTCAGGTACGCTCTCGATGCGCTAGATCTCTGGTTGCGCTTCAGGTGGTACTGGCGACGAGCTATGCTTATCTGCTCGGCTCCATTGTAGTCTAAGACGCGCTGCTGGCCTAGCTCTTCGAACGCTTGGAAAACTATTGATTCCTACGGTGAGGTTAAACATTAAATCCATGACACCAAATGTTCAACTTACCAATCCGGGAGTTTCGGACGTTTCGTTGACGAAAATGAGACCTTCGTTGCCACGGTACTGCTCGTCTCTATCCGCAAAAACCGCACTCTCTGACAATTTAAAATAAGGCAGCCCTATAGTTGTGGTACCACCTTTGACTTTACCGCTTGGATACAAGCATTGCTTGTTCACCATACCTGATGCGACAAAGCCGATTTAGTAGGAGCGGTTTTTGAAACGCTGACCACCCTTGGCATACGTTGGTCTGAGGAGTGGTGTTGTAAGCCCAGTTCAAGTCTGAATTGTAGGTAAACGTGCTCAGTCCAATGATGTCTTTGAAGTAATTATCAGTGTTTCCTGCTTCTATTACCAGTATTTTCCAGGTGCTCACTTAGGATAGTCTTTTGGCGAGAACCGTCCCTGAGGCTCCAGCAGCCACTATGATGAAATCATATTCTCCGAAATCTGAAAGAGGCGTTGTGTTTGGTTTGAAGTAATTAAGTCGCAAGGCGCAAGTATGATTTTAAAAGCTGAAATATATTTCAGAGAGAAACAATTCAAAACAGTTGCAATTCAGAATATTTTTAAAATATTTATAGCGTATCTCATAATGTTCGAATGTCATGGCGGTATATTAGAAAATGTCGACCTAAAAATGGGGTTAGATGAAAAAATATCGAAAAAGTTATTTATTAAGCGCATATTAAGAGCGATATATTATATTTAAAGATAAATCAACGACGTAATACCACAATTAATAGGGTTATTTAACTTTTTATGTTGCACACTTCTTTAATTTACGCAATCGAAATATACAAATTCCCGACTTTTCTTACTAAAATTCTATCTATCAACTTGATTTCTTATAATATTAAAAAAAAACTTAATATTTATATTCAAAAAGAAGTACCCTTTGGGAAGAATGTAAAATTTGTTAGCTTCCAATTTAATTGCATATCGTTCGATCATTTTTTTGATGTTTCGTTTTTTTTTGCTAGAGAAAACGTTGTTGCCGTGTAACTTGATTCTTAAGTGCAGAATAGAATTCAAGTATATACAATCAAACTTCAGACGATATAATTGTTTGCTTTTGTTATCGTCAAAACGAAAATACAATCTCGGATAAAAAGTGACCAAATGAACTCGATTTAGTTTGAAAAATGTGTCTTTCAATTGCCCTTGAAAAGGCAAATGAGAGGAACCCGCAGCAAAAAATAATATTTGTTATACATAAGGCATTGTTTGTCGCTGTCATCCAAATGGTAAAGAAAATAAAAAAAAACTCAAAGTAGAAGAAGATTTTCGATGTTGTGTTTGTGAAGATATTTTCTTCGTATACAGTTTTCTTTTTCCTTGTTTTCACAATTTCATAATTCACTGTAGGAGAACTGAATATTTGACTTATTTAGTTTGTTTTAGAAGATCCCACTTTTCATTCTAGGCTATGATTTCTTACAGTTGACCCTATCATCTGTTAAATTGTACAGTTTCCCGTTACTCTTTGGCAGTACCGAGGATCTAGCAGCTGCGATCGTGTCATTGACCAACACGGTCAGTTCTTCCAGATTTTCTTGGACCGCATTTTGACCCGCTAAATGCAACAAGATGACGATAAACCACGTAAGTGTTCGACGGCGATTGTTTAGGAAATAATTCCCAAACGTTTATTCTCTAAATTATGCATACATTTATATTAACACGCTATCGCACACACGAAAGCACTTAGATACAATGTTTTGAGTGTTTCGCACAAGAAAGAATTTGTTTATAAATTTTGAAAATATACGAGCAAACTTAGTTAAAAGTCAAAATAATAAAATTACGAATGATGAAGCTCAAAACCTTAAGTGTACTATATAAAAGGTTGGACAGAATGTATTACTAGCCAATATGCCGGAGGTTCAGATTTTTTTTTCATGACAATACATTGTACTAACTTACAATCTTTAACGGGGTAACCGGTATATTTTTGCATTCACTGATATGACCGTCAGAAATCACAAACATCAAATTTCAAGCCATACGGTAAAATTCCCGAAATTGCGGCAATATCCCGGAAATGTGTGGCTCGGATTCGTGTACACGAAACTCGCGTGGTAAAGTGACGCTTTCCTAAAACTAGATCGGCGTATAATTAGGTATTCTACAGAAGGGACTAAAAAAATCATTTACAGACTCTTGCATCACTTCACTGAAAAAATCACTCGCTTTGAGTTTAAAACTAAGTTTGCTTAGTTTATCCAAATAATAAATAATAAACGTATCGTTACTACACACATGTCTGGTAGGTAAACTTATTTCCCTCCAAAATGTTATTATTATTTTTTACTATTTTACCATTTTTTATTGTTTCCTGGCTTATGTTCATTTTTTCAAATATGGACTTGCTTCTCTTTTTAGTTACTCTGACCATTTTTATCCAATGTCGATGTTAAATTTGTTAAATTTTTTGTTATTTGTTATTAAAAAAAAAAATAATGAAATATTGAAGCAGTAAACATTTATTAATACAAAATTGATCCAATTTCATAACATTGGCAGCGCAGGTCACAGACCATAATCTTCCTTGATTATATCAGACGCTTTTTCCGCCAACATCACCGTGGCCGCGTGAGGGTGACCCGAAACGGCCGAAGGAATCACCCCCGCGTCGACAACCCTCAAATACTTCAACCCGTGAACAACGAGTCTCGGGTCCACCACCGAATCCACAGGCGAAGGACCCATACGAGTAGTACCAGTTGCATGCCATGCCTACAAATACATACTCGCAATCTCTATGAAGATAAAGAACACTATATAGCTACCGAGATGCTCAACACCTTAGCAGAACACAACCACCAATCCTTGGTGAACCTATTATACAGGCTATCGCAGGAAGGCACCCCGGGATGGTGGATACTGGCGTCGAATCCTTTCAGAGCTACGCTCTCATTCAACTGCAGCACGTACTGGACGGCCTTGTAGAAGGTTTCTAGGTCCGCCTCATCGGAGAAACCTCTAGGGTCGATTAATGGAAAATCTCTGGGGTTGTTAGATAATAATTTGACGGTACCTCTTGACTTAGGGTGCAACAGCAGTATCGACACGGAGATATCGTGGAGTGGAGATGTGTCGAATACTTCTGCTACCTCGTCTTTCAACCTATGAGCAACATGAATTCATGTCATGTTGGAAGTAAAAGCCCCCAGATCTTTACTACGTCGAGCTAGTCACTAGTTTAGTAAAACAAAAATAAACCAACTTACTTGAAGACGAATTGAACGCCAGCGGCAGACGGTGCCGGCACGCCTATTACGATCTCAGCGTCAGGCCTATCTCGAGTACCGTCGAGATTAACGAAATTAACCAGTTCGGAAGAACCGCCAGTCACCGGCCTCAGATTCTGCACGTAAAGCTGAAGCTGTTCCACCAGCGTTATGTTGTAGAACGTCTGATTAGTTCTGTGATAAATTCAAAACTTGTATCATTATGCTTCAAACCCATCGATCCACGTTACCTGAAAAACAAACCTATATAGCCCACGTGATCCTCTAAGTTCTGACCGACAGGTAAATCTCGAATCACTTCAATACCCAAGTCCTGCAGGCCGTTACTTGGACCGATACCCGACAGCATAAGGAGCTGAGGGGAGTTTATCACGCCAGCGGACAATATTACTTCCTTGGAGGCGTAGGCAACGTATCGTTTTCCGTGTTTGATGAATTCGACACCATAGGCTGCCCCGCAAGAAGAGTCTATCAATATCTGGGTCACGAAGCTGCCCAGGCTTACATTTAAATTGGTCCTGTTCTGGAAATCGTCGAGAAATGCTCTCGAAGAGCTAGAACGCTTGTTGCCTTTCAGGTTAAACTGACGCTTCGCCACGCCCAATTGATTCCGGCCGTTGTAATCCACACGGGTTTGGTTCAGCTCTTCGAAAGCTGCGAATATGACCGGTTCCTGAAACCTCCAAACTATTTTATGATATTGAGATAAAAATGATAAATACCAGCCCAGGGGTCTCCGATGTATTATCGACGTACATGTAGCCGTCATCTCCGTGAAAATCTTCCTCCCTATCTGGAAACACCGCCCTTTCAGACTTGATAAAGTAAGGCAACACTTCGTTGTACGACCAGCCGCTGTTTCCAAGCTCCGCCCACTCATCAAAGTCATCCGGATGACCTCTTGCGTAGACGCCACCATTGATGGTGCTGCAACCTCCCCTTACTTTTCCTCTGGGGTAGAGACACTGGTTATTGACCATGCCCAGACACGAATCCGCTTGCGGAGTAGTGTTGTAGCCCCAGTTCTTCTCAGAAAAGTAGGAAAACGATGCAAAGCCCAAGATGTCAGTAAAATCGTCGTCGGAACCGCCGGCTTCGAGGAGTAATACCGTCCATTCGGCTATTTCCGTCAATCTGTTAGCCACGACGGAACCGGCCGAGCCCGATCCTACCACGATGAAGTCGAAAGTTCCGAAATCTTCGAGAAAAAAAATCAAATAGACATGTGAAATTTCGCAGTAATGATAGGATTTTCGACCCCAGTATAAATACAGTACAGTACAGCTGAGGTTATGACGAACTAAATGAATTTTTCCGGAACGCTGAAACAGGGCACTCAAAAGGGGATAACGAAAATGTTCATCTGCCTCTTAAAGAAAGAAACCTGCCTAACGTGCACCTGCAAAACCCGTGGATCAATGTAACTTGGTTATATTAGCGGAAATTTTCAAAAAAAAAAAAAAAACTGGCAATCATAACTAACAAAACAGACTTTGCTGTCCGTATAAATCGCAATGAAGAGGTGTGTTTATTTTGTAATAATAAAAAAAGTAAATAACTTTTTACTGCACCAACGCTTTCATGTAATGAAAAGTGAAATTAAATAACTTCTATTTTGTTAATATTTCGATAGGTTTCAGCCTTAAAATATATTAAAATATTTGTAGATTTATGCGTTAAGATTTTTATCGTTTTCGTATTTCTTGTGATAAAAATCGACATATCTAAAATTTGAATTTTTCTTGAAGAAGCATAAACACAACATAACATACAATAAATGGTTAAAAAGCTGATATTGGCTAAAATTTCATCGAAATTTACTGGAAAGAGAGAAGTCTCGCTTTTTTCTTACCTTTGGGAGCTATTGTTCAACCAAAAAATGAGGTGCTAGCTTGATATCTGTAGATTTGATAAAGTTTGCGCTGCAATAAGTGTGAAAAAAGCTGATTTTGGATGAAATTTCAAAGAAATTTTCTAGAATGAGTGAAGCCTCACTCATTTCTTTTGTATTTCAGCAAAAATCATCCTTGAAGCTACTGTCTCACCCAAAAAATGAGGATTTAAGTTGATATGTGTTACTTTGACGAAGTTTTCATTACAAAAAGAATTTTCATTACTTCTCCGTGCATTTATTTTACTAATTAAACCATTTTATATGAAGACGGCTATCACCAATATGTACTTACTGTTTAATGTGGTATCGTTTACGTACGTCAGTTTTTCGTTATCCAGGGGTAAAGTGTAAGCCCTGGCGGCGCTGATGTTGCCACTTATCATAGCAACCAGGTCGGAGAAGTTATGCTGGGCGTCGTTCGTCCGAACGGCAACCAAAAAAACCACGAGCACGATCGGCGCCCTCATAATCGTCGACGCTTGTAGTGTGTGGAAGTGTGGCACTTTAAGCAAGCCCACGATAAGCGTATCGCAAACATTTAAAACGTTTCTCAGCATGAGTAGTCATAGTCGTTTCAAAAAAATGTTCCTAGGAGAGATTCGGTAAGTTTACTTCGTAACCTTTTGCTAAGATGTGGATGGCTTGGCAACAGCGCGTCGATACCTTTCTAATTTTAGTATTAGTAATAATAATAATAATATATTCTTTATTTGTCTAAAAAAGACAACATAATTTCATAAATTACACCACAAATCAATTTTGACAAATATAACCTACTCTCGATTATAATAACCGTTTACCAACCCCTTTCACCTTTATCCCTATATACTTTTATAATACGGTCACATTTTTTTAATTCGAAATCATCACGTGCATCTTAGGACTTCACTCGCCGTAAGTGAAAAAAAAATGGACATGTTTCTGAAACAATTTATTAATATCTCCATACACTTACAAAATTTTTATTCAAAAACTAGTGAAATAGATAAATCATATTCAAATTGGTAAAAATTGTAATTATCGAAATCTTTTTTTCTCTCAAAAGTTTGTTGTTGTAAAAAAGAAATATAAAACTTTCTCTATAACGAATAAAAAGCGGATTTTGAAGGGTATCAAAGAATCATTCCAAGTTATTTTTAACTTGGTATTTCGAAAAGTATTTCATACCTCCGAAAATAAGGAGACAAAGACAACAATTGTAGAAACGTCAGTGAAATTATGTATTAAATTATTTTCACTATTTCACAAAACACCACATCTAACGAGTTTTTTTTATAAAACCTAGTCATTTATTATACAAGTCGTAGAGATATAGTCATGAGTAATTTCAGTATTAACAATAAATTAATATTTTGATAACATTTTATTTAAATTGATTTATTAAAAAAATACTTGTCTCGCGCGTACTCTTTAGTGAAACTTTCAAGACTCTTTCTGTTTATTTCGGCGGCAGCCGCAGAACGTCAGTTTTCCAACCAACCTTGCCAGTTTGTACGAAACGATCCCAGCGATTAATAAAACCGACAACGCCGCCGCCAGTACATCCAACAACAGGTACTCTGCTAGTGAAACGTCAGCAACCGCGCTCCTCAGGTGACGGGCGCCCCTGTGTCTGATGACGTATTCTGACCACCACACGGCTCGTTCCAGTCCCGTCATAGGCTGATCTTCGACTATACTCTTGAGTTCGCACACCCTATCGTGATACCTAAGGACGATGATGAAAAGTCCTAATTAGAATTGCAACAGATGGTTTTTTTTTTAAATTAGCAATAAAAACGGACGACAATGGGAACTTTGCGTGTTCGATCCGAAACTGAAGTACACTGCTCCCTGTTTCGCATCATCTAGAACGCTCTGGAGGTCCTAAAACAGGAAAAAATTAATCGAATGTGCCCGCGTGGTGGTAAAGTCTTCGCAGCTCCAGGTGGAAAAGCAACCTTTTACCTGGGACAGCGGATTCGGAGGTCTGATTTGAACGAAACCCATTGGCACTACAGTGGGCGACATCGGCCTTATAGAATTCATTACCACGTTGGTATTAATAAACGCCATGCTCGAATTAGCTTCGATCTCCTCCAATGGAGGAAGCTGTTGACCCAAGTACTTCCGTACCATCGAATCGCATTGCGGCACCACCCGATAGTTATAGTACCACTTGTACCAAATGAAGTAGTACACATACCATGTCTTCTCCATCAAGCTCAACGGCTTGTGATACGACAGTAACATGTCGCCAAACAAAATAGGATGGATTGGATTACCCTGAACCGTATGAGTGGACAACATCCCGTCCATACTGATCATCCCTACTGTGGGTGCGTCGCATTTGGTTCCAAATGCGTAGAACACCGGCAGAAGTGCCTCCAAAAGCACCAGGTCGAATTTATCGCCACCTTCGCAAAGTTGCTGCACTCTGGAGTCTTTGAGAATGTCTTCGGCGGACAACATCATCCATTGGAACGTGTTGTCCCAGAAGTCGGTGTAGGAGTCGAAATTTAGAGTAGATTGGATATTTTTGTTACGTTCGTAGACGTAGGACACGTCTATTTCCGTTAGGTTGGTAAGACTCGAGTCATTTAGAGGGTTTGGGGCCACAGCTACTACCTGGTGACCGCGAAGCGATAGCTCACGGTAAATAGGTCTGAAGACGAGGTTATGGCTCAGCGATGGTATGAAGACGACGGCGAGGATCCTCGCGGCGTACGAGCAGGTGGAGAAACACAAAAGGAGCAAAAGTTTGACCGGCAACATATCGCTGGCTACTGCGAAAACAATTTCCCAGCACTATACGGTCGCGTGGGATCAAAGTCGTAGTACCAGGGACGCACTATTGAAAATTTAACCTACCAAATTTTCAAATTAATTAAACTGATTTTTTAAAACAAAAAGCAAGGTGTTTGATTAATAATTAGAAATATTCACATGAAAAGTTGGTTCTTACTAAACTAGTCATTTACTCATGTCGTACGCCTCTAATGAGAAATGAGAAAATGAAAATATTTTAAGTTAATTTGCCAAACGAACAAATCAGTTTTAAAATCAACATTTTAACTTTATCTAAAATATAAGTAAATATAAGTAAATCAACTCAAAAAATTAATAAACTGCGTTGAACCAAAGTAGTGCGTTGCTTTGAAATTGTGTATTTAACGTAATATAGTTTGACTTCTATTAAATGTAAATCAAAACTAAAGAGACAATAATAAAGTCAACTATAAGAGTTTAAATGTGACTTAAAACAAACAATACTCACAAAAAGGATGATATTGACATACATACACAACGTAGGAACACCGGTAATGTGAATGCTTAAAGAAACCGCATTTCTTGTAAATAAAAAAGAAAATATCGACATTTTTTGAAAACTATTTATAAATTCTACCGAGGCGCTGTTTTTATATGCTGAGAATTTTTTTGCTTCGATGGGAAGCCGCTTCATTAGTAGTATAACAAATGCTATCGACCGTGATAGGCCGGTCCTGTTTGTTTCAATCGAATCTCGATTACAACGTCTGGAGTAGAAGAAAATTAAATTGCGGAATTTATTTAATGAGTCTACTATTGATAATGCACATCATCGTTAGAGAGCGTTATCTGGATTTAAGCTATCGCCCCATTAGTAGCGACACTATTGTCAGCGTGACTGTCACTTTAAAACAGCTATTTTGCAAAAATGTACCCAAAAACTAATGGTCGCGAAAAAGGCATACCGTGCCCCACAGTTTGATAAACAGTCGCCAAACTCGTGACTAAAACGTTCAAATTTGGATATTTAATAAAGTCTTTTAAATAAGAAGGGTATCAAATGAATACCCTTGTTCAAATATATAAGTTTTTTTTCAAAATTGTCATTACTAAGGGAGGTGTAGTACTTTACCACACTATTCCACCATCACCATACCTATGTATACCGTAGAAAAAATTGCTCACCCCATCTTCGAATTCTCTCGTGTGTAAATCAGTGATAAACGTTAAACCGCGATATGCTATGTGCTACATCCTGTTTTGAAAGTCAACAACCTTAAATATTTATTAAATAATTTTCTAAAAATAAGAGCAAACTAAAGTTGATTTTCCCGTTTTCTTTTTACGTACATGCGGGGTGTTGAAGTTAGTCAAATTTAAGAAAGGTGCGGCACACAAGACGACTTCTGGTGGCACGTGAACGTCGCTTCGTGTAAACCACGTGACCTTTGCTCATTGTTGAACAGATAACTACCTTTTTTAGGTTTGTCGATATACAGGGCGTTATTGGCAAGGTGATTTTCAATCACTTTTGAGGTCAAATGTTATTAGAAATGTGAGGTCTTTAGTTAGTTTCTAGTGAAATTCTTGTTCAACTATACGCCAAAATTTAATTATAGAATGTGTCCCGGGTTCGCTTCTTTATACAGGGATCTCCGTCCTTAATACATTTACAGCAAAGTCTAAATCGGACAAGTTCTAGACGAAACTTGGTGCATTTGATAACCGGCTTCAGATTCAGATTCAGATTTAGGTTATCTGCGCAAAACCGAAAATGGCAAATTCTGTTTTTCGCAAGTAAATCCAAAGCGGTAAAATTATCATTGTCAAAATGTGGCATTATTCAGATACTTTGTAAGTCATCATTTGTGGTGTCACAACTTGCCTTAACTTTCATTTTTCTTATGGCCGCCATATTGGATTTTTCGATTTTTGGAAAGAGCGTAAAGTTTTCAGTTAAGTGATGTCCCACAGATTTAAAAAGAAATTCTTGACCGAAAGTAAAATCTAAATATGTTGCTAATTTACAGATGTAGAAAATTACGTCCATTTGCAGTGACACATTTTTGGCAATTGGTTTTTCTTTTTTAAATATGTCAAAAACTCTTTGTCTTAGAGTTTCTGTAATCTCGGGAGGATCAAATTGTGTGAAGGAGTGACCCCAAAGGAAGAAATCCAAGGGCCAAAGGTCAGGGTATCTAGGAGGCCAAGATATTTAATACGCCATCTTTTTTCCTCATTAGAATTATTTAGATTATCAAATAAATATTTTGACTTCTGGAAAGATGATTTTTTTCAAGTAAAATTTATTGAAAAATTATCATTTTACCAAAAATACGCGGCCAGAGAAGAAGTCATTTGAAACCAAAAAAATATAGGCAGTTTGCAGCGCATCGTACAAGTAAGAACTAAATCAATGACGAATTCAAACTTCTTGTGAAAGAAAACCCCCAGGCACCATTTTTTGCTCAGACATCGCCGTTATTTTAGGAAAATAGACCGAAAAGACAAAAATAAAACGTTAGCACGCGCAGACGAAGCATTTTAGACTACACGCTTAGCTCAGAACTACTTGAGAAATCGTCATGGAAAATATCGGACACCTTGTATGGTCAGTAGCTGAAGTTGTAAAAAAATAAAAATTTATATGAAAATAGTTCACGAACGGCAGCAGAAATTAACTCTTATTAGTATATCGTTGGTAAGTAAAACTGAAGAGTACTAATTAATAATATTATACCAATCCTCAGTTAAAAATACCGGTGCGATTCTCACGATATTTGAATAGTTAAAAACACTGCCTAGACGGAAACGACGACGACGCCTTAGATGTATAATCAAGGGAGATAACATTGTGTCCATATTAACGTTATGCAAATATGCTGACAGACTGAGACAATTTTGCTAGCGTTGAATATCCTCGAAATTTTCTACATACATACATACATCGAATAATATTTTTGGTATAAAAAAGCACGCGAATAAACGCTTATGCCGCTCATCCACCGGTCAAGGAATTTTAAATTTCTAACCATCTGCAGATGGAAGAATTTAAGATTTAAGCAATATTGCAATTTAGGACCGGTACCAAATAAAACGAAAACCATATTTAGAATATTTATCAACAAACCCTTCTATAAACTGTCTTCGTTATAAACTCTCTCGCAAAGATGTAAAACGTTTCTCTGTCGTAAACTTTTGGGAAAATATGTCAGCACCGTTTAGCTGTCCGAAAACTAACGTTAGTATACTCGCAGCGCAACGGATGAAAACTATGTATGACCGTTATAATAATTAATATTGCTGTTATATTATTAAATTACCCACATAAACTTTTAACGCGGCCATTTTTATTCATTCCAAATGATCGTGGTGACATCTTATCTCTCACGCCACTGGCGGAAAGTGAAATTGTGGGATATTTTTTTTTCCCGAAAAATGCAAATAATGAAATTATATTTAAAGAATTATAGAAATGTCAGTAAAGTAATTTGTTTATTAAATTATTATTATTATTTTACGAAAATATTTAAAAACTAACCACAATAAGATATAGAAAAAAAATGAATTTAATAATTTTTAAGTGATTTATTAATAACAACTTGTCTCGCGTGAACTTTTTCACGAAACTTTCAAGACTCTTTCGCCTTGTTTCGACGCCAGCCGCAGAGAGTCAATTTTCCAACCAACCTCGCCAATTTGTACGAAACGATCCCAGCGATTAATAAAACCGACAACACCGCCGCCAGTACATCCAACAACAGGTACTCTGCTAGTGAAACGTCAGCAACCGCGCTCCTCAGGTGACGGGCGCCCCTATGTCTGATGACGTATTCTGACCACCACACTGCTCTTTCCAGCCCCGTCATAGGCTGGTCTTCTACTATGCTCTTCAGTTCGCGCACTCTATCGCGATACCTAAGAATGAAGTAATGTTACTATCGTGATGTGTGCCTTGCCTAAATGATGAGTTTGTGCTCTGAGAAGTGAAATATTATTATATTGAGTGAGGCACAACATTAAGCTCTCGAGCGCGTATATATTTATTTATATATAAGATAATGCCATTGAACGGAAGGGCAACATTAAGCTTTGCAACATTTTTTTTTACGTTTGCAATACAAAAATGTTGGTACTCATCGACAAAAGATGGGCCTTACCGTTTGTTTTCCGCCACCTCGATGATGGCTGACTTGAAACTGTCCCGCGAAAGGGTGTCTTTGTCCAGCTGGATGGCGATCTCAAGTTTGGCCGATTTCTCGGCGTTCATTTTTTGGTCGCCGAACAGCGGCACTGCGACCATGGGCACTCCCCTCACTATGGACTCTTCTATGGACTGCAGACCCGCGTGCGTAATGAACACCTTGACGTTAGGATGTGCTGAAATAATATTACTGACAGCTTAAAGGGATTGCTAATATAACATGTCGACTGACACTTTGAAATCCAAAATCTTGGTTTGTTATGTTATGGGATACATTAAAGGGCCTGTGATCCCTGTTTGCGAATTTAAAACACTGATAAACACTTTGGTGTTAGGAAGTTCGAAAATAATATTACCGTCCGTTTGAACAATGAACATCGATTGTTCTATCGACCCATTGCACTAAATTTAATCTATATAAAGGATGAAATTATTAATTAAATATTAAACCCTTAAGTTATGAGATACTATAACATCAAAGATCAAGGACAGCGACTTATCTCCAACCGCCCCTTTTTTATGAGTCCGACTTACCTAGTATATCCGCTTGGGGGAACCACTTCTTAACCACAAGGTTTCGCTTGCTGGATGGTACTCCATCAGTTTCCCACTTGCACAGTACAGTGTACGGCAGCTCTTCGAACGTTTTAATGATGACGCTCCTCATCAGGGGTGACAAATGAGAACTTTTCGTGTTGGATCCGAAACTAAAGTACACCGCCCCCTCCTTGGCATTATCTAAGACACTCTGAAGGTCCTAAAGCAGACGCATCAGGCGAAAAACTGTGACAAAAACAAATTCTAACCAAACTTACCTGAGAAAGCGCATTCGGAGCTCTGATTTGAACGAAACCCATTGGCACCACAGTGGGCGACAACGGCCTTATAGGATTCATAACCACGTTGGTATTGATGAACGCCATGCTCGAATTAACTTCAATCTCATCCAGAGGAGGAAGATGTTGACCCAAATATTTCCGCATCATCGAATCGCACTGCGGCACCACTCGATAGTTATAGTACCACTTGTACCAAAGAAAGGAGTACACGTACAATATTTTCTCTACCAAGCCCAACGGTTTCTGGTACGGCAACAACATGTCGTCGAACAAAATTGGATGGATTACGCTACCCTGAATGCTATGGGTAGACAATAACCCGTCCATACTTATCATTCCTACTGTGGGGGCGTCGCACTTGGTTCCAAACGCATAGAACACCGGCAGAAGAGCCTCCAAAAGCACAAGGTCGAATTTTTCGCCACCTTCGCAAAGTCGTTGCACTCTGGAGTCTTTGAGGATATCTTCGGCGGGTAACATCATCCATTGGAACGTGTTGGTCCAGAATTCGGTGTAGGAATCGAAATTTAACGCAGATTGCATGTTCTTGTTGCGTTCATAGACATAGGACACGTCTATTTCCGTTAGGTTGGTGAGAGTCGAGTCATTTAGAGGGTTTGGGGCCACAGCCACTACTTGATGACCGCGAAGCGATAGCTCACGGTAAATAGGTCTGAAGACGAGGTTATGGCTCAGCGATGGTATGAAGACGACGGCGAGGATCCTCGCGGCGTACGAGCAGGTGAAAAGATACGAGAGGAGGGAAAGTTTGACCAGCAACATATTGCAAGAATCGCGTACTACTGCGAAAAAAAATTGCCAGTAAAATACGATCGCGTGGGATCTGGATCAGAATACCAGGGACGCACCTGAATTGATTTTGTAAATAAAATAAATTGTGTTTAATTAATAATTGGAAATATTTACATCAAATATTAGTTCTTACTGAGCTAGGCCTGTCGGGCCTCTGTCGGGTAGTAACGAGTATTTAGGAAAGTGTACTGCACCCTCAGTTTCTACGGAGTATGGCGAGGATACGTGAATGAAGCATGCAAAACAATTTCTTATATTTTCGAAGTTTTTTCGAAGAAGGGGAAAATAAATTTACAAGTAAAATATTTTAAAAATCAAAGGTTAAACTAAAGCGACAATAAGAAAGCCAACTGTAAGAGTCAAATATTACTTAAAACAAACAATACTCACAGAAAGGAACACCGATAATATTGACATACGTACACAACGCAGAATATTGGTAATGTGAATGCTTGAACATGCCGTAAAAAAGAAAATATAGTTTTTTGAGTAGTATTTATAAATGTTGCTGGAAGCGCGACTTCTGGTGGCTTAAAAATTTTGCCAAATTGCTACGCAGTTCTTCTCCTTGTCGCTTTGGAGCAACTTCATTAATAGTTTAAAAAATACGCTCGATATTGATAAGCCGGTCCTGAATATTTCAGTATAATCTTGAGTAAAAAATTCCCCAAGGGTAAAATTAAATTCCAAAGTTTACTCTAATTAAGCTACTTTTGATAATGCAGATAGCGTTATTTAGATTTAAACCATCTCCCGACCAGCAGAGACACTGTTGCCGCCGCATTTTTGCAAACGTGCGTAGTCACGAGGCCAAAACTATAACCACTTTATTTGTTTCCAAACGATGTTTTTTAGTTACCTGAGATAAAGATATTTTCCAAATTTAGCCACAAAAATGACACTAATGTAAAATAATAAAATAATTAAATTGAGTAAATTTTACAGAAGTATGAAAGTCCTTAAAACTTATATGAAACGTTAATATAGTATTCATACCTAGGATCAAAAAGTGGTCAATATTTGTTATCACTCTATAATCCCTATTTAATAAATTTTTCAATTCTTAATTTTAAAATTTATAAAATAGTTTTTTTATGTGTAACTTTTAATGAAATATTTATACAAAAATAAAAAATCATACAAAAATGTGGTATACTGTTCATATTGTTTGACTGGGATCCATTGTTGCCAAGTTGTACCTCCAAGTTGTCTCCTATCATTCTATCAACAGAAACTTCACAAGAGAATAACAGAAACTAACCAAATACTTTATGTTGAAATAAATAAATAAAGGGTTTTTCAATAAAGACTAGTCGATTGTTAAATGGAATACAACTAGCTGTATTTGAGATATTAACTAAATTTTTATTTTATTTGGTCCATCGGTTGCGTCATCACTGCCATCATGTGATGTACAGCTGATCTGGCGTTTCTTTGACGTAGAGGTGTCGAATGATTATTAACCGGACCGGTCGGCTCAAATTTGATCACGAAGCGTTGCAGAGGCGACTATGAAGGTCCACCGCTACGACCGTAAAATGGGCGCAACGCGCACCAAGTTTTTACTAACACTCATTCCGATAATAAATTTTAATCATTTGTACATGCTGTTCAATCGTGCAACTTGTCATAGTGATTTGGCACCAGTAACTAAATAATAAATAAACAGCTCAACAAATGCCGCCATAAGAACATGGCAGCCACAAGCCGCCTACTTGATTTGATAGAATATTAGGAGACAGGTGAAGGTGCAACTTGGCAGCCATGGATTACGTTCAATGTTTGGAATGCTTTCTAGTATTCGTTTTAATCTTCTTCTTCTTCTTCTTCTACTTCTTGGAGATCTGTCGATCTGTTAGTTCTGAAGCTGCCTCTGCATCTTTTCCTGTGATGCCATTCGTCTGGTGTTTCCGTTTTGTTTAAGATTTTATCAAATAGTTGCGTTAGTCTCCTTGCGAGTTCGGGGCCTCCATATTTTAGAAGCTCGTTGGGGATGCCGTCCGGTAAGGGTGATTTTCTGTTTTTCAATTTCTTTAGTTTTGCTTCCACCTCTTCAACAGTGATTGTACCACTTATATCTGTTTCGTATTCGTTTATATTCTGCATTTCCCCAACATCGTAAATCTCTCTATAATGCTGTTGCCATGTGTCTATTGGTCCTCCTTTGGTCTGAACGAGCTCGTTAACTTGTTTTTTCTTGTTCGGCAGCATCTTCCTCACTTTCCTTTGGGCGTGGTCCATGTCGCCATTAAAATTGGCCCAATGTTCTCTTTTGATTGATCTTATTCTTGCGTTTACTCTATTTCTTACTTGGACATATTCTGCGTGAGTTTGTTCCGATGGTGCACTTTTGTATGTTAAGTAACATTTCCTTTTTGATTCAGAGAGTTATTTTACCTCTTGACAAAACCACGGTTTGGTGTGGTTTGCCGCGTTTACATTAATTCTACGCTTTCCAATCGCTTCCTCTGCTGCTTATTTGATTCATTTCGCAAGACTTTGCCAGCTCTCTTCTGCTCCCCATTCTGGTGTCAAATTTTTCTGTTTTAATTTGTTAGTAATCCTGCTCTTGTAGAGGAGCTTTGTGCTCTCCGTTGTTAGGGAATCTAAATTGTACTTTTCGATGTACTGTGGGGCTTTTCTCTTTTATTGTAGACGTTTTAGTAGTATTTTGCCAAGAACAAGGTTGTGATCGGTCCTCAACCGATTACGACTCTGACGTCGAGTACTTGTACGGGTGTTATTACTCGATTTGTGAGTATGAAGTCTATCATCAATCGCTGGTGTCGACTGTTATTGAAAGTGTATTTGTGTTGGTCTTTTTGTGGGAAGTACGTGTTGTTGATCCTCATACCTGGTATGATATCGTTTAGGTTTAGATTTAGAGCATGTCGTCATCTGATAGTTCCGTCCAGTTTCCGAGGCTGTATCTTCAGTTCTGTGAGCTAATTGGTTCTTTTTACCCCAGGTAGGCAGCTACCGTCACCTAGGAACCCTCCTCCTTTATTCGGGCTTGGGACCGGCAGTGCCATCCAAAGAGCTACTCAATCCATCCCTCAGATGACCCAGGCGGAGTTCGTTTTAATCTGTAACTTAATAATATCCTTCGTACTTCAAGAAACTAGTGCAAAGAGTACTCTGAAAAAGCCTGCAGCATGTTTGACGAAATGTTAGCCACATACATTCAAAATCTACGCATGCGTAATCCCAAATACCTGATTTGTCTTGAACGAGCTGCGAGATTAATCGCGCCACAGGTTAAGCGATACACTTTTGCGCGATCGTTTCGTCAACGCCGTAGATTTCCATTGATTGTGTTTAACGCCTGAGCAAAAAGCGCATCATGCAAGTGTGCAGCTAGTAAAAATTGGCCCAAAACGATTTTCACATATACGCTTCGTTGTACTCCCCTACGCTTTGGCTTCTGGACAAAAAGTTAATTTACCAAGATGAATTCATATATAAGCTTCAAATCGGATCGTCAGGGCTACAGTTTATGCGAAACTTATCAGTTGTTGTGCCTCCCAACGGATTACTATGTTTGTTGCTCATGTCATACTTCTTCATTTTCCCTAACTAATAATATTAATTGTAGTTGACTTTCCTGTCGTCCATCTGGACAATTGTTTTTGTGGCTAGTTCCGCACGTTTAACGAGTCTAGTACGCATTAAAAGTGTCACATAGCACTACACTCTACACACGTATTTTGGACTCACATTGCTACTCGTTCGAGCGCCGCTGCACTTCATTCACGTGGAAAAAGCCCACCGACAATTGGGCGAACCAAGTCGCTTGAAGTCAAGCGAGACGTAGCGCAAATGAGAATTCTAGGTAAGAAAAGGCCAGAATAGTATATTATACAACAAGTGCGGTAAATGGCATTTGACTCACGAGTTTATTTGACACGAGCGGAGTAAGTGTTTAATAAACAAGTTTACCGAACGTGTTGCATACAATACTTTTTCTACGACCGTTAGTTTTTGGGTACATTTTCGAAAAACAACACAAATACATTCCCTGACATGACCGTCAGAACTGACAAATGTCAAAATTCACAGCGTGGGAAATATCTCCGAAAACATCCGAAACATCAGAAATGTCCGAAGTGGCTCAGATTCGTGGGAAACGAAAGTGACGTGGTAAAGTGATGCTTCCCGCACACTAGATCGGTGTGTAATTAGGGAATAGAAAATTAGTACATTATGCAACACGTGCGGTAAACGGCATTTGACTCACGAGTGAAATGAAGAGTTTTGCAAACGTGTTGTATAAATCACAACTTCACAAATTAAAAATAATAACAGATTATCGTATCACTAACCATTCACACAACATCGTTACTAGTTGCCAATAAACCTATTCGTTTATCTTTCCGATCGGAGAGAGATGTATTATTGGACATGTCATATAAACAACCGAATTAACACAATTTTAAAACGTTATGTTGTTTATTTAACCTTTACAATTGATCGTTAAGTAGTTTATTTAAAGAAAAAGACTGAAATTGGAAGAAAAATCATCCCAGCATAGAGCTCTTAAGAGGACTAAATTTTTAAGATCGTATTAGCATGAAAAAGCAGGTCCCAACCTCAATGCTGTTTTGTTTTGTGTGATGAGACATGGATATTTGAAAACCGTACAATTATTATTAAAGACATTAATATAAAAACTGTAAAAAGCACACTCACATGTTCATGAAAAAAAGAGTTTTCCTACTCCAGTCTGTAAAACACCTAATTACACACCGATGTAGCGTGCGGGAAGCTTCATTTTACCACGTTAGCTTCGTTTCCCACGGATCCGAGCCACTTCGGACATTTCCGCACGGGATGTTTTCGGATATTTTACAGTACAGTTTGAATTTTGACGTCACCTCAGTGAATGTATTCGCGTTGTTTTGCAAAAATGTAAAATACCCAAAAACTAATACACAGAAAAATGTTATGCAATATATCAAGACACTTTAAATACTAAGTGCTATAAGCTACAATAAAAATCTAGTGGACTAGTCGGTAAGTAAAGTGACATTTATGATTTAAGTTTCCCCCAGAAATTTTACATACCGTTAACATGAACTTGTGAGTGTGGTTTTCACAGTTTTTACATTAATATCTTGCCAAGACCAATTGTACGATTTTCAAATTTTCATGTCTCATCACACAAAACAAAACAACATTGAGGTTGGGAAATGTGAACCGACCTTAAATAATATTTTAAATACAAATTCGCATATAGCGCACTGTTTCGTGGCCCTTTCCCGTTCCAGTGGAATATATTTCAAAAAATTGTCATGAATAGAAAACTTTTATAGAGTTGTCATAATTTTGCTTGCTTCAAGGAAATAAACCATTTCGTATATATGTGTGTATAACATAATTTGTGTGCATTAACAAAGACTTCGGCAACACTCTATTGATAACAAAGACCGACAATCTACTAAAAATAGTGTCCCATCGCTCTGATTGAAATTTTTCTTTGTAATTCTATCCATTTAACTATCTTTTCACTTTTTTCTTTGTTCTTGTGTATGTGTTTTTTTGGCATACCTATTAATAAATAATAATAAATGTAATTTATAACCAAGCCTGTAACCGATTACTGGTTTGCTTAAGAGCAACCATTTTTGATCTCGTCCCCAACTAATAACATTCTGTTTAACTCATTACAAGTAACTGAATAAAGACTGGTTGTTACTATTATTTTGTTGTTGACTGCATATACATTACGTCTTGGCAACTCTTTTTTGGGTGCAATGTCGTTCTATTCTACACTCTGTTGCTGTCAGCTGCTTTAACAATAACAATCAAGGCCGAGGATAAAAACCTCGGACATTTTTTTACTTCGATTTTTCTTAATTTTAGTGAATAAGGTTACTTCGGTATTTCTAAATAATCGCATTCGACAAATCGGAATCGTCCGTCAAGTCCAACTCTCAAAGTGAAACGACTTCTGACCTTGTTGACGCTCGACTTTCGCCGTTAATAGATCAAACAATCACCGAGAGATAACGATGCGACACGCTTATTAACAAACCGGCACTGCGGCATTGAAAGGTCTGTCGGTACCATCTCCGCTAGTGAAAATGAAAATATTATGGGTGCTTTTCGCATTGTTTTCGTTTCGAGCGGATTGCGCGAGAATCCTGTGCGTTTTCCAAATGCCCGCGGTCAGTCATCAGGCCAGCTTGCAGCCTATTTCGAGGGAACTGTCGTTGAGGGGTCACGAGGTGATAGCGGTCACCCCTCGCCCCATAAAAGACCCCAGTTTGGTGAACCTCACCGAGATTGACACGAGCTACATCTACGAAATCATCCACAAGCACGGATTCGAGTTTTTCATGTCAAAAGAGGTAAAAAAAAGCAGTCTAGCCTTTCAATGTGAACGCTAGATGGCGCAAACTTTTCAAGCAAAAACGGTTTTTTCTAAGATTGCAGACCTGAAAGACAAAGAAAAATATTGTGTTTTGTATCTATCGCGTCCAATAAATAACGATTTGAAGAACTAAACTGAACGCCCTGTATTTCAGTAACGAGCGAATTTCTATTAACGCATATTTGTTCTTTGACGCATTCGTTGCGGATAACCCTTATACGTCTCTTTGTCCCCCTTCTTGCCCAGCTATGACCTTAATTTCACAATCACTTTTTAATTACCTTTTTAGTTATAATGTTCTAAATACCAAAATAACCAAAACTATCCAGGTTGTTTTTAAAATCTGTCAAGACGAGTAAATCCTTTAGATGTTATGGTTAATTTTTTCTAAACTAGCAGACTACCAGGGTAATGTATTATAAGCATGTACAGGGTGGACGCAATTGTAATTCGTAGTAAAATGCATTTCGATATCTTCACATTCAATTTTCGATAATTTTGAAAATTTTACAAATCAAATGTAGAGATAGATTTTTTTATATTCTCTATTCACAACTAACCGTAGAAGTTAAGCAAAAAATATATAAAATTTAATCTAAATAATAAATTGTCCACTTCTAATAAGTTTCATAATTTTCAACGGGTTATTCACTGAGCACAATATTGTCACAAATCGGTCGCAATCATGCGAAATCATTGTGCAATCTTAGAAATCACTGCGGATTAACGCAAAATCACTGCCGGCAATATGTCAAACATTATTGGGGACGGTTGACGTCATAATTGTGTTAATCAATGAAAACGCGGTACAAATTTTTGAATAGTTCTTCGATGAGTTTAATGAGTAATCAATGAGTAAATGTAACAATACGTACGAGTTATTTAACCGTAAGCACTAAACAGAGCGCCTTGAAATGTTTATATATACAATGTTCAAAATTAAGACAAACAATTTTATTTTATTAGAAATTCAAGATGTTCCAATTTTGAAATCAAGTTGGAGTAGGAGGCGGTCTCGAAATTAAAGAAGTAGATCGCGGAAACTACATTATAGAAATTAATTTGACAGAAAAAAAAAATTGGGTGGTCTCTAATTTACATTGCATCCCAAATCCTTTATTCTCTTTGTCGTTGTCTTGTTCAAGTATATGCATAACCATAAAGATACACACTCCTAATTTGGGTAGTTCAGATTTGGCGGTTTCCACACTTTAGCTAAATGCATTTTTGATAGTACCCTGTAGTCTATCATTAAAAATTTGTTTTATTTACTACCATTCCATTTTTTTTTCCATTATTATTTATTTATTTTTATTTTTGAATGGAAACGAAAATAATAATAAAAAATGACTAAGTTAAATTGCACAACACCGTGAAGTATTTATTAATTTCAAAACTTACAGAAAGTCAGCAAAACATAACGGATTAGAATTTTTCAATGGAAACACATTGTATTGGTAATATTTAAAAAAATTGTGTTTTTATTTAAATTTCTATAATTTTTTTAGTTAGTTATTGAACACCTCGAATATAAAAAAAGGTGGAAAACATATGAATATATGCTCGCAAGAAAAATTTTGTAAAATTCCAATTGTTTCCTTTTACCACACTAATCCAACGCAAGTTTTGCTAACAAGAATTCATTTATTTACAATTTATGACAATATGAGCTAATTTTTACTGACGTTTAAGGTCAAAAACAGTTAAAATTAGGGGAAAGTTTTCGATTTATACACTTTTCGCTGACTGGGTAATTTTAGCTGCCAATAAAAATTTGAAACCCTTGCAACTGGTAGAATATAGGGAACCGCTATCTTAAATTGAACCACCGCATTCGTATATTGAACCTCTCAAAAATAAGCAAATAATGAATAAAAATACTACATCCGGTAGACATTTTAAAAACCTATTTTATTAGAGAACATAACTTGCAATACCACTTCCTGGAGTGCACTTTTTTTTCCTATTTATATAGAGTAGGATTTTGAGCAAGAGTCTGTTTAATTTTGTGCTGATTAACTTGTGGGGAACCTAGAATTGCTTCAATACTATTGAGAGAAACTACCTCTGAAAATGAGTGGGACGCATATTTTGACGTTTGACATATTTTGACGTTTCTGTTTCTGAAACTGCTTTTTGAGGTGAATGGCAACCTAACTTATATTGTGTGAGGATGACTGGAGTCCTAATCCAGAGTTCGGCGTTGATGATGTTGATGGTTTTGGTTCTAATTTCTTTTTTTTTTAGTCTTGTTCTTAAGTAATTTGCTTAACGGAATATTGTTATTGTCGTTTTCAGACTCTGACAAATAAATAAAAAAACATCTCTGAATACATTTCTACCGACTGGGCCATATTGTGCTTTTTCCGTAATTTAGCTACTTGATATTGAGACACGGTAAGACCAGGATTAGTTCTAAGCCATTTCTCATTTGCTTCGTTGTGGTAACGCACTAGTGGCTTAAAAACTGCAACATCTACAGGTTGTAGTCTGTGGGTTGTAGATATTCCCTGTTATTACTTGCCAGTTCGATCGATGAATATTTTTTGAAACTAACAATACTTTGTTTTCTTTGGTAGGTTTCACAGCTTGAATACATGTTTACAACCACTTCACAAAGACCTTGGGATCAATGTATTCTCTATCGAATATTTCTATTCAACATCCGGGTGAAGCCGAAGTCAGGATTCATTTTTTTGCGCTCGCCGCACTCGCACAATCAACCATAGTCGTATTGACATCCCGTTCTCCACTAGGGCTGGACCCCACTTGACGTAACCCCCCTCCTTCTGACATTTTTTTACCACCGTGAATAGTATATTGTGTGGTAAACGGCAAAGTTGTATACTATACTTTTTCTATGACCGCTAGTTTCTGGGTACATTTTTGCAAAACAATACGAATACCTTCACTGACATAACCGTCAGAATTGACGAACGTCAAAATACAATCCGTAAGGTAAAATGTCCGAAAACATCCGATTGCTCCCAAACCCGTGCGGGAATATCCCGGAAATGTCCGAAGAGGCTCAAATCCGTGGGACAAGAAACTCACGTGGTAAAGTGAGGCTTTCCGCAAATTAGAACGGTGTGTAAAACTATTTTACAGAAGGGAATAGAAAAATATTTTTGTTGAGTCAAAATTATTGTCATCAATTATTTTTTCAATAAGATCAAAGAAAACCGTTGCATCTGGTTAGTTTGAGGCTTGGATACCTGCGCATAAAACCGTAAAACCATTTGTTGTATTGAATCTAGTTTTTATCAGTCATCTCAATGACAGCGAATGAATTTCTTTTATCGTCACACCAAAAAACACCGTTTCAAGATAAAGAATATATTTAGCTAATTTCTCCTCAAATTCGGGAGAGAAAACCGCAGCTCGTCCAAAATTTTTCTGATTGCCATTAGCCAGTTTATACGAAGGCAGCGCCAAAATTTCCCGGCCTGAATATGAAAGAAACAAAGCAGAGTAACAATTTTTTATTATTTTTCAATATAATCTCCCTTAACTTCAATATACTTATTACATCTCTTGTTTAACAACTCAATCTCTTTAAAAAAATATTCTTTTGGTTTGCCTGCAAAATGAGCTAAAACAGCCTCTTTTAACTCAACTTCGTCGTTAAACCGCTGTCCACGTAAATCCTTTTTCAAATATCCAAACAAATAATAGTCGCTGGGGGCCATATCTGGACTATCTGTTGGAACCCACACTCTAAAATGGCAGCTTGTGCAACACCAGCAGTATGGACAGGTGCATTATCGCGCAAAACACGCACGCCTCTGGTCAGTTTTCCTCGACGTTTTACACGTATGCAGTCTCGCAATTTATGTAATAATGTTGCGTAATATTTACCATTGACAGTGGTATTACTTTCTTTAAAATCTATCAAAAATCCTTCACAATCCCAAAAGATCGTGGCCATCTGGATTTTCTTGGAGGTGCTTCACAATTACGACGCCACTCCATTGATTCTTTTTTCAATAGAGGGTCATAATAGAGAACCATAGTTTCATCTCCCGTCACAATAGTTTCAATCACAGGCTTCGGTTCCGACCCACAGTGTTCCAAAAAAGGCCGCGCACACTCGACACGGCATTGTTTTTGAATAGCCGGAAGGCTTTTAGGAACCCATCTTGCACTAACCTTATGCATACCTAAATGATCATGCAGGATTCAAAGAACACTTGTATCAGAAAGCTTGGTACTTTCTGAGATTTCCTTGACCTTTAAACGTCGATTACTCAATACCACCTCTTCCACAATCGCAACAATATCTTCCGTTATGACCTCCACTGGTCGACCAGTTCTTGAATCATCTTCAAGGGACTCCTGCCCCATTCGAAAACGTTTTGCCCATTCTTTCATTACAGAATGCGAAAGAGAACTTTGGCCGTACACACCATCCAGTCTTTAGTTAATAATTTTAGGTGCTAATATATTTAAAAGAAGCCAAAGTTTTATCGTGATACTGGAGCTGCATCTATGTTAGGTCGGGAAATTTTGGCGCTAACCTCGTATGTTGTAAGTGCCTTTTAAAAGTTGCTTTCGGTATGCTATACATCCGACTAAATTCGTTTATGCAGAATTATTATTGCCTACATAGGCTTCCAACCATATCAGCCTGACTCCACTGGCCATACTTCTTTTTCTTTTCATTCTGCAAAAAAGAAAATACCTCAAATTGTACCACCAGCATTTTCTGCGTAGAAAATTCTAGAAAATTCAAATAATAGTTTTAGTTTGATTTAATTTAACAGTGCCAAACGACACATATGAAACTAACAACATAATCGTCAATGGTCGCCTAATTTGGACCAGTCCATTTTGGGCAACCAGGTGCTGGTCCAATTTAAGAAACTATGATTTTTACACATGTTTCTTATTTTTTTCTTTGTCGTTAAATCAACTGGTTGAAATACCTGCAAATGTTCAGCAAGACTTACCTTTTTTATTGCCCCACGTGAAATTTATTTCACTGGGGACCTCTTAGGAACCAATTTGAAATATTAGATAACGCTACACAAATGCACTAAACTAACCATAATTTCCAAAACTCGTGTATTCCAAACGGTGGTCTCTCTGGCGGGTATAAGCTAGAATGTGACCAAACTTTCCTTTTTCTCTCTTTCCTCTGGTTGAAATTTTGGAAACAATGCAGTTTGAAACAATTTAAATAAAAAAGATTTCCAAAGATGTATCGAAATGGGAGAAAATGAGGTTTTACATGCCGAAATTTAATGTTTGTGCAACAACTCCAATTTTAGGCAGAACCCTATAAAAATGCAACCAAACCCCGATTTAAAATTTTGAACTGCTAAATGAATTTTAAACTTAGGTTTGGGTTCTAAAACTATGTGTGAGAAAATACAAAATTCAATAATTTAATGGACATTGCCAGCTTATGCATAAAAAAATATGTAAATATTATATCTCCGCCATTTTTCGTAACAGATGATATGCTACATTATCATGCGCTCGATTGTATAGCTCATAAATAAGTTTTAAAACACTTCATTGTCGGTATTGTCCATATTATCCACGCGTAAGACAGGACCAAATTTATAAATTAATTTTGCCCATTTCGTGACTTGGATGTTTTTTTTAGCTCACGGTTCAAAGCAAGATCGCTAAAATCTTCGCCATGTACGAAGAGTTCGCAGAAGCGATATTCAGCAACGAACATTTTCGACGAATCTACACGGACCCGAACCAGAAGTTCGACCTTATCATAGCTCAAATCTACATCAGCCCGACGATGTTTGCATTGTCGCACAAACTGAATTCGCCCATCATAGGCGTTTCATCGATGGGAGGGTGGACTGGCACGCATGTTGCCATCGGCAACCATAACCCTCCCTCAATCTACTCGGAGATGTTCCTCCACTACAACGGCGAGCTCACGTGAGCAATTGATACTCCGTTTCGGAAATATTCCTTGGTTTCTTATGGGCCATAAAATTGAAATGAAACATATCCCATTGTGAACGTATTTCTATTTACTATAATCGGATCGAATAATTACATTTTCTGAAATATGGTCAAAATCAATTAAAATCAACTAAAATGTCCTGAATATGACATCAGCTATAATCATGACATTTCTAACTAATTAAAGTAAAATCACTACTCTACGCTGGTCAAGTTTTAAACCTCTCTCACTAGGTTCTACGAGCGAATAAAAAGCACCCTCTATTACGTCTGGAGCCGATGGTACATCTACTGGGTGGCGATGCCCAGATGCGACGCTATCGCAAGGAAGTACCTTGGGCCCGATCTTCCTTACTTGGCTGACATCGAGAGAAACGTCAGCGCGTTATTTCTGAATATAAATCCAATCCTGTACACCGTGCGACCTATGGTACCGACCGTCGTACCTCTGGGGTTCATGCACGTCAGACCTGCCAAGCCCCTGCCGCAGGTAACGTTGATAGATCGCCATTTTTGGATAAGGTTTCGTAAAACCCTACAACGATGCTTTGTTCGAGAAGGACATCCAGGATGAAATCGAGTCGGCCAAGAACGGCGTCGTTTACTTTAGTTTGGGTTCAAACGTCAAGAGTGTGAATATTCCCCAGAGGGTGAGAGATTTGTTGATGAACACCTTTGCGGAGCTTCCCTACAAGATCATCTGGAAATTCGAAGGCGAAGAACTACCTGGCAAGCCCGAGAACGTGGTGATAAGAAAATGGCTGCCCCAGCAAGATATTCTCGGTAAATATTTTCGTTTTTATTAAGGGATCCATTTTTTCCGAATAATTGCGTTCGAAGTTTAAACTACACAGAAATATTTTTTAGGTTTTTACCATAGGAACTCTATCTAAATTCGCAAAATTAGAGACATTTTTCCAGACACCATGAATGTTTTCATTAATATTTGCCATCTCTAGCGCACCCCAATGTCAAGGTATTCGTGACGCAATGCGGTCTTCAGTCTACCGAAGAAGCCATCGACAGGGAGAAGCCCATGGTAGCCATCCCGTTCATAGCCGACCAAGAGATGGACGCCAAGAGACTCGTAGAGCAAGGTGTGGCAGTCTGGATCGACTACGAAACTACCAACAAGGAGGAAATTAAGAACAGTATTATCGAAGTCGCCGAGAACCCCATGTGAGTTGCTAACTATTGCGCTGACTGTGAACTAACCAAAAACTAGACGAATGAACTACACCAAATAACGTCGTTAGCATTATCGCTTTTTATTAATGTAGTTACCGCCAAAACATTAAGAGGCTGCGCTTCCTGCTCCAGGACCAACCAATGACGGGCCTGGAAAGAGCCGTATGGTGGTCAGAATACGTTATCCGACATCGAGGAACGAAACACCTGCGCAGTCCGACTGTCGACATCGAGTGGCACAAATACCTCTTGCTGGACATCATTGCAGCTATGTTGGGATTTGTAGTTATACTAGTTTTCGTCATAGCCAAGCTTATACGAATGATAACAAGATCCTGTTCTTTGCAAAGGAACGTCAAATTTAAAAACCGTTGAGTACCAGTGGGGCGAGTCACGGGCGTCAACTACTGGCGAAAAATAAACGCAACTTTACAATATCTTTATTTTTGCTTAACTGTAGTACTTTTTTACACGAGAACCACAACATACAAATATAATGATGTCAATATTGATCCACATACCAGATGGGCATCACATAATAGCATTAATTCTGTCTCTTATAATTGTGGTAGTGATATTATACACTATAGTCGATCCCCACAAGGATTGACACGTAATTTTTGCGGCATATGTAGATGGTGCGGCCGATTTGAACAATTAGTAGTAAAACGTTGCATTTTTTTTGACAATTATTTTAGATAAGGTGCCATAAACATAAAATTAAGTAACAGTAAGAGATCGTGTTCAAATCGGTAACACTGTATAACGATACTGGCGAAGGCAAGGGCCGCCGTGAACAGTTTTAACACAGAATAAAGGCCGATAAGGGGCGGAGCTCTGAGGGAGTGGGGAATCACAAATCTTCGAGTTGTTATACATTCCGTGTTTCTAAAACTCCAACTCTCTGATGAAGAGACTCTAACCGATACTCTTAATGCTAAACGAATCCGAAACACATACGCGACGGTACCGCTACCAGCGCAGTACCCACCGCTATATAAGTGAACCCGGAACCAACTAGCAAAACACGAACAGCCGGAACAGCTTATCAGCACTTCTCATCACCAAAATCAAAAGTTTTGCCTCTGTTATCTTGGTCGCCGTACGTCTCTTCGGCGGAAAGGGCGTCCAGGACGTCAGGTCCCCTGAGTTGCAACGTCACCAGGTCCTTGTGGCCACCTAGGGCGAGGACGACGTGACGACCTCCTTCGGTCACCTCGCAGGCGCTGATCTTCGTACCAGGAGTGTACACCGACACCAGATTGCCTGAAACAGGATCACTGAAAGTGTGGCTCGTTGATATACTGGGTTTTGTACCTTTGTTGATGTCCCACAGCCTAATGGACCTATCCCTGCAGTCGGAATCAGAGGAAAGACATATTCCACCGGAAGAGTCCAATTTTAGGCAGGACACCGGAGCCGTGTGACCGCTCAAAGAAAATCGACAGTTGCCTGGAAACCAAGGTGTGTCGTGAGCTGATGTTTTGACGACAGCACTCAACAAAATGATTGATTGGAATGAGTGATTCTAAATATGGGGACAAGATAGAAAGAAAATACTATCGAAAACTTCTACTTCTAAATCGCATATGGTGGATCGTAGGTTCTTGTTTTAGATCCTTCTTAAGATAAAATAGTACTCCTTAAGGTGACTTGTGAGTGTTTAATGAGTGGCATGTATGCGGAAATCTCGGGTGGTATTTTTTTTCCTATCGAGAAGAGTATTTTTTAAGTTATGGTCTTACCTATATGGGTCCTTTTGTTCTGAGGCAATGACCATTGCTTAAGTAAACCTTGAGTACGGGCTTTGAAAAATATGAAGGGGCCCCACTGAGTGTAATTTTTTTCTGGAGAGCAATTCGGGAGACTTTTGGTACTTTCCAAATACATTTCACGGAGCAGCAGAAAAAGGTCTTACCGGTGATAAGATCCCAGACTAATATCCTTGCGTCTTCGAGGCCGGAAATCACGCAACCTCCAGGCGAACTGATCTCTAAGGAGACGGTGTTGCAAGACGGCTTCCACTTTTTGAACAGAGTGCCGCTTTGCAGATCGTAAACCACGATAAAATTTGGGCTGGGCTCGTCAATTTCGTGGCACACACAACAGACGTAATTGCCTATTGCGCAGTGGTCAGACACGAATAAGTATAACAATTGTTAGAGCCCTTTATTATAATTTAATTAATAGATACCCTTGTTAGAGACCTCACCTTCGTACGTGATTGCCGACAAGCTGGTAATAAAATCATGATGCGGTATTCGAAGGTCGTAGAGCAACTTTTTGGACTTTAAGTTCCACACAAGCAAAGGGAAAGGCTTTTGAGTCTCATCGCCACAGACCAGAACCCTAAGACAACACAATCTCTCCATTGAACACCCCAGAACGCTTCCAGACAACCACTTACCTTCCATCCCCTGAAACCAACAGGGAATTTAGGAATCTGTCTTCGCCAGCCTTGAACGTGGTGACGCAATCGCCTGCAACCACTCGATACAATCATCTCTTTTATTGCTACTTATCGCAGGCACCTACCAGTTTCCAAATTCATTAGATTTATGTACATCCTATTTCTGCTTAAAGCTACTAAATGACTTTGGTCGTGGAGCCCGTAGTACGGCATCTTCTGGTTCATTACACCCTTGAGTTTGGTGACGAAACTGCCTGTGTTTAGATCGTATATCCTCAGCTCCCTCCTGCATAGCACGATGCAGCGGTACTCGTCTATGGGTATCAAGTTAGTGGGATGAGGTACGCCCTTTAGTATCCTAATAGGTTCGCATCTGCAACACACTTTTTAACGCAGGTCTAAAGGAAAACGCAAAGCTTACTTCACGATATCCCAGACGCAAATTTGCTCCTTGTCTGTAGAGATCGTCACCAAGAAACGGTGGGTGTTGGGAAGCTTCACCAAGAGGTCGAACGCGCAGGTACGGTTGTACTTGCAGTCGTCCTCGATCTGAAAGAAACTTAATTAAGTGCCGCAATATCGTTGATCCGCATTTCCTAACCTCTCCAGTGTCTTCACAATTGAGAGGTATCAGCGAAGTTACCGGAGGCAACTCGCAATGCCTGAACATCTCTTTCATCTTGGCGTTCTGACTTTGGCTTTTCAGTCTCTCTTTCAGGTACATGTAAAGGTGCGAGTAAAACTGACGGCCGTCATAGTTGAGGGCGGAAGCGTGACGCTCTAAGAAGTCTTTGATGACGATTGTCAGGTTGTTTTTGATCTTGGGCAACAGATTAATATCCTCAAGGACTTGGAACACATCAGAACCGCAGACTTTCTCGAAGATCCACGAGAGGTCGGAGATAAAAGGCGAGTCCTCAAAGTCGTTGTTGAGGTGGTGATAGTGGAAAGGCAGCTCGTCAAGTTTTCTGCGATTGTAACTAGTGAAAGAAGAGGTTTTGAGTGGTAATGCGTTCGGTGGCCTTAATAGGCTTGATAATATCCTTTCTCTCTTATAGATGTAGTTGAATTGGAATTTATTTTTGTTAGAACAAGCAAAATTTGACGAACTCTATTTATATCTATTTATATATTATTATCATTATGTAATATACTACATTCCAAAATATTTAAATTTATATGCCAGAAAGGTGGGGTCAAAGTATATTCTTAATAATAAAAAAAGGCATATTTACATTATTAAATAAATAAATATATATATATATATATATATATATATATATATATATATATATATATATATATATATATATATATATATATATATATATATATATATATATATATATATATATATATATATATAAAGAATATACTTTGACCCCAACTTTTTGGCATATAAATTTAAATATTTTGGAATGTAGTGATCAAAAATTTGTAGGAACGTAACAAGTCGAGCTACAAGAAATTTTGAACTGAGGTGGCTTTTACTTGATGAAAATCCATTTATCAAAATAAATAAGAACTAAAAGTTCAGATTTTCACGAAATTAAATATTATGACCTGACAATTGTTTCGACAACACCGTGTCTTTATCAAATGTAATATTTACAAACTACCTGCGACTATATATACCGAAAAATGACCATAAAACCTTAATTAATGTTGTTGCGAGAATTTAAGTTAATTACTTTCAGATGTTTTTCGATACTCGTTTTTGTTTTAATAGGCTATCTTTTGTTGGTTTTCTAACAACTAATTAACTAAAAATTATTAATATCAATTTTATAACTTGTTCTAATCATCCAATTTTTCTTTAATATCTCTCTTTTGGTTAGTTAATTAATAATCTTTTTTTTTGGTAATACGATCGTTTAGTTCCAGACCGAATTCTTCTTCTCACTTTTGTCAATGTTTTAATTTTTTCCACCAAATCTTCTTTGCATCATTTGTCCATTTCATTTATTTTCAAATAACTTACCTATACATGGGACCTTTACTTCCTTTTCTTATCGCTCCGATATGTCTTTTTCTTTCATGTCGGTAAAAAAATAACTACCAACGTTAAATTTTCATTCCCATTTACCAAAAAAAAATCCTTAATCTTGCGCTCATACTTACCTCCAAAACGAAAAAGAAAACGAAACGAAAATGGCGAGTCAAAAGCGTTTATTAAAAAAATACACATGCAAAAAATAACAGAAAAAAAAGGTATGTACAAAATAATAAAAAAAGGCGGGCAGTTTCCACATCAACACAGTTTTGCGTACCATTTTCCGAGACGGATATCCTGAGTTACGAGTCTCGCTTGCAACGACCCCGCCCTCTCCTCCCACCACTTGCCCTGCAACGCAACACACATTTCTACTGCAGCCCTTCAACCTGCGCGATCGCGTCCAAACTTACGTTAAAATAATCGAAAAGCACCCGATGCGCCCATCTTTCAACGCCGCTGTACCTTTTCGCGACCGCCTTTCTCAAAAGCTCATCCTTCCACCGGATACCTAGCACACCGCCGGTCAACGACCAACCGAAGAACGGAGCCAGATGTTTTATTAATCTGGACCACGCCAAACAAGCTGGGGCCCACGGAACTAAAAGAAAAACGCCCGCTTCAGGCAACATTTTCATCGCCGATACACCAAAACCCACCGTAGGTGGTACTACTGTGGAATGAGTCGTCGAACGCGAGCAAATCCACCATTTCGGAATCCGTCACGCCGTGTTTCGTCCACGTGATGATGGCGAGCGCGTGCTGGACCTGCGTTCCGCCCAGGATGCTCTCCAATTCCTCGAGCATCAGGTCCATCTGAGCGGTGAGCTCACTTCTGAGTTTCAACTGATGGTCCTTATCCGTCCACCAAGAACTTTGCCACGCCACAATCTAAAATGTCCATAGATAGCCTCGTGGTGAACCCATACTAGCTTACTAAATCGTTGGGATTGTCTTTGCAAGAAAAGTCAAGTCAACAAAGAACTTATAAGATGGGAAATTAGAGCTGACAAACACCTCAGGGGAGATCTAACCAGGAAGATCTTGATGGGGGGGACTCTGCTCACCTTGGCGTAGAGTGGTACAGTGCATTCCTTCACCGACTTCACCACGCATTCGTGAATCTTTGAATTGACGCTATGGTTGTACTGCATTACGCTCGACATGAAGATGTTTTTCGCTTCCGTTTCACCTAACAGTGGCATCTTCACGAAGTTGCTCTCGCTCAGTCTTTTCTTCAGGTCCTTGTACGTTTGACTATCTACCAAGCAACGAGATCGTGCGTTGGCCCATACCGACGCGAAAACTTCCCCTTACCTTACCTTCTGATACAGAAATAATCAGTTTAATATTATCGGGCAATTTGGCCGGGACCCAATCCACCTCCTTCGCACTGTAGTCCCTCGCCTGATCCAACCCGTCCAAGATCACAACCATGGGTCGTTGCAAGCTACTCGCTTTCAACAGAGACGGTACCATCTTCTTGTACACTTCTACGCTCTGGGAATGAACTAATTACATCTGCCATTGATCGCTACGCAGCGGGACTTACGTGGTTGAAATAGCACTTGTGTCCGTAAGCTAGCAGTGACCATTGGTTGCTGATCGAGCTGAGCAATTGCTCGATGGTGTCGGATTGCTCGCTGATACCCACGAACCTAAGAACGAGGAAGGCTTCAGGCAAGGTCTGCTGGCAGCACTGGGCTATTTTTGCCAGCAGGGTGGTTTTGCCGCAGCCGCTAGGTCCGTGGACTATCAGCGGCAGGTTGTTTTCGCCAGCGACGTATCTAACACAGGAAACCATTGAAAATAAAACTTAAGACTTACGAACCGCTCACCTACATCACACTCTCTATCCCGCGACTCAAAAGCTTCAAGCAACGTACGAGTTCGGTATCGACTCACCCCTTGATCTCCTCGATCGTTTTCTCGCGATTGATGCTACATTGAGCTGCTCTCTGACAAAAACCGATCTGCACATTCAGTTCGTCAAACAAAGCAGCCTCCACGCCGTAACTGGCCTTGGACATAGTTTTGCTTTGGTGCTCTTCGATGATAGAGTCGATGGTCTCGTAGAGGTGTTTCCTCAAGTGGGTCGTTACCGTCGACACGTACTGCTCGTGCTCGGGAAGGTCCATGTCCAACCCATCGTCTGAATACCTCACCTGGATCCGAACTATGTGCTTCTCGGTCAACTGCTCCCTTAGATCTTTCTGCAGCATGTTCAATCTGCGTTGAGCTTCTGCCTCGCCTGGACTAAGGTTGTCTGGTGTTTTGGGTGTTGGCGTGTACACCCTGTTCAACCAGATACATCGCTTCGCCATCTCTTGGCTCATGAATACGGTGTTGTGCACCTCCTAGACAGAGAAAACGATACACCACAACGTTTCCAGACGTCGCGACACCTACCTGCTCGACGACGGTGGTCAGGTAAGTGTCCCTCAGCTCGGTCGAGAACACGTTGATGAGGACGCCGAGCATTTTATCGATCTCGTGGGCCCATTCCTCAAAAGCTTTCTCCCTGTCCTCAAGTGAGCTCTCCTTGAACCCGGGTATGTGACACGAGATAGGCCGAAGCCTGTAGCAGGGAGGCTGAGCGTCACTATCCAACGTGTACCTGGACAAGAAGAAGAAAAGGAAGATGTCAGAGTGACGGCCATGTCGGGTGCGCCGCCATGTCCAAGAGAAAAACACAACAAATTTTAGTGCCCAGAGGTTCGATTGATGCCGATGAGGACACCATTATAGAAATACCTTATGCGTTAAACGATCAGCCGTACGTGGTGGCCAAGAAAGAGGAGAGCATATCCGTAAGTAAAACGAGGAGGATCAAAATAGCGACTCGTCCCAGCCAAAGTTCTAATGAGGAATCGCAAACGTCCGTTCAACAAACGACCTTGCGAAACGTTATCTGCGAACCAAGTTCATGTTCGTTGATGCTGGATGGGAAGCTATCATGTTCTAAATGCCTTCCACGATATTCAGACTATCGAGATTTCAAGCCGTCGCGCACTAGCTCGTTCGAAGACGTAGCGCCGATCCACTTTGACCAGCTCAAGAAACAGTTCGACGAAACTAGACTCAAGCTGGACGAAACTATAGCGCTAGCATCGTCGATCGCGAAGAAGTCTGAACGAGAACCTACTTACGAGCAACCAAAGTCTTGCCTAAGCAAGAAGAGTCTAACTATGAGTGAAGAGACGATATCGGCACCAGGAAAATCCATAAAAGACGATCTGAAAGACAAAAGGGAGATGGTATTCAAGAAAGCGGACGAACTGAGGCAGACGATTGAACTGTTGATCGAATCTTTGAGGTGCATGGTACCCGAGAGAAATTTACATATTAAAATGGTCACCAAAGGCTCCAAAGCATCTAGAAGCGACGAAACTACACAAACAATGAAATCCGCGATGTCCTCGAGTGAACAAAACCTAAATGTAAAGCAGAAAAACTTAGTTTTATAATAAATGGTTCCGGGGCGAAAAAAAAACGTTTCCTTTTGAGGTTTGCTCACCATTTCTTCAGGAGTCCCTGGGCGGACTGATTTCCGGTACTCTCGAGCGCCATCTTGAAGTCGGCGCTCTCTATCGTGATTGGTAACAGTTGGGTCCCGAGAGAGTTGTTTAGGAACAGCACGGGTATGACGTAGGCTACCTCCATTTGCCCTATGGATTAGGTTGATGGGAATGCGTCAAACGAGGATTTGGTTCTTACTCGTCAATTCTCCAATGCAAAGTTCTGGGAACTCGTGATCCTGCTGCTTTTCCAGCAGCGTTTTCCAATGGAGGTCCACTATGTGGAGCTCGTAGCCGCGGGTCCTGCAGTGTGCTCTCAGCGCGGGGTAGACCACGTTATGGAGGGCACCCTTTTCGACGATACAGTCTAACAGATTGTTATATAGAAAAAGGAACCATGAGTGAATGTTTATAACAAAACTGAAAAATTTGTAAAGTCACAGCAGTCTAGAAACTAAAATTTAATAACATCCTACAAATTCGTAGGCCAAAGATTGTTTAATTTTGTTCGAATTACCGTTCTGTGCATTTAAGACTAACTAGAAATAATCTTGTGTGTTTTACAAAAGCGCGCATGGAACTCAAAAGGTTAATCTGCTAAAGGCCTTAATGATGATGTCCCGCACAACTCAATAATAGGATCGCTTTTATATATTATATATTTACACTCATAGGACGCATGAGATTTTTTAATTTTGCAAATCGATTTTATATTGTGATAATACTAAGATTCGATAATAACCTACATATATCAACAGCGCTTCTGCTAATGTGGTACGATGGTGAAAAGAACAAACCCTCTTTTATTTGAACCGAACCACTTAAAATTGATCGATAACAGTTCTCAACCAATGATGATCTCAAAACTTTAAATCGGGCTCGTACTTCGAATATGCATTTGCATTACTTTCTTAAACAAATTTCGATTAGATTCGGGTTACATAAGTTTGTCTGCGAAAGTGTATGGTCCTTAGTCTCGAGATGCAAAAATAATTAAAGTTATTTTCCGAGTTTAGAGTGTTAAGCCTTGACGCCTGCTATTACACAAACAGCGTGGTCCACGTATAAACTAGCTTAAGTTTAGTAGGGTCTGGTTTTGAAACTGCCCAAATTAAAATACTACATTTTTTAATTTTGACGTTACGGTCCTGTGTTACCTTGCTCAGAATAAAACTTTCAACAAGAAACCAGTCATACAATATAAGATAAATCTTACCTAGAGAGTTTGAGTTAAAGTGAGGGAGCATTATACTACAGTACTACTACTAAGTATCAAAAATTGTTGGTCACATACCAAGAATTTTTAGAAATTGTTTAGATGTACTGCGTTAGACGAGAAAATTGATTATTTAAGAATTTACTAAGATTGTTGGTGTCTGTCTTGGCATTCATAGCATTTTTATTTGACTCATTTTTTGAATTTCAATCATTTCTCAGTTTTTTCTTTGTATTGTTTTCGGAATTTAATATTTTAATTTAAAATAGAACTTTCAAGTATCAAAAATTTACAATTCCATATCGGATTCTTTAAAGCTAAAGCTCAAAGCAGTTTTGACAAAAGCTTGAAAATCGGTTAGTTTCCATGAGATAAGCATATCTTTTCTCATTTTTATTTTGCTGATGTCTATGGATGTGAAAACACACTTAATTTAGCTTTAACAATAATCTTATTTTAGCATCGCTCTCCTTTAAAATTTATCTACATATTCGATTACATTCTTCGGATTATGATCATATAATGGATATACAACTAAACTTGGGATGTCATATAATATTTTTGGTCAGTTTGTTTTTCGCTTGTTTTGCTTTTTCAATTGCGAGCAATAAGGAAGAACGCGAGCCAACTAGAAAAAAAAAATAAACAAGAGACTCACGTTTACGCGTCGAATGTTATAGTAAATCTGGATTTTTCGACAGCTTCTCGTGACTCACGCCATTTATAAATAAAAATACATTTGGCATGGCGACGCGGTTTTTTTTTCAATCTCGATTTTCACGAAATTCCGGACGAATAACCGGTAAATAAATCGGGAAGATCGGGCGGTCGACGCTCGCGACAATCTTACCTTGAGAATCGGCCGCGCACACGTAGATAACGATCTTGCGACACTTAAGTGACGTTTTCGCGTACGTCACGCGTCCCATGACGAGATTCTGGAGCGGCTCGGACAAGCTGGACACTTCTTTGGGCACATCGTCCTCCGTCAGTTTGTCGAAACCTTTAGGGCTAATCGGCGACGACAGGGATAGCGAATCTGCGAAATTAGATCAAAAACCTTTTTACCCGGCTTGGTAAAAATGAAAATTTCAAAACCTCGCAACTAAAGTAGCCCTTGGAGTTGTGTCAAATCAGGATATTCCTTCGCAACCAAAATTTAAATAAAAAAATTACCCGGCGTCCCTGTCAACACGAACTTACAATTCGTTGGAATTGTAAACGGTTTTTTCAACAAACTTTGAGGTCAAGAAAAAACGAACGTGTCATTTCGGCCTTTTTTTTTCAAAAAATATTAAAAATTACAAAATCAAAAATAAAAACGAAAAACAACAGAACTAGAAAAAAAACTAAAAGTCTAAAATATACAAAAGTAAACATTATACATAAATTATATATTGTATACCGGATGCCCCTTTCAAAATCTTCGATAGATTGGGGTTTTTTATTTCCAAAGGATGGGATGCCGTGGTCATCGGAGCCGCAGCTTGCTGATGTTGCTGAAGCGCTTGCTGACCGGCGGTCGCAGGTTCCAAAATCACCCCGCTATGCGGCGTAATGTGGTTCAGCAACGTCTGTTGTTTCTCTGAAGGCAAGCTCGTTCGCACCTGGTAACTGGCGGACCTGGAAGAAATTAACATTTTCAGTAGAAGTGTCAAACTATGTCTTTTGATGACCTAGCGATAGTTAACTATAATACTCGACCATAGTGCAATGATCTGAAATAATTTGTCTACTATTTGCCACTACCAAATTTTAAACTGTCACGTCGGCTAGATTCAAATAAGAATTTAATAGTTAAGCAGGGATATTCTGTCGATTGCTGTTATTTAATACATTTTTTAGGTCTGTGTCGCCTTAGCTTGTGTGTATTTTAATAATTTGACCTAGATTTATTTAGGGCAGAATGCCGGCAACTCGTTCTCTCTGGTTTAATATTCTGGACGTATAGCTCCTAATCCTGTAATATAATTCTCAATTTTTTATTATTGTCAATAAACAAGCTACTGCGCAAAATGCCAAATATCAGTCCATAGGTCACTCGTCGCGAGATGTCAGGCACCCGGTCGACCTTCCACCAACCGGCCCGGTAATGTTTTAGAGGGGAATAGGGGGGCACCGTAAATAAAAATAATCGAAGTCTCTGAGGGAAAGATTCGACAAGCGAGACGCCCTTAAAACGGAGGATACTACGTCACGAGCGATGACGTCGCTTGCATCCCCTCGCAGCCGCATAGCAAGGGAGGCTGACCCAGTTTCGGCGGGCCGAAGGGTTAAGGGGTCGCCCGGTTCTTCGCGGCGCGTCGTCCTTGGGGGATAAAACGGGACAAGGGCAACCCCCCAGAAAAAAAAACATCCTAGAAAAATTTTAGCAACCAAAACCGTATTTTGCGAAGAATTTTTTTTTTTGAATAAATTAAAATATAATTTCTTCAATTTAAGTAGTTTATGGAATATCAGGAAAAATTTAACTTGTATTTCTTTCCAATTTTAACAAATACAACAAGAAATACGCTTGCTTATAAACCATATATCCAACTACAGATACTATACTTTCCGAAGATCTCTAATAATATCCCAAATATGTTATACATATATCTATCTCAAGCATAAAGCAGCTAGAAATATAAAGGCACTGCCTAATGCTGATTATACAGGAACTTATGAAGCAACTAAGAAAAAAAAATGGAAAGGTCCATTCTTAAATCTTTTATGCCTGAAGATTGAATGGGATCTAGACATATTTAGAGAAAATACTGCCTTAAAAATGCAGAATCCCAACTGTCAGCGGCCACGTTAGTTGTTGATTCTCCAAATTATTTTCATAGTTGCTTCATAAGTTCCTGTATTATAAGCACAGGCAGGCATAGTATATAGCTAGCTTTATGGCCTTGATAATACCTTTTAAACCAACACGAAACATTATCCTATGATCCTATTAAATTATCAGGGGAAGACGAGTTAAATATGTGAAGATGGTTGTTTAGAAGAAAATCACGCAAAGTGTAGGTTAGTGTGTGAAATTTGCGCAGAAGACCCGCCTGTATAATCCATATAATCCCTTTATTATCTAATAGATATATGATCTTAAGTAAATGGGTTAATATTCTGCAAAGAATGTGGCTTTTGAGATCTGTAAATAACGTAAATCCGTGTATATACCTCTCTGCAAGCTTAACTTGCCTCATTTGTCATATCTCAGTTAAATTGACAATACTTTATTTCTTTTATAAAATCAAGTCATTCCGTTCAACCGTTCTGCTTGCGAATGTTGCCTTACAAACAAATGGCCCGGGTATATTTACCAGCGAGTCAAAGGATTCTCCTTTGACGTCATCCACTTGATACCTTATTATCCAGCGGCAGCCAGTGTAAACAAAAAACAGCTCTCGCGAGGCATACGCAAACACGCAATCCGCTTCGAGCGATTTAATCAAATAAATATCCCCACCCCCCGACCCCCCAGGCATTATGTTTGATTTTGTCGTTGCTAATTCAATACTTATCTCGTTATGATACACGTACCGTCAAAATTATATCTAACTCCAGGATTATTAGATAAATTACAATACTCTGTTGTAGTCGATGTCTGCCAACACACGAATATATGAAAAATTAAAGAAAAATACACGGAATGTTTTTTTAACTGTACTTATGTAGGGATAAAACTGAATGGAACCACAAATAAATCAACCTCCGCCAAATGGATGGCGCTTGCGACGCATCCGCAAACGAAACGATATCATTGCATCTCAAAAAACAAAATCTATTTTGCGCTCCGTCTGTAAAAAATTTAGAAGTCCCAAAAATTGGATAATTGTTGCAAGGAAACTGTCAAAATTGAGCACTGAACCAGCAACGCGTCGGTAGCGAATACGGCCACGCAGACCAGTTGTGGTTAGTTGCCTGGCATTAACCTCTATCGATCTTTATCGATCCACTAACGCCGTAACGCCGTAGATTGCAGACTTCCGAGCCAAACAGACGCACTGGTCGCACGCATGCTTATATAATTTTTTCTAAATTTTAAAAAATCACTTCCAACTCGCCAATTATCCTCGGACACTTAATTTAAACCATTTTTCGCCACTTGTGGAATTAATACTCACTCTTCCGATCTCTGCGACATGTTATCCTTATCCTTGTGGCCTTGCCCACTGCTACATGAATTCCCCATGGCGTCGAATTACCCCTACGCGTCCACTTATGCGTTCTACCCCGCTAAATCAGTCACATATTCTTTGACAAACCCACCCGATAAAAAAACACGCGCGTCACTAGCGTTTCTTTCACCACACCGGCATCTTCTACCACGACGACGGGCCTCTATGCGTCCGAGGGCGTTTTTAAGGGTGGCATTGCGGCAAATTCTCGTAACGTTCGTTTCCTGACATAAAGGCGCCCGATAACCGCGCGAACGCCCGGCGTGCGTTTAACTGGAACCGTCGCGACGCCGTGGACGCCAAACCTCGTATTTATTTCCAAGCGAACGAAAATAAATACATCCGCACGGTGGTCGGCCCTCAAGCATGCTTCTGACGTCAGCGCGGTCCGACGGTCTAATCGATGGCGGGGGACAGGCGTTTTAGTGCGCGCCATGGACCACAAAGCGTATGCTGTGGTTAGCGCGAACGCAGAAAGTGGCGAGTGACGTCACGACCACTACGCTTTGCCTTACGTAACTGTTCATGTAATAATTGAACAGTAACAAACTCCCCATCTTGAGGGACAAAAATAAAAATTAAGTCAGACGGAAATAAAACAATTGCTTCTCTTATGTAGACATATATTTATTTCGCCGTTATTTTACTCGTTTTCCGTAAAAAACACAAATCAGTCAGAAACGAGGTAAACCTCGTTATTGAGCCTCTGCCGTTTGATTGAACTGCGGGTTTTGTCGTAACAGTCTTCGTCTGAAACCACCAACACGCAATCTGCTTCTGATGAACAACCTTCGCGTTCCACTTTCGAAGTATTTTTGCTCTTGACATCCAAAATCTCAACTGGAGGAGATTCGTGTGTCCTTCCGGCACTTGAAGACTTTACAACCCCATTTATCACGACAGGCTTCGATGATCTCCCGATCTTCCCCAAAGCTTCACTGCCGCTCAGAGATTTGGAAATTAAATTATCACTTTCGATATTAGTCTCATTTTCAGTCTCGTCAATTAAGGAAATCGTCCTAATGGACCTATCGCTGCTTCGGGCCGAAATAGAAATCCTCGGGTATTCTACGTCACATTTTTCCCTTTCCAAAGTCTTATCTTGCACAACGATATGGGAACTTCCGGCAACTACTTCGACTATTTCAACATCGCTATCGGAAACATGGGCAGATTTCTCCGGTTTGTTTCTACTGCGATGACTTCGGGCCTGCGGCACATGGAATAATTGCATTCTGTTGAATGGAAGTCCGGCAACATTGTAAATGGGGTTCCGAAAATTCGAGAAAGGACTTTTAACCAACACCCATGAGGCAAAGTTGAGCCTGCGGTAATTGAAAAAGGACCGGGATCAGTGGAGTTTTGGAACTGGGAATGAAAACTAGGGTATGATACATATAGCGCCCACTGAGCTGCTTTGACCCTCACCAAACCGTTTAAGATCAGTGGTTTACTTACCGTTTTGATCGGTTCTTTTGTATTGCTGCATACCTGGCTCAGTAGGTACTTCCAAGTGTGATACTTTTCACGAAAGTTAAGCTGAGGATGAGTCAGGCTGACCAGAGTTTTTTTAATGTCCTCCAAATTGGGCAATTCTGGAAAGTTTGCGCCACATAAATCAAAGTTCGATGACAGATGGAAACGCTACCATTTTGAGACATAAAAGTCAAAAAGCGATTTCTGATATATAAATAGGCTAAAGTAAGTCCATGGGCTTTTTCTAATTGAGCAACGCAATAAGGTTTAGTACATTAGGTAGGTTAAAACTATGAGAAATTTTAAGATTTTTGTCATTCTTATAGTATAAATAAATAATATTTAAATAATATGAAAATGAGAAAATTGTAGCGACCCTTGTCTTATCCTTTATCTTTACATTAGTTTGTGACATCAGACATAATTCTGTCAAGTCACTTTATACAAGTGTGTTGTGGAAGTAAGATTGCCACCTAAAGCATCCCCTCCTTGCTGCTATTAATTCAACAACCATTTCCACTACATTTTCCAACTTTTTGTTATCTATCCATGGTCAACACCACCCAAAATGAATAACACGCAATTTAAGAAGGCTCTTTGTGCTTAGAAAAAGGTTACGGTGCTGATTTGACGTTTTTGTAAAATGGACCACTGAATGTTGGCCATTCTGTATTTACTGGCTTATTGCTCACCTATATTGTTGTAATATACTTCGATTACGTCGTTTATTTCGAAGTCGGAGTGGCAGACCACACTCCAAAATATACCCAGACGGATATTTAGTTTCAAATCTCGGTACATAATTATCACACCTCCGTCCACATTCTCTTCCATGTTTACGTACCGAGACCTGGCTAAAATTATCTCAACGATGAGTCTGCGCGACTCCAAAGCCTTTGAAAACTCTATCAGGGTCTTGAACAGCAAATTGAGGTTACGTCTACGTTTCAAGGAATTGCAACAGTACTCCAATTCTTTTCTGTAACGCTCGTTTTCCGGTTCAATGTCCACTTTGAGAATCTCGTAAGAATTTTCATACTGGAACGTTAGAAGTTTCAAACAAAACTCGGTGTTATAAGTGGAAAACTTCACGGTGTATAGTAAGGAGTTCTTTTCACCAAAACTACGCTGCAGATCTGGCTTGCAGTCGTTATAATATTCAGATTGTTTTACGCACAAGTCGGTCAGCGCTGAAAGGTCGGTGTTTACAGAGAAAGTCTCCTTCAGTTTGTTTATTTGGGCACTCAGGTCTTCCGGATTCTTACTTGTTGAGACGTTATCGACTCCCGTCGATAAGTCTATTATTTCTAAAGACATGCCGGAACGAAATTACTTATGGTATCAGTATTACTTAAAGTGTTCATAGCTGTTAATTATGTTTTTCACATCGTAATATTTTGATTTTATTTTTACACTTGGTTTGTCGTGCCAGCTGTTTGCGGCATTGCCGTTTGTTTCTGTTAGTTCCAATGACAGAACACAACAAGATTAACCATGGAGAAGTGTTGGGACATTATGAAGAAGCAAAATAATTATTTCAACTTAAGGCAACTCTAAAATCTTATTGTTTCAATCTGTTTTAAATACATTCCACATAAACAATCCTGAGCCGTTAGTTACTAACAATCGTTTTCTTTGACACTCTGCTCTGTGTATATAATATTCTGTGATGTGTTACCTAACCTCTAAATTCAAACAGGAGTTTTTGAAAAACATTTTATTTATATATCGTAGCAAACAAAGGCAATCAATTTCTCAGTTTGGTTGAGCACTCTGACCAATATATTTCTCAATCGGCGCATATTTCCATTCAGTTTCTTTAATGTAATCCAGTAATTCCTTCCGAAGCCAAGCTATTCGATTTAAGTGCATTTCTTGAACGTCACCGGCAGACTTATCGCCGTCGTGGTGCATCGCGCATTTCACGTCTTCTTGTAACGAATCTTCGGTGAAAATTAATTTGCGGCTTATATTTCCGTTGAACATCCTAATTTAATTGAACTTGGGCAAACAGTACGGGATATCACGGTACCACGGACTATTAATTGGTCTTGTAGGAATTTTCATATTTTCTAGGAAACGTTTTTCCTCAAATTGGCAAAGGCATTTTTTTTCGCTTTGCTAAAAATGGGAAAAATCTTCGTTAAGCGTTCAAAGTATTCAGTAGGTATTAGTTTTAATACTTTTTGGAATAATTCCTGCACGATTACTCATTTTGACGTAAAAGTTTTGCTAGCAAATTATTTTAAATTTCAGTGTCAATTTTTTAGCATATTCGTGTTTTTCAAAAGCCAACAAACACTTTTTTATTACTTGTTGCCTATTCTACGTTCAACAGCACAACCAAAATTACTTCCAGTTTAAAGGTTGATAAGGATTATTATGCCTTCAAAAGCAATTGTGAGTTGAAATTTTCAAAACAGTATGGACGACTTTTACGATAAATTTAAAGTAAACCTCTTTATTTATAAAATACAAACAACAATAATTAAACACACAAAATCAAACAAACTTAAAAAAACTAAAAAACCATGGCAAAAGAAACAATCAAAGGGCCTCAACCCATTGGGACTTGGCTGAACGCTTTCAGTTTGTCCAAATCTCTGAGCAGCATCTGGATCGTCTGCCTAGTCTTCGCGCATTCTTCGTCCGGATCCCCTTCCGTTCCGGCTTCAAGCTCGACGATTTGTTTCTCGAAATGGTCGAGCCTTTCTTCTATCAGTGAACTCGAATGCGATATGTGATCCAGTAAGTTTAGGCGACAGTCGTCTAAGTTTATGGCTGCTTCTGGTCGAGGTATGATAGGTGCGGAGTTCTGCTGCACATTGGGCAATGCGATATCTTCTTTGCCCGCTTTGAGTATCATCATCAGCATGGATTCGTTCGATAGGTCCGGTTTTTCCACACCCAGTTCGTTCTTTATGTACTGGTGGTCGCCGTTTTCCAGCTTCGGTTTCGTCGCAGATGCCGATTGCAAGATGGCTGCGCAAAACGATAGTCCATTGTGAGGTAGATTTAGCGGAAAAAAATAAACAATCAATTGTAGTAAACGCTCCGACATTTTATCCCATTATTCGCTGAAGTTTTCATAAGTAAAAATAAAAACTGGGCCAAATGTCAGAGTGTTAATTTTTGATTTCAAAACTATAAAATTATAAATATAAAACGGGCTTTAGTGAAAAGTCGCAAAAATTTAAAACCTTGATCATGGATAAAAATTCTTGCATTTCCTAAGTAATAAATTAACTCTACGATATTTTGAGCGTTCTTAGATGTGATATTTTTTCTTTCTATTAACTTTATTTTTTGCCATGCTTAATTAGGTTTTATTGGAGACGAAATAAAAGTACCCAAGTAAGCAAATAAACATAAACATTTAAATCTTATTGTGAACTTAGTCCAGTCTTGTATCAACGGGGCCTGTCAGAGTACCTTAAATTTTTCGAATTTTTGGTCAGTATATTTTTTTATTTTGTAAATAAATAAGTATTGAACAACAGTATTTGCTTAGTTTTGGTTTGAAATCTACCAACGTTGCCGAAATGCAAATAAAAATTGATAATTCTTTTAAAAGTTTAATACCCTGTCTGTATTCCAAGAGACTGAGGTAGGCGGGAATCCCAACCCAATCGATTAGACAACCTCTCTATTGTCGCGTACCAGAGTTTCTGATGACGCGACAGGGCCGAGCCCAGACCATATCGCTCGCTCGTCGCAAAATTTAAAATAAAGGTTCATTTGTTTTTTAAATAAATAAAACATTTTGCCATTTTCAACAAGTCTTTTACTTCTTGCGCCCTTCCTCTAAAAAACAGAAAATTTTCCACTGTAACCTAGATAAAGGTTTAACTACAGCGATTTTAATTTTTTAATTTTGAAATAATCGTTACCTACAACTTTGTCACATTTTCGTCTTTCCCTTTAACAGAAATTCTCAATAATCTCTTTGCAATAAAATTAAACTCTTGGAGTAGATAAAGGTGAAAGTAGAGCGAATTTATTTTTTTGAATTTGAAACCTCTGCTACTATATTTCTTACTTACAACTCTATGTCACTTTTTCGCCTTTCCCTTTATGAGTCATTCTGAATAACTTCTCTGCAATCACCTTAAACCTTGGACTTTTCCATTTTACATTAACGCCCACCCGACAAACTCCCTCCAGTCCCCTTCCAAACCTACCATCTGATTTCTCTGGCAACCTTGGCTTGTCCCACGGCTTTGACCACAGGTACAACTTGGGGTGGTTCTTCGCTTCGGCGATCATCAGCTTCAGCGACAAGGCGTGGAGATACTCCTTCAGTTCGAGCAGCCCGCCGGTAACGTCGTGACTGCGTTTCAGCTTGTCGAAACGCGCGTGCGCCACTTCCGAGTCCTTGGCGTGAAATGACGAGGTGGGCAAAGTACCTTGCTTGAGCCACTCTTGGTCATGGAGCCATCGCATCGACCCTCGCTCCCTCCAAGGGTTCTGACAGATGCGACACACATACTTCTCTGGTACCTCGGTTTCGCGCTGGATATTGTTGCAGTACGCGTGCTGCCAGCATAAGCACAGCTCGCACTGTATCATCAAGCCGTCCTCCTCAGCGAAGCCGCATGTGCAGTTGATGATCTCCTCCTGTTTCATGCGCTCGAGCTTGATGATTTTGCCGCCCTCGATGATGATGCCGTCGAAGGACTGGTGCTGCTCGTCGTCCTGCTGGGGAGGTGAAGCGGGTTCCGTAAGTGGGAGTTGGTCTGGCGATGCGTGGTCGACCAACGGCAGGTCAGCCGAAGGTGCGGGCGGTAACTTAGGTAGCAGCGTCTTTATCGTGGACTTGGGCGGCGGAGGAGGAGGAACCTCGTCCCTCTTGGGGACTATTGTGTCTTCGAGCAGATCCTTCAGCTTAATGTCCGGATATGGGCTACCCGGTGCTAGTTGGTCAGCCAGGTCTTTCGGTTTGATATCGGAACTGCAAGAAACAAGTTTCTTTGTGTCTTTTCACTTCTGTTCACGTTATGGAAAAGAAAATATTTTTTCTATAAAAAGATGGGACCGGAATCAGTGCACATTCAAAGAATCAGACAGAATCGATCCATAACAATTCTTATAGAATGATAAGTGACCTAGAGGTAAGTCTCGCAATAGATTTTTAGACGGTGTGGAAAAAGATCAAAAGAATTGGCAACGTGGTTAATTTCGTCTCGTAATCATATTTTAATCAAACGAACATTAGAAAAATTATCTAAATATTGCGCCAAATTGTGTTGCGCCGCATCGCCACACCCACCTGGAAACCTTTCAACGACCACCCTTACATAGCTCGTAGTGGATCAAAATAGAAAAACTACCAAACTTTTCCTCAACTTTATATATATATGGCTACCGGAAGCGAAAAATTGATTATGCAGACGATTTGGTCTATACTGGGAGGGCCTAAAGGCATTCCAGCTGAAGTACCAAAAAATAGATTCAGATTAGTTTCAACAATTATGAACACCAATAAGAATATTATGGGAGTTGTCAACAAAAGCATTTATAGGCTGTGTTAAGAAGAGAAGGAAACCAGCTAGTTTTAAATCAATTGAGTCTATGGAACTATCCAAACTTCCCGTGTACTTCCTCAAAAGTACAGAGCTCTTGTACAGGATGGAGGAAAAATGAAGGGGAATATTGGCTTGGAAGATCTCTGGTTACCAACTACCAGAGGGCACTGCAAGTTTACACACACTTTACTAATGTTACTATCACAGATGATTTACATACATCAAACAATAAAATAATTTATACTTAAAATGCACCTGGTACGTTATAATTGAAATACAAATGTTCATCAAAAGAATAAAAATACTGATTAATTAAAAATCGAACTGAGGTGGCTTTTACTTGATGAAAATCCATTTATCAAAATAAATAAGAACTAAAAGTTCAGAGTTTTACGAAATTACATATTTTTACATGACAATTGTTTCGACAACACCGTGTTTTTATCAAATGTTTGTTAATCTCCATGGCTTCCAATAAATTTAATTTTCTACTTTTGGCTGTATGTAAAATATCAAACTTGTCGTCAAAAATGTGTTTTTCTGTATTTAAGTGTGTAGCATAATTATAATCTAGACTATTTCGTCTTATTGTTTTTTAAAAATTTTCCTATTGTTTTGAAAGCTATTTTTAAACCACATTTTGACAAATGTTTTGAAACTTTTTCACTGGGTTCTCCTATGTATGTAATTGCTTTAAATTGTTCGTGTTCTGTATTAGGTTTCGGATAAATAGAGTTTACTGTTGTCTGGATTTGTTTTTTATTTATAATTTTATCTCTAATGGCAAAATTGTAGCAGTTGTTGAGTGCAATTTGTTTAATGACGTTAAGTTCTTTGTTGTAATTTTCTGTTGAGAGTGACGTATTAAGAAGTCTGTGTATAAAAGAGTGAAATCTAGCCATTTTGTGTGTATAAGGGTGATTTGAGCTGTTATGTATGACTGTGTCCGCATGTGAAGGTTTATGATAAATGGAAAAATCTAATTTGTTTTGCGTTTTCGTAAATATTACATTTGATAAAGACACGATGTTGTCAAAACAATTGTCATCTAAAAATATATAATTTCGTGAAAATCTGAACTTTTCGTTCTTATTTATTTATTTCAAATAGTAAATTACGAACAGCATTTGGAAGCGCAATAAATTGGACCAGTTTGACACCTCTTTTTGATGGTCATGCAATCCCTTATAGAGTGGTAATTAAATGCGGATTTTTCTTTATAAATAATAGATTTTCTAAGATAAACTAAGATAAAGGGCAATGTAAGAATTTCCAAATCTTTTTTTTTGCAGTCCTCCCGATAACCAAGTCCACTATTAATTCGAATTGCTTTTCGTTGCAATCTGAACAAACGGTGCCTGCCAGCAGCATGACCCCATATTAAGATCGCATATAGGAGGTGTGAATGAAAAAGTGCCAAATATGCAGTCCTTAACTCACCAGGAGAGACATTTTCGGTCAAGGGTCGAAGCAAACACAAATTTTTAGTCAGTTTCTGAGCAGCAAAATCTATATGGGAGTCCCACTGAACTTTTGGGTCAATATAGATGCCAAGAAATCTGGTATTTATTTTATTAAAATTAACTACTTAAATTTTGCATGGAAAAAAACACTCTCTGTTGTGTCATTATTATAAACTAATTTATTTGCACTAAACCAGTGTTCAGCCTTTTTCTGTGCCATCCTGAAACTCTCCAACGTGTCTTCTAATGAATCCCCAGAAACAGACAACAGTGGTGTCATCAGCAAAAATTGTGTAAATAGATGTAGGAACCACAAGGGGAAGGTCATTTATATTTATTAAAAATCATATGGGGCCCAAAATTGAGCCTTAGGGCACTCCAATGTTTACCTCGCTCTTTGCTGACGTCACTCGAGCCACCTGGCATTTATTGTTAAGGTAAGATTGCATCAAACTAAGACTGCAATTTGAAAAGTTATAAGCCTTTAACTTGAGCAGAAGAATTCCATGATCGACACAGTCGAAGGCTTTAGTGAAATCACAAAATAATACAGCGAATCTGTAATGTCTGAAGGTAAATTAAGAATGCCTGAAACAGTGTTTTTATTTCTTCTAAAACCAAACTGATTATTATTAAAAATGCCATTAATTTCAAAATATTGAACTAATTGTTTAGCTATACATTTCTCTACAATTTTTGAAACAATTGGAAGTAGAGACATAGGTCGATAATTTTCAACATCAGGGTTACCTTTTTATTACTATAGCTTTTTTTAAAATCTCTGGAAAAGTGTTGGTTTGAATACTTCAATTTATAAGTTTTGTGAGAGGCAGTATTATTTCATTCTTGACAAACTTTATTAACCGCATGCTTATGTCAAATACGTCTCGACTATTTTTATTTTTGAGACTATTTATGATTTCCCTAACTTCATTAAAACTAATTTCAGCAAGCGTTAAATGAGATGATAGTTCAATTTTATCCAAATATGAAATGGAATCTATATTGGACGCAGTACCCTTACTTACAAGAGACTGAGCTAAGTGTTGAATTCAGCAGCGGTTATGATATCTGATGACATCCCACATGCATTTCGTGTTGATGAATGTATCGAATTATCATTGGCTTCGATTTTAGCTTTACTTATTGTAGCTCGATAAAGCTTTTTATATTCTTTGTATTGACGTTTAAAAACAATATTACTGCTGTATTGCCTAAACAATTCGGAAAGTAGTGAATAGCCCGCCAATTGTCATTAACGCGCAACATACATTTTCTCTGGAAATGATCGAAAATAAACAGATTCCAAGACATCCATAAAATTACTAATTTTATCACTTACGTTTAAATTGTTATTTAAAATCAGAACCTTGATACTAACCTCTTGTCGTCACCCAAGGCCTGGTTCAGGATTTTGATCAATTCCGCGTCCTTTGCAGGCTTGTGCTCGGGCCTCGGAGTTCCCGGCGCCTTGTCTTGGACCTGCGGCTTCACGGCGACTGCTACCTTGACTGGCCCTGGGGACGAGTCCAAACTCTCTCCTACAGTGCGCGCGTACGCCAGATCCGCGACGTTCGGCGTCGACTCGAGATACTTGGAGTACTCCGGATGGTAATGCTTGACGTGCATCAGCGCTAAATTTTCACGCCTGAAATTCTTACCGCACCCTTCGATTGGGCACTTGTATGCATCGTCCTCGAACGCGATTTTTAGGGCGGGCTCGTCTGGAATCGCCTCCTCCTCCTCCTCGGTCTCGGGCTGACATGGAGGAGGCAGAGGCGGTTCGGCAGCAGACAAGACTTCAGCGTCTTTGGGCTTGGACGCCCTCCGACGGCTGTTCCGGTAAATGCTAAAGTCGAACAGGTCAAAGTCCACGTCGATATCTGGGTGGGCGGTCAGATAGTTCCGGATTTCTGTACGCGAACGGAATCGCCGGTTGTCCGGCGATTTTATGATCGTGTCCCATTTGCCCGCCGACGAGCCATGCTGCCTCTGACACAGGTGCTTGAACCAACCGGCGGGCAGACGAGGATCCGGCACTATTATGGACTTGCGTACACCGTCGATGGTTTCGATCGTGGACTCGGTACCGACCGGCTTGCCATTCAGCCACTTTGGGTGCCAGTTGGTTGGGTCTTCGGCGGGCGAAGATGGCGGAGAAGAAACTGCGTCGGAGGGGGCGGCGGCGGCAGGTGATTCTTCCGCCGGCGGTTCTAAAGCAACAGTAACAAATAAACTAAACAAAACGCAATAAAAATTTTGTCATATAAAACAAAGAAATGTAAAGCACCTTTAGAAGAAGAAGGAAAAGAAAGAAAATGTCAATAACCTCGGTGATAACAAGAAAAACGAAATAAAAGAAAAAAAACAACTATACAACAAATAGCTTAGTAGCAACAACAAAGAGGATTACAGAAAAAACGAAGAAAAAAGAACGAAAATTGGGAAAAAACCTGCCAAAATGTTTATCGGTGGTAGTAGAAGTTTAGAAGCATGGAGAGTGATAAAATCACCAAGATCAAATAGAAATGAATATTATATATATATATATATATATATATATATATATATATATATATATATATATATATATATATATATATATATATATATATATATATATATATATATATATACCTTACATAGAAAACACCCAATATAACGATTCCATATTGAATTTATTGAAATTTTTATATTTATTAATTTCTTATGATCAGATTAATAAAAAAATTCACAAAAAAAAAAATAAAATAAAGAAACATAAAAACAATATGATCGTTAGTACCTTATTAGTGATTTGTCTTCTAATTCTTATTAGTCAATATGATAGAGTTCTATTGATATAGAGGAAATAGATATGTACTAGCAGAAATAATTCAATAATGATTATTATTTATTTTATATTTCGTATATATTAATATATAATAATATTTACTTATCCATTTTTAAATTATTTTTCTAATATTAATAAATATACTTTTTATATAATTATAAATATTAAAAAAAAAACTACTTTAAATAATATTATATAAATTTATTATATGATAAATAATATATATATATATATATATATATATATATATATATATATATATATATATATATATATATATATATATATATATATATATATATATATACCTTACATAGAAAACACCCAATATAACGATTCCATTGGGAGACATAAGGGCGGCAATCAAAACCATGAAGAACAACAAAGCAGGAGGTCGAGGAGACGTAGTGCCGGAACTCAAAATATATGGAACGGAAAGGCTACTAAGAATTATACAGCTTATGTTTGAGAAAGCAATAAATGGAGAAAAATACCAGACGAGTGGAAGAAAGCTCAACTAACTTCATTGTTTAAAAAAGGGGATCGAAGGGACTGTGAAAATTATCGAGCCATTAGTGTCAATTATGAGAAGGTTGCACGACAGAATACTAAGGAACAAATTGGAACAGAGCATAGACGAAAAATCCAAGAACAACAAGCAGGTTTGACCATGCGTAGGTCATATATATACAATTCAATAGTTAATGGAGAAGAAAAAGGCAAAGCACAAACCAATATACTTAGCATTCACATTGACTGGAAAAAGACCTATGACACGGTGCCCACGATAGAACTGTCCAAGGCTATAGAAGGAAAATTAGATATACCAACAACATTGATAAAGGCGATGAAAAATTGGTATATGTTACACATAAAATTAGGCAACAGCATAGTCGGTAGTTTCACAACGTCAAAGGGACTGACAAGGATGCCCAACTTCACCAACACTTTTCAAGAACTCAGTTACATGGTCAGGACGTTAAAGGAAGAATATCAAAAGGTAGGATTGGAAATAAACTTGAAGAATACAATGGACAACGACGGAAGAGAATGCAGTCAATGTACCAAATGAAGACATCTTTGAAATAAAAGGAACAAACAACTTTAGATACTTGGGATTTGCACTGTCCAAAAATGCTACTACAAAAGAAGAAATAAAGAATAGGCTTGGGCAGACACGATCATATATACAACTCCATTCAGTTATAGAACCTCAAGAAAAAAAAGAAAACGTTAATATACGATACAATTGTAAAGAGTAATACATTAAAACAAAAGGAAAATCCTAGCTAGAGAAATGATGTATTGGAGAAGATGCTGTGGAATCACTAGAGGAGACCAAATTACAAATGAAGAAATCTGAAGAAGAATGGGCATGCAAAACGATGTAACACATCACATAGAAACTAAAAGACTCCTATGGTATGAATATGTCAGAAGAGCTTGAAACACATGGATCGACAAAGTGATGGAATAGAGTACGATTGGAAAAAGAAAGAAAGGGCGGCCAAGGAGATCATGGCGAGATGATATAGAAGAGCCAATGGAGGGCCCGATTAAAGCAAGGAGCAAGCAAGGCTACGGTTGTAGAATCCTTGCATATATATATAAAGAATAAAATAAACAGGCGAAGAAATAAATAAATAATAGCAAGGGTAATTAAATCATAAGGATAATAATAAATGAATAAGCAAAGAATAACGATAATAAAATCAAAAAGTGAATTACCATAATAACAGAAATAATGTAATGCGTTAACAAAAATATGTAAATATTTTAATACGTTATTTGTAAAAAACGCCGATATATTTTTGTGACATTTCATTTGCAAGGAATATATTTTCATTTTGACACCAGATTAAGAACAATTGTAGTTTCCCACTTGGTTTTTCAACGCTATCCACCCATTTTAATTGGTCGATTTAAAGTCAGTGAACCCCACTTATTGAACTAGATTGGTACGGGTACTTAATGCAGTTATTATGGATTTTGTGAAGCAAATTTTATTTGGAATATCTACCTGATTTCTTATCACAAAAAATTAAAAAAAAATTGTTTCCTTTTTGAAGACAAAAAAATATTGAGCTGTATTTTTACTATCTAGCGCCTTGAAGATATTGATAAATGTTTTAGGACCTTCCATTGGAGCGAGCAAGGCATGACATTATTGTGAGTTTGCACATGCGAGATCCTTGCCCGGGGATTAGTTTTGTTTATATATTTAATAATTAATTTTAAATGTTGCTTTAGTCGTTCTAAATCATAAGAAAAAAGCGTGTTTATTATATTATTAACAGTGCTATCGTCATTTTCACATCATTTTGAATACAAAAATCTAAAGAAAATACTATCTGATGCCTAATAATAATATGTAAATAATTTCAGTAAGAATATATCCCTAAATACAATCAACATCAAGAAGAAGACTCTTACTCTGATTTATATAAATGAGCAAGAAAAAAATCTAAAATCTCCAATTACCTATAGTAAAATGCATCTCATTTTACTATCAGACCATTTTCATTCCAGCCTAGAAGGAACCCAATGTTTAGGATTAAAAAAAGTGAGGTTAGGTGCACCACAAATGCCATTTTTTATATGATAGGTGATAATATCAACCAACCTTTGACATCCTTGACCTTTTTATCCTCATTTAAGGAGAGCCGTGGTCTTTTCCGAAACAAAGCGGCCACATTAAGTTTCCTTTTTCTGTCTCGTCTCTCTTGTTTGGTGCTTTTGATTGGGTCAAAGAGTGGAGATGCCTGGCTCGGTTTTCCCGCTTGCATCTTGGACAGGCGATGCTGCTTTAAAATTTTCACAAATCCATCATCAAATAGCACCTCGTAAGTATCCTCCATTAGCGTCTTGGTAATTGTGGCCGGAAATTTACGCGAATCACTCCACGAAGCCATACACCTTTCCCCAATTTCATATTTCTGTATAGGTTTGGCTTGAACTGGTCTGAGTCGAGCACTGTTCATTGGTATCCACTCGTCATACTTGCTGGAGAACTTCTCAAAATGAATCAAAACTTCATTCTCCTCGTAGTCAACTTCAGTTATCTTAGCGGGATACCAAAAGCTATTATTGTCTAATACCTCTATTCGAGAATTAATAGTAAAATTTATGTGACTGGAACTTCCTATATTTGCTTCCTCTGTTTTAGCAGCAGAAGTCTGGGCTATCTTCAGCTGCTCATCAAAGTCCTTTACTTCTTCACTTTCCTCTGTTGCTTCTTCTTTTACTACAAAGTCGCTCCCGTCTACCTTCTCATTCAATTTTGTCTCAATTTCAATATTACTTTCAACTTTTTGTCCCTTTGAGTGACTGTTTTTCCCTTTCTTCGGTTTCTTTTTATCCACGTTTGTTTCCTTTTTGACGGCAGCTTCGGCCTTTAGGGCTTCCAATTTTGACTTATCCCAAGGGAACACACTTGGTAATACACCGTGCTTAAGCATGTACTTTTTGCCTTTGAAGTGGCAAAAGTCAGCTCGCAAGAAGTGTCGGGAGCAAACGTAGATGACTTTTACGCTTTTCTTGTCCTCGGGAATGCGACAAAGCGAAATCCATTTGGGGCGCAGGTCGTTATGAAGAGGCACCTTGTGAAATGTCACGCCCGTATCTTCAGCACGGTTCGAGTCAGAACTACAGCTTTCCACGCTACATTTACGACCCATATTCGGCAATTATTTTGATATGAAATGGTTTTAAATGACACTTTCAACTTGTTTGTTTATTTTTAACAAGCACTACGATGGTTTGGTAGATCCGCAATCTCAGTAAGCAAAAGGGTTAGTTGCGAAAAAAGAACATATTCATCTTCCTATTTTTCTACACATTTCATAATAGAAACTAATCATTCCCAGAAAAAAAAACGAAAACGAATAAAAGACAATTGCGCATATCAGAAGAAATATACATTTATTTCATTGGAATATAGGTTAAAAACACCATGTTTACGTAATAAAACAGAATTTTTTGAAATGAACAAGTCTTACGTCAACTTTAACCGTAATTGAGTGTGCCGACCACGCGACGGCCCCACCAAAACCTGCTTTCGCTTGTTCTGTGATCGTCCAATCCTTTAATGAACAGAAGTAGCTGTGTCGGTCACCAATCGTGCTCTTTCACATCTAAATATAAATAAATTTTCCTTCAAAATTAAATCAGTCGTTACGTTCCTTATTCGCGGGGTATACAGGCACATCAAAAGTCGGAGTTCTCGCGTTCGAAATCCGACTCAAGGGTTTGAAACACGATATGAGAGATACACTGTTTCCTGGGTATATTTTCAAACCTACAATATTTTAGGACGCTTTTTGCACATCCATTTCGATCGTTCACGGCATTGGTATCCACTCGTTATACTTGTTGGAGAACTTCTCATAATTAATCACAATTTCATTCTGCTCATAGTCAACTTTGGGTATTTTAGTGCGATACCAAAAGCTATTATTGTCTAACACCTCTAACCGAGAATTAATAGTGAAATTTATGTGACTGGAGCTTCCTACACTTGCTTCATCTGTTTTAGCAGCTGAAGTCTGGGCTATCTTCAGCCGCTCTTCAAAGTCGTTTACTTCTTCATTTTCCTCTGTTTCTTCCTGTTTTACTACAAAATCGCTCCATTCTGCCTTCTCATTCAATTTAGTGTCAATTTTAATGTTACTTTCTTCAACTCTGAATCCCATTGCGTTTTTCCCTTTCCTCGGTCTCTCAATGTTCAAGTTCGTTTCCTTTTTGATGACCGCTTTGGCTTTTATGGCTTCCAATTTTGACTTATCCCAAGGAAACACACTTGGTAACACACCGTGCTTAAGCATGTACCTTTTGCCTTTGAAGTTGCAAAAGTCAGCTCGCAAGAAATGTCGGGAGCAAACATAGATGACTTTTACGCTTTTCTTGTCCTCGGGAATGCGACAAAGCGAGATCCATTTGGGGCGCAGGTCGTTATGAAGAGGCATCTTGTGAAATGTCACACCCGTATCTTCAGCACGGTTCGAGTCAGAACTACAGCTTTCCACGCGACATTTGCGACCCATATTCGTCAATTATTTTGAGATGAAATGATTTTAAATGACACTTTACACTTGTTCATTTTTAACAAGCACTAAGATGGTTTGGTACGTCTTCAATCTCGGTAAGCGAAAGGGTCAGTTGTTGAAACTAACATATTACAAACAAAAACGAATTGCGATTCTAAACTTTTATTATATTCGTTATGAATGGAAGCTCGAATATATTGCATTTTCATCTTCCTATTCTTCTACACATTTCATAATAGAAACTGATCTTTTCCAAACAAAAAACGGAAACGAATAAAATACAATTGCACATATTCAGAAGAAATATACATTTATTTCATCCGAATTTACATTGAAAACACCAGGTTCACGTAATAAAACAAAATTCTGGAAGTGAACGAGTCTAGTGTCAACGTTATCCGTGACCGAATTCACCGCCCACGCAACAAACTCACCAAAACCTACTTTCGCTTGTTCTGTGATCGACCATTCGTTCAAAGAAGAGAAGTACAAGCCGTGACGGTCACCAATCGTGCCCTTTCACATCGAAATATAAATAAATTATCCTTCAAAATTAAATTAGTCGTTACGTTCCCTATTTCCGCGGTATACGCGCGCATCCAAAGTCTGAACTCTCGCGTTCGAAAACCGAGTCGAGGGTTTGAAACACGATATGATCGATACACTATTTCGTGCGTATATTTTCAAACCTACATTGTTTTAGGACGCTTTTTGCACATCCATTTCGATCGTTCACGGCTCACAATTTAATCCTGCGTAAGTGTTACCTTTTACCGTGTTCGATCAATCTGGCAAATCATAAATAATTAATAAGCGCTGGCCCACACTTTGTCTGAACTTAATTAAACGTTTCCCGGCGCATATTAATACGAAACAAGATGCCGGTAGCGTTTTAATAACCGGCGATCACAGTGTCGTCGTATGCTTTTATCCATACTAACCCCCCCCGACCTCCTTAAGACTAGAATATGGCGAGTTTCGCGACGCAAGCGGCTTTGAGAGCTAAATGGAGCTCCCTGGTAGAGGAACATTCGATAGAGGTGCCCCCCGAGGTGTCCAGCAAAGTAACGAGCGTCGTGGGTTGGCTTAAACAGGTTACCGTCCCGAATTTCCATTTTAGGCTGTACCGACATGTACCTTCTTAGGCTGATGAGCTTTTGGTTTAATTGTAGTTGGCATGGCGGCACGTCTAGGATGTGTTAGAAATGTTTTTTGGCTAGATTTTTTTATTTATTTTTTGCACTTTTAATTGTTTTTCTAAGGTGAGTTAAGTGTGCATTATTTTTTTAAAATATAACATCTATAATTTTGAGAAAGTAGAATCTCATATATAAGTCACTGTCTCAGTAGGTTATGAGGTAAAATTTGATTTTGAATTGAAAATCCACTCCATAATTGTTATCATTATCACCCTGTACAGGCACAGGAGTACTTTATTTTTATAGATTAGATTAATTCTCAATGTACGTGGGCGGTTTGTAAAATTTGGCGGCTCCCCTTAAAGGCTTTAGCTGTCGCAATGTTGTGGTTCATGCTTTTTTAGCGAACCAACCTGTTTTTGACCTTACTGGAGACTCGTCCTATATCAAATGGTTGGCCGGTTGTGAAAATTATACGAATTGGCGAACTGTGACGGATAAATCACTCCTAAGAGCGCCAGTTTATTTTTGATTCGTAGACTATACGCTCAATTTAATAGCACATTAATTACCACATAACATTAAGGTTATTTTGTTGACTACTATGTCTACAAAATTATTAGTTCGCTAAAATCGACAACCACTTTTTCTTTGCCCCTTGATTTAGTCAAAGAACCTTGGTTGAACACAGACCACGGAGAGCAGGGAATGGTCGGTTCGTGTGGTTCCTTACCGTCGTATTTACGACCATGCTGCTGAAAACGCACTGCGTAAAAGGCTGTAGTTAATTAAAATTCACTTTCGCAAATTTCGAATAAGATTTGAAAAAGGTGCGTGACGTTGCAGGCCTCGCTTGAAGTGAGGGCTGCGGGTAGGCGCGCGGTTAATACCCTTGCGGGCGGTATGATGTCCGAGAACGTCGTCATCTTGCATTTCAACGACGTGTACAACGTAGAATCGAGGACGGGACCCGAACCGGTGGGCGGGGCCGCTCGATTTTGTACCGCTGTCAAAAGCTTCCACTCTCTCAACCCACTGGTCCTGTTTAGTGGTGATGCCTTCTCTCCGAGCATGCGTAAGTCCCGATGACGTCACGTCTTGCACTGGAATAAGATTTCCTCTCTGTTGCGCAGTCAGCACCTTCACGAAAGGCGAGCAGATGGTGCCGGTGTTGAACGAGATCGGAACACATTGCGCGGTTCTCGGGAATCACGATTTCGGTGGGTTTCAACCAATATATCAATAAATCTCGAGGTTCCATTGCATCCACGAGGGAACTATTTTCAGATCACGGTCTCGAGGTGTTGTCACAGTGGGTGGGGCAGACAGAGTTCCCGTGGCTAATGTCCAATGTACTCGACAACGAGACAGGGCGGCCGCTAGGAGAGGGGCGGATTACGCAGGTCATGCACTGGGCGGGGCACAGGATAGGTCTTGTCGGATTGGTTGAAAAGGAGTGGCTCGACACACTAGCAACAGTCAATCCCGATGAAGTGACGTTCCTTGATTTCGTGGAGGCGGGACAAAAGTTGGCTGCCCAGCTCAAGCAAGAGGTAGGAGTTATCAAATGTAAAATATTTTCTGATCATGTTGGCGTATCAGAATCAAACTTTTTTTTGCCGAAGATTATTTTCTAAAAGGAATTTCCGAAATATAAATCCCCTCGTGATCAGAAGAGAGCGACATTAGAGAGCTTGGCATTGCAGGGTTGCGATTACGTCATCGCACTGACGCACATGCGCACGCCGAACGACCTCAAGCTCGCCGAGCACTGTGACGAAATCGACCTGATTTTGGGAGGCCACGATCATGTCTACGAAATACATCATGTGAACGGGAAATATGTGATCAAGAGCGGTACTGATTTCAGGCAGTTCAGCAAAATCACGGTCAACTTTGCAGATTGCGCGAAGGGAAGGCCCGAGGTGACGGTAGAAGCGATTGATGTCACCTCGCAGTACCACGAGGACCCGAAACTCAAGGAGAAATTAGCAAAATTTACCGGTTAGTAACACGCGGTGCCGAGCTGGCAAATTAATTAACTTAGTTAAAACTTTGCCAAAAAAAAAAATACCACATCTAAATTGAAAACTGTAGACTTCAAGAAGTGTCGGCGGCTATGTGGATTGTTGAACGGCGTAAAGCATTATTGGTTGAAACCTAAATGTAAGTTGATATGTCCTGCGCATATTCAATAACTCATCTCAACATTTTTTATGTTCAAAAGACTTAAAAAAAAACAGTTTTCACTCACTGCAAAACGTTTAAGCGTCCCTGACCAAAGTAGGCTATGTCGCAGTATTTTTCAGGTCTCATAGAGTCGAAAATGGACGACGTGTTAGGTTGTTTCGCTGTCCCTTTGGATGGCAGGTTCACTTCTATAAGGACGGCCGAATCCAACCTGGGAAACTGGGTGAGTTTGGGCGCACCCGCGGGCGCCGTAGTGAGAAGACATGACGATTCTGTCTTTTAGATTTGCGACGTGGTGTTGGCTGCCACCGGAGCAGATCTCGTGATCCTCAACTCCGGCACCTTCCGATCTGACCAGGTTCATCCTGCGGGCGACTTTACCATGCGCGACCTCACCAACATTATACCGATGAGGGACCACCTTGTCGTCTTGAAGGTCACGGGTAGGCCTGAAGAGGCGGGGCCTTAATCGACCACGCCCCGTCTTAAAACGTCAACTTGCAGGTCAGCAGATTCTCGAAGCGTTAGAGAACGGGGTTTCGATGTACCCGAAGTTGGAGGGGCGGTTTCCGCAGGTGGCGGGAGTTAGCTTCGCGTTTAACCCGACGAAACCACCGGGCCAGAGGGTGGAGCCGAATTTCGTGCGAGTCGGCGACGAGTACCTCAAACTAGATCAGTATTATAGGTTGGCGACGAAGAACTATCTTCATTCGGGCTGCGACGGCTACTCGATGCTCAAAGACGCGCCGATTTTGGTGAGTGTTTGGTCCTTAAAAAAGTGGGTTCGTTTAAAAAGGACGATTCGTTTGGTTTAACAGATCTTCTAGCGATTTTCTGAAACAATGCTATAGTTTTGGTTAGTTGAACATTGAAATTGATAAAGGCTAACAAGATTGCTTTTGAAAAATCGAAAGCAATCTTGTGGGAGGGGCGAGTTCGTAGCGCGTAGCGCGAAGTAGCTTTGTATTTTAAAAAGAAGCCACTTCGCGGTTTCTTATCCTAGAGGACCTCCGTTCCTGCAGACGGTTATGGAATTTTCGCAAAATCGTAATTTTATTGTGCATATACCCTGTATAAAGCGTCTTTTACGCGTCGCCGAACATCAGAGTCAGGGCAAACTTTGATAAATATAAAGATTTTTACAAATAATAACGATTTCCAATGATATTTTTTCAAATATCTCGCTCATCCTCTATGATAGACGAAACCTGAAACTCTCTCGATATAGTTTACAACACTATTTAAACCAAAATTTTTATAGTTTTTCATTGCCGGCTATTAATTTACCCACGAAAACGGGAGCCTTTTGATTTTTTGGCCATAATCGACACATCCTGTACAAAATTGAAGAAATACCGAAAGTAGAGGTTATATACAGGATTATCCCACGTTTCCTGGTCCAAGAATTTTTCCAATAGAGCAAATGGTTTTCGAGCAAATAATTCTTTTCTGAAACTATGCAGTACACCAAAATAGTTAATCACGCCATCGCGTCTAAACTGGACGCGAGAAACAGCGATTTTCATATGGATTTTTTCAAATATCTCGAGCAACGTGTGTTAGACGAAAAACGTAAATACAAAAATTGTAGCCCTTGATGTAGTCTATAACACTGTATGTACTGATATTTTTCACGAATTTTGATTTATGCCTACTTTACTCTGGAAAAGGACAATTTTCAAGGTCTTTTAGATTTCTGTCCATAATTGAAAAACCCTGTATATAATCAAAAAAATGCTTGAAACAAAAGTTATAGTACCGGATCTCCCATGGCTAAACGCTTTACATTTGCCAAATATGAAGGCGATAGCTTCAAATTTCGGGCACATCGTGTTTCATAGTGATCTTCAAAAAGGAGCCGAAAATTGAAACAAAAAATGGCCGCTGAAGTTCGATCGCCGCCGTTTTTACGGGTTTTGAGTGTACTGTTTAAAAAGAGCAAAATTTGATCCGTTTATATCAAATTGTTAAAAGTTATCGACAGTAAAGTCAAAAACCGAGAACGAACTGATAAAAAAAAACTAACCAATGACCTTGAGGCATTCCACAACCAACATGGCCCCTGACATATCGTTAATAAGTTTGAATGTGACATTTTTACGGCAGTATTTTTTTAAATATTCCTTAGATTTAGATAATAATAATAGATCTAATAATAATAATAATATATCTATAAACAATAAGAAATAAAACAGTATAAGATAGGAAGGTGGCAAGATATATCAAAGTTACTCGCATAACCACCCTGAGTGCGGTAAACGGCATTTGACTCACGAGTGAGTTAAAAAGTTTACCGAACGTGTTGCATACTATACTTTTTCTACGACCGTTAGTTTTTGCGTACATTTTTGCAAAACACGAATACATTCACATACATGACTGTCAGAATTGACAAACGTCAAAATTTAAAGCGTGGGAAATATCTCCGAGAACATCCGATTGCTCCCAAATCCGTGCGGTAAAATCCCGGAAATGTCCAAAGTGGCTCGGATTCGTGGGAAAATAAACTGACGTGGTAAAGCGACGCTTCCCGCACACTAGATCGGTGCGTAATTAGGTATTTTACAGACGGGAGTAGAAAAATACACTTATACACATTAAAAAAAAAAAACACATAAATACATTTTTATAGTTAGTTACTGCAATGAAGCGGAGGTGCTGCAAGGAACTACAGAAATAAGAAAAATAAATGGAAAAAAATCGTATTAATTGGACAGTAGATTAAATTAAGACGCTTTCTAAAGTCGGAAGTGGTCAAGCAGCACTTGATATCTGGATTGGAGTGTAAATATTTAGTTATAACTGAAAGCACACTGATAGAGGGCAGTACGGTACCGCGGGAGTGTACAGAGAATTATGACGGATTCCTTGACAAGTTTTTCAAAAAGAGTGTGAGAAAGAATCTTTGGTCTAATTAAAAAGTAAAATGTAATGTAAGTAAGTAAGTAAGTAATGTAAAAAGTAAAATGTGATCAAATTTCCTGATATTATAACAAAACCTTAGACAACTGTTTTGCTGCCTCTGTAATCTTATCTGATCTTTGTTGAAGAGGGCAGGCCAGTATACTACATGCCTACATGACAGTAAGATGAAGGGAAAGGTTGTAGGAAAACGAGTTATGTGTGGAAATCGCTGTTTAGAAAGAAAATAGCGGAAAGTGCAGATTAGTGGGTGAAATGTGGAGGCATGCGCGGAATATCATTACCTTTTTTACGAAAATGTCAATGCCGCCTGTGGTGCAAACATTTTTACCGTGGTAAAGTCACTATATTATCTAATAGCGCAAAAAAAAACATTACCATAGTTAAGAATTTAGTTAGAAAGCAGCTGGATCTTTCAAATGGAAAGGGTGAACCATTTTCCGAGACCGCTATGATTAATTAATAATGTAAAAGGTTATTTAAAGGAAAGTTGCGTTATCAAAAGAAAATGGTTAATGGTTAAATGTTTTGTAGTACTTCAACTTTTCAGGATGGGTTGAGCCTCGATCGTTTGCGAATCTGGCGTCTTTACGAGAACCGAACAGTGTTTTATGTAAAATCGGTTCATATACATAGGGTAATTTTGTTTTTTCTGCGAGAGAAATAATTTGCGTTGAAACAACTTAGGATTATACAAATACGTTGTCTGGGACCATTTTCTGTGTTTCCGGGATAGCTCAAACCGATGCGGATGCAACTACCTACCAATTTTTATACGGTGCTTTAATAAGTTTCTAACATTAAATTTTACTTACCGCAATATAGGTTAATGAAGGCGAATGCCCCGAGCTCGGCTTGGCCATCCAGAACCATTTCCAGGCAATCAACATGCGCCTCGGCAAAACTAAGAAACAGTCGAAACACAGACAGTCTCTGGTCACATTGTCGAGGAGGTGAGGTCGCGGCCCTCGTGGAAAAGATATTTTTGTGTTTATGGCCACCAAAAATGTCTATTGTGTCTGGTGCAAACCAAAAAGGGATAGTTACTTCTCGTAAGCGCGGCGCAATGTCAATGACCGAGTGTGTGACCCACTGCGGTCCACTCAATTCAAAGATTTAGCAATAGTTACGTTGCTCTGTTACAGAAATCTACCTTTACGGAGCGTTAAAAGCATCAGTTTATGTGAACAAAATTGACAGCAAGGGACTGTTTCACTCGTAATAATAAATATTACATGAAAATCAATAACAATCTAGAGAAAACAGCACCAAAAGACTGTGCTAGTAAATTTGTTTCGAGTGGGCCAGGTAACGTCACTGTAGCAGCGGACGCTCGCGATAAGCTGACCGGAATGAATCGCCGATGTAACTATCCTCTTCGATACACCGTTATTGCATTCTGCCACCTTTTCAGACACAGCCTGGTGAAAATGCTCGATGGCAGCGAGCTAGACGGCCCGCCGCCTTTGAGGAGGGCGAGTACGATCGAGACGTCTAGTCAGCATGCGCCCCACCACTCGACGAAACTGACGCGGCGCGCGTCTCTTGACGACCTCGAACAAGAGTCGTGTCAGCTGATACCAAAAATCGACCACAGAATAGTGACGATCAACAGCGAGGAGGTAACTTTTCCCGAACCGTCGTTCTGTGTGTAGAATTTGTTTTCGCAGCACTTGCGCTTTTTTTTTTTATTTTCGCTCGTTGTGTTAATAAAATAAAGTTGTTGCCTTGTGATTTCGTGTTTGCATTTCGTTTCGATTGGTCATAAGCGACAACTTTTTTAAACATGATCTGTTTGTTCTGTCTATGATGTCAGAATATATCAAATCTATCTTGTGTGTCTTTTCCGTGCCATGGCACTAATTTGTTAAACTTTTACTTTAATTATTTCATGACGTATTAATATTCCCTTTGAAAAAGTTACTTTAAATCTCTGTGATATTTAGCAAATAATATCAAACGGGACATTATGCGTATTTTGTGACACTATCGAAAGTTTTTTTGAATTGTTGCAATTGAAATGAAATAAAGGTTAGGCCTTATATCATAGAACACTTCTTTATTCAGGTCACTGCATTTCGTTCCCCCCTTTACATCCAAAGTTTGAAAAAGTTGTCAAAGTTGATATAATTTTGTGTTCTATTCGGTATTATTTACATACGTCTAGAATAATTTTTGTGTTTTTCGTATCACCAGAGACGGCAGGAGCTGGTCCTGCAACGGCAACGATTCGAGCAGGACTCAATCATTGAGGAGGTGGACGATGAATGCTCGCCCCAAAACTAGTTCTCCCTTCCCTCACTTTTTTACGTCGCTTCCAATCAAAAATGACGTACAACTTAACGACAAGATATATTATATTTCTACAAACTTTTTAACTAAATGCCTTCAAAAAAAGGAACACCAGTAGAGAAGTTTATAAAGTACGCCACAACGAACAGTATTTACATTCGAAAATTTGAATTGTAACGGGTCCGATAGAGGGAGCTCTTGGCCATACAGACAACGTTTTGGTTTTTGGTCAAAAGTTTACTCTTTGTAGATGTCGAAGTAATAACACCGCCGCTAGCTTGGATTGTTTTTTTTAAGGAGAATAAACAGGAACAGAAATATAAGCGTAGACCTGCATTAATAAATTTTTGGATCACTTAACACAGTTAACATAAATTATGTTAAAAGGCAAGAAGTTAGACGAAAAAATATTTAGTCTCGAGCTTTTTGTGTATGCCAATCTCTAATATTAACAAAGTAGTTAGCGCTATTTCTTTTAGCCCCGCTTCTTAAAGAGAAATTTACCTACTAAATTTGTCATTTTGGAACGATTTAGGTGGTCCAAAAGTCTTCGAATTCGAATTTGAACAATTTCGACCAGTTTAACCCAAGGGGTTTGCAATGATATTCGTCGTTATTATAAATTCAATTGCAATGCGCGACATATTTGAAGCACAACGAAAAAAGGGAAGGTAGTTTTGGTTTGGAATTTGGAATTGAAAATGCGAAAATGCGCCTCCTTTATATTTCATTATAATAAATCGTCAATTACCACCGATCGGTTAGTTTTCGTCATTTCAACGTGCGACGCTTTTAGACGGTACACGAGGGTGACGTAGTGTGTTCGATTCAAAAAATGTAGAAGCACCCGTCATTACTGTTAGATTTTATTATTAGCAATTGCTGTTTGTGCGGGGACATTTAATGAACGCGATTTAATGAGCTTTAAAAAACGGATATACAGGATGGAAACCGAAAACAAGGACACGGGACAATCGTAGAATTGTAGAGCAAAGATTAGTCGGTTATCTCCACTCTGTAAACACGACTTTGCATAATATATGTGTCTTCTTCAAATCTTTAGAATATATATATATATATATATATATATATATATATATATATATATATATATATATATATATATATATATATATATATATATATATATATATATATATATATATATATATATATATATATATTCTCACGTATTGATTCACGGATGGAAAAATGTGATGACACTATATTCCGGGATATCATCCGTTCGCTCGTTGAACTCCGACTGGAATCCTGCATCCGACTGGAATCCTGCAAATCTTGCATCCGACTGGAATCCTGCAGACGTTTCGCCAAAATCTCACTTGGCATCTTCAATGCTCGCGCTCCGAAAACACTTCGAACACGAAGTGTTTTCGGAGCGCGAGCATTGAAGATGCCAAGTGAGATTTTGGCGAAACGTCTGCAGGATTCCAGTCGGATGCAAGATTTGCAGGATTCCAGTCGGATGCAGGATTCCAGTCGGAGTTCAACGAGCGAACGGATGATATCCCGGAATATAGTGTCATCATATATATATATATATATATATATATATATATATATATATATATATATATGTATGTATATAGCATATATTATTTTATGCTTTATTTACATATATCATTTCAAGACCCTGTTTGGTGGAAGCGTCTGTATAAAAAAATCGGCATATTTTAAAAATTGGAGTCAGACTTTCATACATTTTGATAATTCCACCTCGAAAAAACGAAATTCTACATACTTGTAACACCATTTAATGAATCCGGGTTTCTGATGACACTCCGCATTGTTTTCTGCGTGACTTTCCGAAAGAAATAGATAAATCTAAAGACACGTGGAGCATGGCTTTCGTGGTTTTGGGTTGTAGTCAAAATAAATCAAATCCAAATCATTTGCTCACCAAGTGATTACAATACCCGTGGCGTCTCGATAACTTTTTTAGGTGGTACAGAGCGGCCAAATCTATTTATCCTCCGCCAGATTTTTTTATGCAAGCAATTTTAACAGTTTCCGTTCCATAGCGGCAAATTTCGTTAAACTGTGCCTCTGCCTATAGATTATACAAAATATGACTAGTCACAGATGGCGCCTCCAAATGCGTCACTTATGCGACGCCCTGTTATTTTTTTTTGACAACTACATACCGGTTTTCTGTAGCAATGTTACAAATGCTGAAAAATAAATGTTAAATATGTTAATTTTGTGTTAAGGTGCTTTTTTGTGAGCGAAATAAGAACAGTTGCGTCAAGTTTGTGGGGCAATAGTAATTATTGTTATCGCGTTTTTTTGTTCTTAATAAAAATGTTCAACTTTTTTTTGACGATTCGTTTATTACACTGCTGCGCTTTCCCAAATTCCTCGCGGCCCTTGATTGCTTTTCCGTTAAACCTGAAAGTGGGCCTGGGTCTGAGGTTTCCTACGCACTCGGTGTATATTTCATAATTGACCGTTAACAATGACCTTTTGCCGTTATCAATCACTTTTCCGTCGTATCTTGATAATGGCCGGTCAGTCGAAGGCGCACAGGCCGAAAGACGGTTAATTGTTTAATTAGTTTTTAATGTAAAACGTTGTCCCTAACATTTGTATGAAATGGTGAAACTTTATAAAATATTCCTGGGTTACTTTTCAATTTTGGCGTTGATCAGGGCCCTCACAGACAAAAATTCATGCAAAAGGTACGTGGATTACTTATTTCCTTATGCCAACGGCGCGAGTTGTTACCACAACCCGGAAATAGACATGACCACAGTAAGGCTTCTTCATTGCTTTTTTACCACATTGAATTCGTGCCACAGTAAGTAAAACGTAAGATCTTTCGCAGCCGCAAATCTTAAACGAAAGGCGAATACCTTACGAAAATCACACGGTAATCACCGAAGATGGCTACATTTTAACACTCATCCGGATGCCGCGGGAAAACCCGAAAGGAGTCATCATTTTGCAGCATTGCCTATTCTTCGATTCTAGCGTTTGGTTTCTCGGCTATCATCAGTCTGTGGGTAATAACTTTTTACGTTCGTCGTAACCGATCCGTGCTTTCGGACTGCGCACGTCAAGTCTGCGCGACAACTTTTTTTCGTCCGTAGCTTTAACTCTACATAACGCAGGCTACGAACTATGGCTGCCGCACTTTAGAGGGACAATCTTATCCGAAAATCACATAGATCCATCCAAAACGCACAAAGATTATTGGAATTTTAGGTATTTGTTTGCTAACCCAGGCGCATCAATCACTAAATCGGTAATTTTTCTCTTGCAGTTTCCACGAACTCGGTTTGTACGATTTATCCGCCACTGTGTCGTACGTTAAAAACAAAACTGGCAATTCAGCTTTGATTTACATCGGACATTCGTTAGGATCAACCGCTGCCTTTATTTATGCTTCCATGAAATCCAAGGATGCCAAAGGGGCCGTTAAAATCTTCATTACGTTGTGTTCCAACGTTTTCATGGGCGGCGTTGCCACACCGCTACGATATTTGCTACCTCTGATGCCACGTTTTCAGGTCGATGTCGTTAAAACGCTATTTTAACGAAGAGTTTCCGTCGATTCTGTGTTTTAGGCGCTGGCAGATTGGTTGAATTATGGGAGATTCTTACTCGTCATATTTCCCAAATTAGTTAATAAGTTACTGCCGGTCGAATATCCGATCTCGTTATTGGTATCATGGATCATAGGATGGTCTCCCACCGAAATCGAGCCGGTAAGTGGTAGGACAAAGTGCGAACTTACCAAAAAAACGTACGCGGTTGACATTAGGACATTATACCGTCGTTGTTGACGTTTGGGCCGCAGCCTACTTCACTGAAAAATTTATTTCACTACGGCCAGCTTGTGGAGACTGACAAATTTCAAGCATACGACTACGGGCTAAAAAAGAATCTTCTATACTACAATTCGAATCGCCCGTTTGAATACCCGTTGCAAAATATAAGCGTTCCTTTTTATCTAATTGATGGTACAGAGGATTCCATGGTTTCCAAAGAGGTACACACAAAAACCAATTGTTCGCGTAATTATAACTCAACTTTTTTATTTAGGGCATCGAACGGCTTTACAAAACATTACCGAATAGTACCAAAGTATATGGAAGACTAACCGCTGAAGGGTTAAACCACAGCGACTTTATTTTTGGAGCGTCGAGGTTCATAAAAGTTTATCACAAAATTTTAAAGCTTTTAGATAAAATAACCTGAAATATAAATTATATTTAAAAATGTTTTTGTTTCATTTCTTCCGCGATTGACCGCGGTAAATACCTTAACTTTAATATTCTCTGGGGAAATAGCTCTTTCATAGATTTCAATTCAATTCAATTATGCGTACACGTACAAAGAAGACATATAACCAATATTTGCTCAACTAGCAAAAAACAATTTTGACCCATACCAAAAAAACCGACACCCCCCCGCTTCTACCCCGGACCATTCGGGCCCATCGGGCCTCCATACCGGCGTGAACGGGGAAAAGCGTAGGGATCGGCGAGGATTATCACTTTAAAACGTTCACTAAAGTCTGAAAACACTAAATCCACCTAGTGGAGACCGATTTCAAAAATTTTTTGGACAATTACAAAGGATTCTCTAGGGAGCGAACGGATTTGTTTGTCTTGTTAGATTTGTTTTTGATGAAACACCGAGGGAATACTGACATCATTGGCCACGAGAAGTCAAAAAGAAGAAGTTTCTAATAGTCCAGATGTAAGTGGTCGTATGATTCTTGCAGTTTTGGTCACCTAAGGAAAAGGAGACTGGAAAAGTTTTACCTCCAGGAAGTTTTAAAGATTTCTATTCAACCAAAATTTCTCCAACCAACTGTCCAAGAAAACGTGTATGCTATTGCAACGGAGAATAGTGGTCAAATTAGTAATGTATCTATGTAAGTTTAACGCCTAACCAATCTGCTGATTTCCCACATAACAAAAGATTAAAATATTCATGGCATCATTCACTAGTTTTTGACCTAAACTTTGTTTTCTAAAATTCAAGAATTGTTGGAACCGTTTTGTGAATCGGTCTTAATTTTATGACTAATATATAGATGTTGATTCCACTGTATATCTTAACATACCTATGGGATAATGGATTAGTCCAGACCCTTTCTTTACCACGGCACCATTAGGAATTTTGGATTATTTTATGTGTTTGTAAGATGGTCGAATGATCTTTAGTTGTTGGCCATTAGAATTAGAGACAAGAAGAAGAAAAATCTCAGTTTAGTAGGCCAAATAAATCCAGAAACCACCCGTAAAGTTTTAAAAACGCACTGTAAATAAATATTTTTCCGAAATGGATATCGCAAGAGAACCGAATTTGGATCTGCTGACAGCCAAAGACTTCTCGCCGGAGAAATATGTAAAGGAATTGTCACATAACTACGTGGGCGGTCTCGAATTAAAAAACTTGCGTAAAAAGATACAATCTCTGTCCGAAGAAACAAGCGGCAACTTAAAACGCAACGTCTACCATAACTACGTGCAGTTTATCGACGCAGCTAAGGAAATATCTCACCTTGAAAGTGAAATGTATCAGTTGTCTCACTTGCTTTCAGAGCAAAAGTCCTTACTGACTGCCTTATCAAGCACTTCAATTTTGGAAGACCGGACGCACGTCAATATCGAGAGGGACAACAGACTGGACAGGAACGAATTGGAGGAGGAAAACAAGCAAAAGATGACGGTTATATTTGAAAATGTTGAGGGTTGTAAAGAAATCTTGGACGTTCCAGCACGGACTTACTTATTTGAGGGCGATTTGTTGGAAATCGATCCAACGGAGAACACTGCGTTGAAATTCGTGCACGTGTACTTGTTTAACGACGGTTTGATGGTAACCACTCGCAATACGCGCGGACGCGGATTGATGAAGTTTGCTTTTGAAAGTTTTTACGAACTTGCCAGTTTGGCAGTGGTGAATGTAAGAGACCTGGGAAACGTGAAGCACGCTTTCAAACTGCTCATATTTCCAGACACGCGTGTATTCCAATGCTCCTCGAACTCCAGCAAAAAAGAGTGGTTGGATAAAATTGATCAGGTAGGTTGTATGAAATGTTAATTTAAGTGAAAAATACAGTTTAAAGTTTATAGAAAAAAGAGCTGATGTTTCTGTTAACAACACTATTTAAGGGAGTGAAAAGTAAAAAAAGTGATTTTAAGGGATGGAAAAGAAAAAGATTCCCATCATGGTTTCTCTTATCAACGAATTTTCCAACCTAAAACTAAAACCATTAATTTGACGCGATTACAGATCAGCGAATGAACTAGTTATAGTGGGATTTATTTTAAACAATCGTCATCCGAGCTTTAATCATAGCAAACACATCTGGGTTCTGTTTTGTGCAGGTGAAAAAAGCGCGTTTAGCGTCGGATCAGCAGAAACGCGAGTCCTCCATCGAAAAATCACCTTCGAGGTCCATGATCTCGGTGGGATCACCTCTCGCCAATTCCACCACCATGGAACCAGCAGAAACTGCAATCACGACGCACCCGGACTGGTTCCTGAACGTCGTCGACGAGCTCGACGTGTGCATAGCTCAGCGACACTTCGAGGAGGCCGTCAATCTGCTGGAAAAAGCGACGCGGTATGTTCAAACCCTTCCCCAAGCGGACCACGCCTCCGAGGTTCAACGCAAGGCCGACGTCAAACGCAATCACTTGATCGAAGTGTTGATGAAAGAGCTCGAGGTTAACCCCAACAAGTCTTTACAGGGCGGATTAAGGGCCGCCCGCCGTGCCGTCAGGTTACTTAACCAGCTAGGCAGGTCGGCGCAATCCTGCGCATTGTTCCTAAAACTGTGCAGCAGCATATTGAAGATCCAGTGCAAGCGAGTGAGACGTGAGAGTTCGACTACGACATACGTCAGGCACTTGTCGAGCGTCGTGTTCACAAACATGTGTCACATGTCAGAAGAGTTCGCGAGAGCGTTTTCCGATTCGCCGAGCTGCACATCGTCATACGTCGTGTGGTCCAGCCAAGAGGTGTCGGTTTTCATCAGTCATTTTATTAAGCAAGCTTTTATGCCGCAGACGAGTTTGTCAACAATAGCCGACTGCGTGGTGTTGGTGAGGGAACAGTGCGAGCGTCTGTGGGCGTACGGGATGGACTTTAGGTACCAATTGGATGGAGCCCTGAGGGCCCCTCTGGCAAAGTCTCTGCGGGACGCGCGCGACAAGCTGATCGATTCGGTTAAGCTGAGGGCGATCGAGGACAAGTGGATCCCATTGAATCTTGTTACCAAGTAAGTGAGATAGGAGGCGATTTTAACGTTAATAATTTGAAACCTTTCAACCCCAGGAGCGCGCTAGCACGATGCCTGCACGAGTATGAGCAGTTCGGCCTTCGACTGGACGCGTACGTCACGGGTGATGTGTGGTTGCAATTGGCGTCAAGCAACCTCGCCTTCACCAAGACGTTCGTCGCACTGCTGAACGATTGTCTCAAATTGAGGACGTGTGAACTGCTGCATAGCATTGATGACACGCTGTATAGGGTGTACGACGCGCAGGTTAAACATAATGAGCAAGCGCTCTGCAATGAGCTGCAGCCCGAGCAGAGAAGGTTCATCCTGAAGAATGTTAGTTTCCTGTTAGGCCCTTTGCTTGACTTGGCACAGAGTAGGTACAAGAAGGCTGTCGGCTACGAATGCGCCTCTCTAGGCAAATTGAGGGACGAGTATTCGGCCCTGCTCAGAGGTGTAGTGCCGGCTCCCCGAGCAGTCACCAAGACCGCGTATTCCGCAGAGTTTGTGTGAGGGGGCGTGGCACTGCGGCATAAGCAAAGTTAATATACAGGGTATTCTTTGTCCAATAAAACCAACAAACTATACGGGATATAACGTAAATCCCTGGATTTCCTATGAAAAAGGAATTTTGTAGCAAAAGACTTTAATAATTTTTGGTGGGCGGGACAGTCCATTTTAATTTTTCTGCAAAAGTTAACAAACAGCAAAATGTACTGTTAGACTTAAATGCATACCAAGGCTTATGGAAAAAATATTTAAAATATGTATGTAACATGCGTGAAAAATTAGGTTAGTTTAGGCTGTTTAAACTTTTTCTTTACGTTGATTTCTACGACTTTTCGTCTTAAATCAGCCCATTTCAGCCCATTGGATAAGGTCATTAATAGATCGCCTAGCTTGGCTTGTTGAAATAAGCTTGTCTTCTGTATTTGACAGTATTGTCGTTGTCATATTTTTCTGAATCAGAATCAATTGGTGTTTCGTCCTCCAACTGATTTAAGTTTGCTGATTCATCTTTATTCCATTCGTGAATGTTGTTTATTTCACATTCAAGCTGTAATATACAAAATTCAAAATTAACGTAAACATGGAACCTCCATAACTCGAATCTCTCTGTATCCTGACCTATTTTAGGGGTCTTCGTAGCGCAAACTTAAAACATTAACAATAATTGATGAAAAAACGTAGATTTTAAAAGAGTCGGGAATGGTATCCAAGAAAAAAAAATTGTCAACCACATGACATGACAGGCTGGAAAATGTTTGATAATTAGTATTGTTGGGTTGTTTACATTTTTTTTTTTGAAATATAATAAATATCATACTTAAAGTACTTATGCATTTTTCACAGTCCCTTAAAGTTCAAGTTATAGAGGTTTGACTTCGTTTTTGTCATTTTACTTACATTTGGATTAATATTTTGTAAGAGGTTTATAACACTCTGGTTAGCATTGTGTGCTTCACCTTTGAGTAATCGTACTCATAAAACATTTAAGGGGACATTATCCTCTTCACCGTCCAAGTTGATTATTAAAACATTTCTCTATAAGAATTGGTTTTAACATATTCCAGGCCAAAGCTAAATTTGAAACTGCATATAATAATAATCGACAAAGTGAAACACGCAAAATCCCCGAGTCGCGAGGGGAATCGATGTGCGTCGCAGTTCATTGTATCGGAGTTTACCGCTGTTCACTGTATCGCGAAGCACAATGATACCATTTGTGTCTTCACTCTACGGGGTAGGTCACTAAATCATGACTTCACTGTATTTACAAAATAATCAAGTCTATTCTCAAAGCTATTCAGGGTAGGTGCAGTCACAACTGATACAACTGTTCCACTCATTTACAACACAGTTTCTATTTTTTGGCGTGAAAGTCTGTGAGTTCAGTACACAATTTTAGTCAACGACCCCTTAGGTTATTTTCATTTGGATGAAACAAGTGACATGAGTAGTGGCCATGCAGGATTTTGTAGCATTCCATTAAGTCCTCCCTTTCTTCTCCTTTCGTCTAAGGTGGTTAGGCGAAGACATTTTAATTGATCTTTATATGGGAGGTTGCTTACAGATGATGGGATTTTTGTTGCTCGCCTCTGAACCCGTTTAAGATTTATGTCCTTCCAGGACTGGTCAGTTGAAGCTTTTGTAGGCTTGAAGAAAAGATACTTACGACATCTCCTTGAAAGCATGTCGTATCACATAGATTCAGATGATGGCATGTTTTACTACCTTTGTAATCTGGCTCTCCCATTTTAGGGTGGTTTAAGATATAAAAACACTGTCTGTTCATTTACGGATCTTTTATACCATAGTCAAATTTAGGATTTTTATAACCTATACGTAGCGTTGTACATTTGTGTGCTTTAGCTAATGTTGCACTACATGTGCTTAGCAAGGCCAGAGACATATATTATGAATAAAAGGGTACCAGCACTGATCTCCGAGACGTATTTCACTCAAAACCTCAAAATCTGAAGAGCCATCTGGAAGTTCAACATTTTGATCCATCCCACCAGTTTACCTCTTGTACCATAGTGCTGTAGTTTGTAAACACGTCTTGCCAGGGAGACTGTGTCAAAACCATATCTACTGGATATCCCTTATGGGCCTGGGTCCACAGTTCCAAATTGGCAATTAGATTTGAATTAACAGATCTTTGAGGTAGAAAACTATGCTGGTTATCAAGGAGGTCCTGTTGATTGGTCATTAGAAATTCAGTGAGTTCCCAAGCAATTATCTTTTCCATAACTTTGCTGGGAATAGAAGTTAGACTCTGATTGGTTGGTAGTTGTTTGCCTAATATTTATTGCCTTTCTTGGGCATAGGAATAATAATTGTCTTTTTCGAACTGGGGATAGCTTCATTTCGTCTGTGGATTCATTCATCATTCGAGACATCAGTTTTGCTTATTGTCGATGAATAGTTTTTTAGAAAAACTGGGGACACATTATCAGGATCAGGACTAGCATGAAACTTAAACTGGGCTAGAACTTTTTCTTCGGTGCATTTTATTTCTGAAATCGATGCCTGGGTAAGAATTTCTAAGGTTAGCGCAGGACATTTGGTTAGGTCCTCTTGGACATAAACACTGTCGAGTTGTTCAGCACATGGTTGTGAGATCCTAATTGATTCAGTTTCTAACTCACCAGAGCTGTCAAGCAAGGCAAAATTAACTTACTTTAAATTCTAATGAGTTGTTAATGTATTGGTAAAACTTGCCTGAGAGTGGGAAATACAACTTCTGATTGTTTGTGATGTATTTCAACAAGGAGTTGATCAAATTTTACTAAAGCACAGCAAAGATCTGAGAAATGGAGGAATAAAAGTTTGCATTCAGTTTTTTAACGGTGGATTCGACTTGATTACCTTTGGGATGCCACCAATATATTTTATAGTAAGTAAAGGATCAGTCTTTCTTCTTCTAGAATCTTGTACTTCTGTAAGATACATTTGCGACGTGATATCTTAAAAATATAACATTATCTGTAAGATTGCCTTTGTTCTGCAGAACCATAGTTGCATGTTCTTTGGATTCGCATTTGATTCTTATTGGGCAGTTTTTCTCCAACAAACCACAAAAATAATGACTTACCCAATTGTGTTCAAACGAGACTGTTGTTGCAACCTTTGGGGGAAGTCGAACAAAACACGCCCGCCTTAGTAAATATATCGTTTATTCTTTCTCGTGTTTTTTATTTTTTAATAAATATATAATGTTGGAAAAAATAGCGTTCAACGATCAATAACACCCAGCATTAAACCCGCGACAAGGAGAAGTATCCAACGATTAACAAATTATTGCTTTGACTTGACAACCGCTGTGAAGTTTCCTCGTTAAACAACAAAATGCGGAAATGGGACATCGCAGAATAAAAAAAACACTGCCGCTTAATTAACTCGGTACAAGACATCTTATCCATTTTAATATCTTTGAGAAGTCGTCGGCCGGATTAATGGCCTGACTCATCGCGTTATACATGTTTACGAACGTTAAACTTGTCCTACCCCACCCTGTGTATAGTAAAATATGAAAGTATTGTTTCTTCGCAGACCAAGAAAATTTTTCTTCGACTTTACCCTGTATATAAAGCTTATTAGGATATGAACACAATATACACCGATGTGTAAATGATTTTTTTTACTGGTGAAATTACAGAGAGCTAAAAAGGAGATAAAACGTAATGCTGGACTGTTTTCTTAGGAGGGTAAATAAGTCTTTAACATTTTTACCAAAGTAAAGAAAGTACATCGCCAAATCTTTAAGTTGTTTGGAAGCAATGGGATGTATGAGCACTTGCATCCCTGTACATTTTAACTAATATGATTGATGTTTTTTTTTCTTTAATATAAATGCATTGAATATAACGGTCCTAAATAAGAACAAAATTCTCTGGTTCTTATAGAAGAAAAAAACGCGTATTTTTTTAGAGTTATCGCTAGGTGGAAATATAAGTTCTATATTGACTCCCTTCAGCGAAGTGAGTGCTGATTAACTAGTGTCTGGAAAAGTTTTTAACTAGGACATACTCTTCATTTTCTGTGACCATTAGTTTTTGGGTACATTTTTGCAAAACAGCATGAATATATTCACTGAATGACTATCAAAATTGTCAAACGTTAAAATACTATTAAATTTTAAATTTATCAATAATCAAATTGGACGCGTCGGAGCAGTATCAGGAAGGAGTGGAAAAATAATATTTTACTAATTTTCTGCTATCCCCGATTTTTCTCAATTAGATGTGTGTATTTCGGGTACACCATGTTGATAAAAAAACACAGCCGAAACAGTAGAATAATGACTGAAATTTGAGAGAACTCAATTACAACAGACCCGTTTTGTCAACATTGCGATTGGCGTCCCTCTTTTTAGCCCTCCTCCATAAACTTCACAGAGAAACGAAAAAACGCCGCACACCGTCGACGATCGGACACGATAGGAAAGGTTATTAAGTCACACGTTGACAGTCGAAGTTTTCGCGGTTACTGAAAAAATTTTAGTCCTTCGCCTTTGGTTTTACTTTATTTTTTTCAACTAAACTCAGGGCACGACGCGAGATCGCGCGCACAGGACAAAAAGAAACAAACACCGTCCCAGCCCACCCCGCGTCAAACAATTTTCCTAAAGTACGCAACGAACCACGCCCCCCACTTTCAATGGATGTTCCGACGCCGGTAACGGCTCGCCCGTCTAGCACCTCCTCCTTCTCGTCTCGTTTTGGTCGTCGTCTCGACCTTCGACGACTCCTCTTCCGACCCGCGACACGCCTCCTTATCGTCGTCCTTTTCCAAGGTCTCCCCTTCCATCGTGTCGCAACCTGTTTAAAAAGGAATATCCCTTTAGCCTTTCCTTTCCTAGGTTCGCTTTTTTTTCTAAAACCGCTGGTGGACATATTGACGATACGATGTGAATCGAGAAGATCAGTAGTTCAAACACCACATGTTCGTGTACACCGTGTGCCAAATAAAACGATGCACTATATGATCTGCAAACCCATAGGAGATACGAAAAAAAAATTTGTACCAAAGTTTCTTGTACTGTCCCGAAGATTGAAAATATTATAATTTTGTTGATACAGCGTGCCCTAAAAGTGTCACCCCAACATCATATTTGTTATTTTAAATGGAACACCTTGTATATTTCGACATTTTTTAAATCCTTGGTTAAAAAAAGGGACCCTTTCCTAAGGAATTCCTATTCGAATTTTGCATAGTTTAGGCAGAAATTGAGGTTTTGTGTTTTTTCATATTTTGATTGTCCCATATAAAATTGTGACGCTACTGATCCAATTTAATCATAGACTAAGGAGATGACGCACTACTTAATGGGTTTGACGGATGCGCCTCAGCTTATACAGGGTGTCCCAAATACATTTTTTATTCAGATAACAATTCTAGGACAAAAAATAAGTTTTTAATTTATCTTATATTTAAATTTTACTTACTTTTTGAGATATTCGAGATTTAAGAAAACAGTCAGTATCAGTATAAGTTCTTGTTGAATTTAAAGCTGCCCATATTAGGTCACTTATTGGCAATATTAGGTATTTTTTAAATAGCAAAGACATGATACTTCTTTTAAAAATATAATACTCCAGATATACGGATAAAACATATTGCTAACAATGTCGATTAATACGTCGAAATTTTGAAAAAAAATGATTCTATACTGCACACTTTAACAGATTGAATAAAACTTAATTATCAAGCTTGATTGACAATTAACATTGAACCTAACAATAAAAATAAATAATTAAAGTTGACAATTTAAACTAGCCAAAAAACTATAACATTAAAATACAAAGAAAATTTATACTAACAAAAAACTTGACAACTATGAACTTTTTATATTGAAATAAGAAAAAAAAAACGCAAACAACAGAAATGTCAAAGTTTGTTTATACCTCAATGCGTAAAAAAAAAAGATATTTTGATATTTCTTTGTTGTTTTGATGCTAGATGAAACGAGCATTTTAAGAGGAGCTTTGTGGACCGAATTAACGATTCCTTTTTAGTAAACTTTTTTTATAATTTAATTTTCCAAATTTGTTAGCTTGGTTAGTTATTCTATAAACTTTAATTATTTATTTGTGTTATTAGGTATTTTCATTCAAGCTAGATAATTAACTATTAAATGTTTCTTTAAATATGAATTCCGAAGTTTTATTAAATCGGTATTATTAGCAATAGGTTTGTTTCGTATATCTGGAGTATTATATCTTCAAATGAAGTACTATCATGTCTTTGCTATTCAAAAAATAAATAATATTGTCAACAAGTGACTTACCCAGATTAACCCCTTAAATTCAATAAGAATTTATGCAGGTGTTATGTTAAACCTCGAATATCTTAAAAAGTAAGTAAAATTTAAATATAAGATAAATTACAAACTTACCTTATTTTTTGTGTCTGAATAAAAATATAGGGTGTTCCATTTAAAAATCTTGAGATTTTGTTAAATGAATTCGCCAAAACCGCACCTCCTATTTGGGACACTCTGTATAAGCTGAGGCGCATCTGTCAAACCCTTTAAGTAGGGCATCATCTCCTTACCCTGTGGTTAAATTTTGCGTTGCAATACCTGGATCAGTAGCATCAAAACACGATTTTATATGGGGCAATCAAAATATGAACTAAAACACATAACCCCAATTTCTACATAAAACTGCAAAATTTGGATAGGAATTTTTTAAGAAAGTGACCTTTATTTTAACTAAGGATTCAAAAAATGTCGAAATATGTGTTCCATTTAAAATAACGAAGTTGCTGTGGGGGGGGGGGACACTTTTGGGATACCCTGTATCAACAAAATTGTAATGTTTTTAAATTTTTTAGGAGACTTTTTTTCGTTTCTCCTATGGGTTTCCAGATCGTATAGTGGATCGTTTTATTTGGTACAAGGTCTACACTATGCCTTGGAGCTACCGTTCAGCCCAAAAATTGAGGTTTTACGTTGATACCTACCAGTTTGATGAAGGGTTGGTTTTAACGAGCCTGAAAAAATTAATTTTGACTGGAATTTCATTGAAATAGTGGATTTTCACTGTTTTTCGAAAACTATTGAAAAAGTGGTCGTTTCGAAAAATATCACAAAAACCTGGCAAAAGAAACTAATGAATCAACACTCACCTCGGCCTTCAGCATCCCCATTACGCGCCTCCCATCCGATGACCAGCGTCGCGTCTGCGTCGTCGTCCTCGTTGCTCGCGCACTCTACGCCAGCTAACTCGTTCACATCCGGCTCGACCTTGAGCACGGGCCCGCCCCCGTATATCTTGTGGAAAAAATCCCAGACGCACTCCGGCACTTCCGCGGCTTCGTCGTGGTCGACGCGTTCCAGATCGATCCGGGTGTTGTCTATGGGTCCAGGTGGCTCGTGGGCGTTTCGCTCTACGAAATTGTGCCACAGCTTGTACCACGACGTTGACAGATAATGAGTGTGAGGCCTGTTCTCGAGCTGCGCTTCGCGACTAATCTATAAAGCGACCTTCCCCATTATGCCTGCATCTTATGTAGCCACGTGTGCGACGACACATACCTCGAGGAACGCCTTCATCTCGTTGAGGAGTCGGTGTTGGAGGGCGGTACATGCGGGACACGTAGCGCGACTAGTGACAGGCGGACAGCCGCCGAATCGCTTGTGGAGGTAGTCGTAGACTTCGTAGGGTACCTCGCACTCCAGATGCTCGACGATGTGCTCTCGGTCCGGGTTGAATGCCCCGTGATGACAGAGAAAGTCTGTGTTGTCGATCGGACCAGGCTCCACGCAATTGTAAAACCTAAATGTCAAAATGTCAGCATAGATGATGAGATCAGGAATGATAAATTAATCTTGTGCAGCTGGCGGTTTACAATGGCATATGGACCATTGGCAAATTTACTCACATAATAATAATTCTTAGAGAAATACTAGAAACACGGTATCTATGTACTTTAGAAATTTCTAACTTTTAGATATGCTTGGAACGCGACGTACGGTGCCTGTTGGCAACAACAACTGAATGAAGGCATTAAAACCTGGGAAAGAAATATTGTATCGATTGTTTGAAATATCAATATGGATTCAGAAACGTAGGAGAAATGATGGTAAATGGGATGGAGAAAGCTGTTGTATTTGTTCTAAACATTTTACAGAACATGTCCAATACGAGGATTGCCCATACAACCTTCATTTGAGTGGGAGAAAAAAGCAAATTATTGGACAGCAATTTTGAAGAAGTCATTGTTAAGAAATGACTGAGGAATTGGAACTAGCAACCGACAAAGGTTATTCATAAGGAACCTATAAAAAAGACTTTACAGTAATATTGTCAAGTCAAATAATTTGACGACGGTATGAGGAAACATTTCGCTCACCTGGCGAGCCACTGCCTGGATATGTATGCCTTCCTGATCTCGCCACCCTTCTCGATGATCTCCTCGGCCATTTTGGTTGCCTTGGCACGCACCGGCTCCGCCGCCGACTGGGTCTTCCTGTAGAACAGCACGTACGCCTCGCAGTTCTGCACCCGTTCCGCGGGCACTTTGGTGACGTACTGATCGTCAAACTCGTACCACTGGCTGCCGTTCAGGGCGTAACAAGTGTAGTGCCCGCCTCCGGCGGTACCGTGGTGGCAGATCACAGAAAACAGGTCGTAGGTAGACACCTTCACGGATGATAAAGTATTTTCGAAAAAATAACTGTTAAAAAAAAGGGTACCAACCTTCGATGTTATGTTGGCATGAAGGTAGGGCCACATGTCGAGACCGCGCAGCGGGAAACTGACCGCGGACGAGATCTTGCTGCTGTACATCAGCTCGTGCCTGAACCGTTTAAGGTGGATGCACAGGACCTCGGGCAGTTGAAGCACCTTGCTGAACTTGATGCCGTTGCGCAGCTTATTGCACTTCTCGCAGCTGTACATGTTGTCGCCTTTGAGCTCGTCGGTGCTGAAGAAAGCGGCTAGACAGTCGTGAAGCGTCACCGTCGGCCCGTAGAACCACGACTTCAGCCAAGCGAAGAACCATGATATCCAACCGTCCTGGGCGGGTACCACCACGTCGGAGCAGGTGGCATTTGGCGCGGCTGTGTTTCTGCCTGCCTTCCGCGAGGTGGTTTAAATGTAGCCCAAGTACGTAGCGGTATACCAAGAGGGAATAGTTACTTTTCGGCTGTATATATACTTTTTTTTGACTTTTTAATTAGTAGAAGTTTTTTAAGTACTTGAGTCCTGTAGGACCCATAGCGTTGACCATTGCTTATTGAACAAAATTCATGACATATGTTGTTCCATTAATTGATTGATTATGAAATCTGTCAATATTTACTGTATTAAAGTTAAAAATTCCTGCACCAAAAGGCAAATAATATGAAACAACGCCAGCTGAACCAGGTGACGTCACTGCTCTAAACTGACGGAAATAAATAACCGACGTAACTATTCACTCGGGTATGCACCGGTTTCGGGTTAAGCGTACCGTGCAACAAAACCAGATGATCCCTAGACGGAATGGGCAAAGACAAGTCTTGGAATGTTTCAATCCTGCTGGATATCCGATCGCAGGTCAAACACTGTACCGACGAGAGCAGTTTGCCGTCGAATATGTCTGATATGATTGATCGGTACTTGGCCTGTTTCTTGCTTTTGTCGGCCGACGATAAACTCGTTGTCGGTTGAGAATCTTGGCATTTAAAATGGTCCAAGAATATAACATATATAACAGCAAACTTGCTAAATACATCAATCCAGAATTATGTTAAAAAGAGATTTACACGAAAAACAATTTTGTTAATTGCTATGAATTTCCATTTTGTGTGGAATTTTAATATAAATTAAATTTTATAACGCCGCTTACTGCAAAAAAATATTTAATTGAAGATTTTACCAGTTTCTTTTAATCAAATAAATATAATACGATATTGTGTTGCTAATAAAGCAAAATAATCTGTTTATGCATTTTTTAAACAAAATATGTATCTAACTTTTATTATACACACAATTATCTAAATTTGGAAAAATCGTCTACAGTAACGCCCACAGAACCAAAAAATGTAGACTGCGGAAGAAAGTCCTACACCTACCTACACATAGTATAAAATGCATGAAAGAAATATTCTTCAATAAATAGGGGTGCAAGTTTCTTATGTAGTTTTCCCATTTTTATATTTTAATTATAAGACAAAAAATAAAAACTATTGCATTCGTAAAAAAAAACAAATAGACCAAACTGACCAAAACTATTGCAATTCGTAAAAAAAAAACACCTAAATGAAAACAATACCTTATAATAGGTAAGTAATAGAAATTATTTTTGTATTATGTGGTTGCAGTGTTTTTTTTTTGTAGATTACCCTCCCATCCAAAGTTAAAAGGAAATCTTTAATGCATCATACTACTGCACGGAGTGTTTAAAAATTCACTGTTTGTCTTACCTATGACCGAACAGTTTTGTACTCTCTGCCTCTGCCTCCTGCTGGGACTGCCGCATCTGCTCAGACGTCGCTTGGCCGTACTGATAGCGATCTGCGGAATCTCCGAGTCGTCACTGAGGCTCGATCGCTCGCTGACTCCCGAGTCGCAGGTCTCGTATTCCCCCTCGCTCGAGTCATAGTTCGAAGTCGGACTCAGCGGCTCGTCCACGGCAAGACTGAAATCGTTCCTCTTTTCTTTCAATACGGCAAGGCCCGACAGGTATAACGAACGGCAACTAAGCCAAAACTAATTGAACGAGCATGATTCATGCGAGAACCGTAGTGGTTCAAATAAATTGGCGACAGGGGCAAAAATTGGGAGGAATTGTAGAATTACCTTGTTTTGCATGAACGATAAAAAGCAGTTCAAACATAATAGTTCGCCGATGTTTTTTGAAATAATTAATAAACACAACATATATTTTAAAAATACTGAAAATCTTCCTGGTACCGAAAACATTCAGTGACATTTTTCAAATTTTCCACGTTTTCCAGTCTTGCACCAACTCTGCCAATTATAGAAATATATTTTCTTTAGAAAATCATACAGTTAAATAATATAATATAGACCAGTAATATACTATTGATAAATTAGTAGGAGTAAAGAACAGCGTTTGGTAGTTCAAATAAATCATGGATAGCCAGAAATCAAACACGAAAACGTTGTTCATAAAAATGCAGCAAAGAAGCTTTAAACTTTAACAAAATCAAAAGTTGAGCAAATTAAAAATCATTTTTTATAACAGGATACCGAGAGTTGAAGTACTTTAAAAATTCAGGATTTACCTGTGAAATGCCATATATACAAAAATCTATTAAAAGTACATCAAATATTTAATATACGAGTCTGTGTTGTTCAAATAATCCACGCCATTCAACCAGAGTATTAAAAAAGAGTACCTGAATGAGTCGGCGTCGCCGCCTGACGTCACCTCGGGCGGTGCTGGCTGCTTAAGGTCCTCGTGCAGTTGATCCATGAAGTTCCTGAGGAACTCCTGTGTATCGTGCTGATGATACCCTCGGAACATCGCGTGGACGTTCCTGATACCATACAAAATACCTACGGCACCGCGTTTATCACAAATTATTCGCCGAACTAAAATCAGTGGCGCACCTGACGGAGTGACGTAAGTCTGATTGGTTTTCCGCAGCCATATGTCCCTGACCAGGGCCTGGTACGTCCGACTCAGACCCGGCTTCTTACCTTCCGACAGTATCTGCACAATTTGGGCGCAGTCCAAAAAGTACCGAGTGAGGGGCTCAGTATTGCTCAACGCCTGGAGCGCAGCGTTCATGTAACACGTGTTTCCTGCGCAAAAACCCTATGCCGCGATACTGGGAAGGGGAAAAACCGACCCAAATTTACCTATATTCTGCATACCGACCAACCCCGCCGGCCTCACGTGAGCGTAGTCACCGTAATCGCCCACCTCGCTCGAGTCGGATGCGTCTCCCTCAGCGGCCACGCCCACGTTCAGACCGACGCTGTTGTTTTCAAATATTTTTGCGGCGACCGGGCTGCTACCGCCACCCGCCCTGAGGGTGCTGGTGCTACCACGACCGGAATCTTCGTTTAACGAGACGCCGCAGCTTTCGTCGTCGCGGTAACTATCGAGGAAGACCTCCCTCTTGCACTTGTAGCACCACACACGCCGCGTCGACAGGTTCATGTGGATACAATGGTTCGGATCTTTCTGAATGTCACGATGAGAAAAAATATGTAGTTCGAAGGGAAAACTGACATTGTCGCGCAAAGACGGTAAACCGGAGGGGCATATGGCTTAGCATTTTGTTGCCATTACTTTCGTTTTTAATACAATAAACTTCGAACGTTAGACCTTGTACATCATTCATCTATTTATATATGGCACAAATACTCCCAGTTAATCTAAACCTCTGCAAAAGTTTAAATATCAGTTACAAAAGACTTTTACCCTGCCGAAAAAGAGTTTGAAAAACTAGCGCTTCTAAAAACCAAAAAAATATGGAAAAAACCCAACACTCGAAATTTCTAAACCAGAGCAATCTAATTAGAATGAGTGGACCCTAGTACGTCACGCTTTTGCCGACCCTTTGGTTTACCGTTCTTGGTTGCTACATACGGTATTGTGCAGGGTGCTGTGATCGTTGGATTTCTCGCTGCAGCCGGTGTGAAAACAGGTCCTGTAGAGGCAGAGCCACAGATTGGGCCCTGCACAGTTGCAATCCGTACATTTTGCGTCGGGCTGTAACGTAAGAGGGGTAATTTTAAGGGACCGTTTTGAAAGGGGGCAACGAAACACATTTTGGGAGAATAAGTACAATATGCTTCGTTTTGCGCGGCCACAATTAAACGGTTATTTTCTAAAAATTTGGTTTTAGCTCTGGTACTAACTCCCCACCTTAAAAAAAAAATTACCAAAAACCGAAATGTAATTTTGAAGCACCATGTTTAGGTATACATTCATTTTTTAATAGATTTTGCAAAAACATTGGCATTTCTATAATAGACAAACCACGAACCACAGATTTGCTCCCAAATAAACGCTGTTGAGATTTTAACTTCAAAACATCTAAAAAAGGTTATTTTAGAATTAGATTAACATTTCCATTTAGTCAAATCCTTTTTTTTATATTTCTACTAAACATATTTTGTTGACACTGAACAGTGTTTTAAAACCGTAACTAGTTTTTTTTCAATATTAACCAATTAAAAATAGAACTTTCTAATATATCGTTTTTTTATCTCGTTTCGTTTTTGAGAAAACGTCAGAAAAATCAGTAACGCCTTTTGTTTTTGAAAAACAACTGCAAACCCGGCAAAATAGATATAGAGATTGATGTTCAGAATTACTTAAAGAACATCCAATGGATACTACAAAGGACTTAGAGGACATATTTAAAGACATACAAAAATAATTTAGACACAGCGATAACTAGAATATTTTAGTTAGAATAGAAATGAATAGAATAGGAAGTTGAGCCCCTGAACCAAGGGTTATGTTAAAAAAACATGTCACCACCCAAAAAAAACGAAATCGCAATATTTGAGGTTAACTAGTTAGGTTTTCATTTTTCGGGGAGAGTATTCATATGAATACAAAAAAATGCTCCATGAACGTGTATTTTCGCAGCTAACCAACTAGCCCACTACTTCCAGAAGATGCACCAAAAGCAATCATATTCCTAGTCCAAGAAATTATCAGCTAGGAACCTATAGTTTATCCACAAAAAGCGGAACAAAATCGGATTAACTAATAATTTAGACGATTTCGCGATAAATCATAAAAAATACTGGAACCCACTCAGCCCTTGGTCATCCACTCTTATCACCATTATCTCATCACAAAGTAAAGAAGAATAATATTGGATACTTACGGCTATAAGCTTTAAAATCGTATCGATTTGAGTAGGATCGGTAACAGAATCATCGAGGTGGCCGCAGAACTTCCTCATCTTGATTCTGAAACAAGACTTGAGCAAATATTATTGCCTAAACTACAAACCAAAACAACTAGCCTTTACACCTTCGAGTAATTAAGCTTGCAATTAAACCGACGTAACATGTCGCAAACTTTAAGGCAGTCAGGTTCAAGGATCAACTTTAGAATCATTATGAAAATTAAATATTTACGATGGAATTTCGTTGGCACAATTTTTATAAAAATTTCAACATTGGTCCCGTGCTTTGGCCGTAAGTAAACGCTAATTACTTCCGTGCACCGCCCAAAATTTGAAAATGCACGAACCGAGGTCGCGGATGGCCAATATCGTGCCCTTTTGTTATATTACAATAATTAATAATGCAAACTCGCGTTTTTACCCACCTATTTTCGAATGGTGGTCACCTAAAAGAAACACCAAGACTACGCCATATCCGATGAACCGTACACTAATTGGTTTATCGTCGATAAAAAAAAACAGCTAACCACACAGTTTATTGGTAATTTAAAACAAATCGCTGCCGAACGTTTCACATTTTCCTCCTGTCATGTTTTTTCCAACTCGACGGGCTGTCAATTTCTGCGTTGAACGTATCGCCATCTGTTCAGCAATAGGCAAACTGTTTTCTGATAAAAATTATTGCAATCTTGGATAAATAATTTATTTGGTAACGAAACACGTGAACAGGTAAATAGAAATAATTTCTCTTGACCAATTGCGCGCAATTGAAACAATACAACACTGCATGGAAAAAGTTAAAAATAAAAAATATTTTCAATCTACAAGATATTATCAACATACACACATAATTATTTATTAAAACTTATGTATTACTATAAAATGCTACAAAATGTCTAACAACCTCATCATTATAACCATGCAGAACAGGCCTGCCAACTTCATAAACACATTTTTCGTAGAGAGGCAAGCCTGGCGTTTGGAACCATACATTTTTGATATTAATACTCTCCAAATCCAATGTGTTAAGTTGCAATAAACCGAAATAAAAAAGTCGTCCGTCAGATTGAATGCATTGCAACACGACTGGTGTAGGCAACTCCTTAACATTGGTCTAAAAAAAAGATTTTGAAATTTTGAATGACTATTTTGGTTACACAATCCAAAATATTGAAAAGCACGTTATACTTTGCTAAAATATCTTCTTTGCAATAGGCCTAAAGTCAACTCACCCCATATGTTTGTTTCGCGTATGCGGCCGCTGCGGTAAACGTTTTGAGTAGAGACCTACCATAGATTTGTTCTGCAGTCACTTCCTCTTCGTAAAGGTTCTTGACAGTCTCTTTATTGAAATTAACAAACAATGTGTGCGGGTGCCTCTTAATGGCCACCCTTTCAATAGCTGAAAGCTGAATATTATACACTGTTTGATATTTTCAGTAAAAACCTTACAATAAACATCTTTCATTACATAAATATTCTCTGGGGTGAGACTGATAGTTGGTTTAATAGGTGCTAAATCAGGCAGCTCAAACTCGCTTGTAGAATCACTTGAAACTACACTCAAAGGCTCTGATGATGTTAGAACTATATCACCCAGCAATTGGAACTGTATATTCTCACCAAATCTTTCGAAGGGAAATGAAAAGTATAAATCATCAGAGACATATTTGTTCTTGACCAAGTCTTGGCTGGACGTCTTTTCTATTAGACTCAACAGCTTTGTAATTAGAAGTTTACTAAAATGGAAATTGGAAAATATCAACCTAGTCTCAATCACTTCTTTAGACAAAAGACTTACTGCACTCTAGGTTGTGTAATACCATAGGTTCTGGGAAAGTTCCATGCTGGCCGTTCGGAATCTTTAATTTTAGGCAATTTTTTCTGTTCAGCATCAAACAAAACTGTGCTGAGTATAATATCCTTAACTTTTCGGTTAAAGTCCTTAGTTATCTTGGGTAGTTCCATTGCATCAGGCAATCCCTGTTTAACTTCAACACTATTTGTGAGGATCTTCGCTTGAGCAAGACCTTCCAATAACACATTGTTATCGTTGTAAGTCAACAGAGGCCTACTGTGCCAATTGGGGTGGGTATTGTCAAATGCTTGGGGCTTGTCTATGTAACCTACTACTTCTATCCTAAAATACGTCGCGTTAATCGGTCCGAAAGCGACAAGTGGTTGCGTACTTCTCATATGTGTACTTTTCCTTCAGCTCTTTATGAGGATCCCTCACTAGTATACCCCTTTTTTCTAGTATTTTTGCGGCGCCAGTGTCGACGATTTTTCTCTTTCCTTGGGTGCGCCAAAATTGCTGGAAGTGCCATCCTATATGTTGGCTGGCCAAAACTTGGGAAACCCGCATTTGTAAAAACTATGCTACTTTAAAAATTTAACTTATTTTAAATTTCTGACCCTAACCTCCTTTAAATTTTTTTTTTGCTTTTCACTGCTATTGGCAAATTTTGTCAGAATCATTGGACCAACTCATAAAGCTAGTTTATGAATGAGCTCTGCTTCGTTTAGTTATTTCTTGTGCTCAAAAAATTCATTGTGATCACTGAACCGTGTTGATAAGGATTATAGTAGATTTTCTATTTGCATGTTAATTCAATGACGAAAAGTTATCTTCTATGACATTCTTTAACTGTATAAACGTGAAGAACTATGACATTCTTTAACTGTATAAACGTGAATAATCGAAGAAGTCTTGGCGGAGGCTGGACAAGTGTAACGCAAATTTAAAATGGATAGAGAATTTGTCTAGTTTGGTTTAGTTCCCTTGACACCAAAACATCTAAAAACAATTGTAACCGCGTACTTTTTTCTGTATTTTGTTTATATTTTTACATTTGGAAATTGGATATATAATTTCAAACAACCATAATAGTAATCATAATATAATAACAATGTTCAAAATACGCAGAGTAAAATATTAAAGCAAGACATTTATTCTATGGCTTGAGATGTAATATTTTTTTGTGATCTCTAATTTCATCTAAATTGTCCAAGTTCTCCCACCAGTACTTTAATCGGTGCTTCAGAATAAGCTGGAACCAGGGTGTTAGTCGACCTGTAAGTGTGGGTAAAAAATCGTCAAATTCCGCTCTGGGTATGAAACTAATTTCAGACACTTCATTAGGGTTGGGCTTGACTTTAACGTCCTGTTTCAAAAACAGAACATAATCGATTTCATGCTCTCCATATTTTCCATTACCTATAGAGCAGAGTTTCAACAAATTGTTTTGATGATCAAATTTGAAGTCATACCTTCATCTTTATAATATACCCTTGTAATGTAATTTATATTTTCAATGGGAATATTATCTATAGGAATTCCTAACTCATAATTTAACCTTCTCTGAGCTGCTTTCCTGATTCCAAGGGCATCATTTTCATCCTCCTCGCCCACATAATTTACTATTGGGTGACTGCAGCAAGAGTTTGTGTAACAATCGGGATAGGTTATCTTTAAAAGGCAAAAGTACAGAAGTGATGACCACAAAACCCAAACTTACTTTCTCCGATGCTCTTTTCTGGAGGAGCAAGTCTCCTTTTTTATTAAAAAGGAACACACTGAACGCCCGGTGCAGCAGGATATCTCCGTCATCATGCACGAGATGACAGTCGCGTTTGCTTGCCTGCCCAATCACTTTATCATTCTGATCAACTAAGAAACACTTTTCTTTCAACATTGCCTCTTGCTGAGGGTCCATTTTGTTCTGCGTTGCCGCCACATTTGAAAAGACCCTCGCCACGACCCTTTGGGTAGCGGTTCGTATCGTCGAAATCATCGGTACAGGCTAATTTAAAAGTTTAATACAGCAGTCAAAAACACTTTGTATATGGAGGCGACCCCTTGTTTTTATGGTAATTGGTTTTGTGGTATTCGCAGGCGTCAACACGGTTCACCGACTTAAACAGTAAAATATTGCCATGCTCAAAATAAAACTTATCTCCTAATTTAGTCCATAGATAGAAATCAATTTGTTGTTGCCACATCAGCTGAGATTCGACATAAGAACAAATTCACAGAACAAAGGTTGTACAGTTGGTAATTACAAACAAAAATCCCTGTATCTAATAGCTGCTTTTTTAATCACAATTTTTTTCTTTAGTGAGTTTATAGAAAATGTATTATGTAATGACGTTTTCTTTTTTTGCTTTAAATTTACGGTGTTATCAAACTTTAACAGAATATTTATAGGTTACTGGAGGAGCGGCTAAAGAATAATGGAGCACCGCAACGTTGCCGTCGTATATTGTTGGAGCGGGAAATTTAGATCTGTAGGCTGGCTGCTTTAAATTTGACAGTTATTAATTAATATACGTATTATAAAAAATCGGTCGAAAACGTGCAGGGTGGCACAAGAATAGCTTTAAATTAAATGTAAGAGAAAACATCAAAACGTGACAGGCTTGTGAATAGTCGAGACAAGCTGACATGAAAAAAATCAATAAGAACCTTTGAAAATAATAATATCCGATATCGGAAGTGCGTTAAACGGCATTGGACTCACGAGTTTATTTGACACGAGCGGAGCGAGTGTTCAATAAACGAGTGACTTAAAAGGTTTAGCGAAAATGTTGCATATTATACTTTTTCTACGAGCGTTAGTTTTTGAATATATTTTTCGCAAAACAACACGAATATATTCACTGACATGACCGTAAGAATTGATAAACGTTAAAATTCAAGGCGTGGAAAATATCTCCGAAAACATCCGATTGCTCCTAAACTCGTGCGGTAAAGTCCCGGAAATGTCCGAAGTGGCTCGGATCCGTCGGAAACGAAATTAACGTCGTAAAGTGGCCCTTCCTGACTGGTAGATCGGTGTGTAATCAGACGGGAGTAGAAAAAGAAACTTTTTAAGACACTTTTTCTGTCTTTGTGTCCAACCTCAGGTTAGAACTTGCATTTAATCTAATCATAGGGAAATCAGTCGCAGGGATAAAAAAAAAACTGTAAACCCTTGGTGTGTATTTTTAATCACTGATTAGGCCTTTATTCGCTAGCCTTCGCCGCAGACCAGACAAAAAATGTATAATACGACCCAACAGCTAACAACATAAAATCTCTATGGGAAAACACTCTGTCAGCGAAACTACGTCACACGGACGCACGTTTTGTGGAAAGTGTGGAATTCGTTACCGCATTTGAAGGATGGTAACAAGTGTCGAGCAAAAGTCTCTGGTTGTCCGCGTGATTAAGACCCAAACAATTACACGAGCAGACTGACATCTGGTCGATGTCGTCCTCGTTAAAAGTGTGCCCGGCGAGGAGCTTGCCGTTGACGGCCATCATTTCTCCTTCTAGTGCGAACACGTGATGGGAGGAAGATTGAAGATCGTGTTCGTCTTTACGACTCTCTTCTGCATCACTAATAATACACAGAACAATATTTCCGCCGGTTAGGGGACGGCTATTAACTTACATGGTCATAAATTTAAGGACCAACAAGTTGATGCTGGCCGCTACTACCGCCAATCCAAAGAGGATAAAGACTAGGCTTAGAGTGACGTAACCCGGTTTATTTATTAATGCGTTATCGTTCTGCAAAAACGTAAATATGTACCATGAAATCAAATCTGAAGTGTCGTTAACCCCTGTCTTTAATGGTCTGTGAATGAGTAAATAACCAAAACTGTTATCCATTCTTTATAATAAACCACAGATAGCAGAGATTGACTTATTTCCTTATTTGACCTTAAACTTACCTGCAAGGCAACGTAATCACCAAAACCTATAGTGGTCAGCGTGACAAAACAATAATAAAAACTGTCAAAGTAGGTCCATCCTTCGTACCTAGAAAACACGGCGGCTCCCGTTGTGATAATAATCGTAGACAGCATTCCCGTGGCAAACATAAGGTTCATTTCAGTCGCCTCCACTTTGTGACACTTGAGGTACATTTTAATACGTTTAATGATTATGGAGGCGAATTTGTTCAGCCGTTCACCGATGCTTTGAAACATGATTAGGCCCAAAGGAATTCCTATCTAAAATAACATCCGGTTGGGGGTCCCATATTGCGCGAAACTTAGTTTACCATCGCGTAACCCATACAGAAAGCTTTGCCACCTGCTGTCACTGGGGTGGAATGCCCGTAACCTATCATGGCCAGCACTACGGTGGCGAAATAAAACGAGCCTGCGAATTTCCATTGCGGGCCCGCTTTGTGGGGTTTATATTCGATTATCATGAGCTCTATCACGCGATAGTCCTCCTCAGTTATGTTATACTTTCGCTTTAAGGAGTTTGTCGATACTGTAATTGTTTTCCATGCGTTATCGTTTTTACGACAATGTGAGATTACCTTTCAGTAGAGCATCGCGTTTTTCCTCTTCTTTCGACTCAAGCGCGTCGAACACTGCAGCGCCGACTAATAAATACGTAAACGTTGTCACCACAAGCGACAAGGTTCTCACATTTTGTCTTTTCATCGCAATATAAGTGGTGCCCTTTTCCGAGGCGGACAGGTTTTATTTATCGTTCAAAAATCGATAGAATAAACCGCGTTGGCGTCGCTCATGCGCGTTTTTAAATTTTTTTTTGGAGAAAAGAAGAAGGGTAATCTGTGCTAATACTGGTTAAAAAACCAATTTGTTATCTATGCTTAAGTTTAAATCTTCATCACGAAAAATACATTAACATTTGAAAATTCAACTCAGCAATGACGTTGAACAATCAGGCGGTCGATCCGCCGCCTGAACAAATTCAATCGAAAAGCATCATCGTCATACATCCGGGTTCTCTCTATTTGCGAATCGGCAGAGCCTCGGACCTCAATCCTTTAACGATACTTCACGCGGTCGCCAGAAGGAGAAAACCCGGTGGAGTGGAGTACTCCGATTCATTCCTACCCGACCGAATCGACCTAAGTCAAACCAAAGAGTTCGAGGAAGCCCGCCTGACAGTGTCCCATACTTTGCAATCGTGTCTCCAGTCGGACGGTCGGAGGCGGTACGCGACGCCACCCCAACAGATAGCCGCATTCAATCGGAGGGTGGTTCCTGAAATTGTGGGCGATAGCGGAGGAGAATGGATTAAACCAGAGGGAGATGTAGTCGTGGGGAATGATATATTTCGTTTAGACCCTAGAGAGGATTTCAATATCCACTTTCCTTATAAACGGGGTGACTTTAACGTTCACCAAGGTCCGGGAGGTTCCGTTACCGGAGTGCTAGCCCATTTGGAGGCGATCTGGACGCATATTATCGAAAATAACTTGTCTATCAGCTTATCAGACCTCAAAAGCTACAAGGCGGTGCTTATAGTGCCGGACGTGTACAACAGGACATATTTGCGCGAACTTATGTATTTGTTACTCGCAAGGATCGGTTTTGGCAGTTGTTTCCTTGTGCAGGACCATGTGGCTGCTACTTTCGGATCGGGCTTGAGTTATGCTTGTGTGGTCGATGTGGGCGATCAGAAAACTTCAGTTTCGTGCGTTGAAGACGGCATATGTCATCCGAATACGCGCGTGCGTTTGGAATACGGCAGCGGGGATATAACCCAGATATTCTTCTGGTTGTTGCAGAAGTGTGCATTTCCCTATAAAGAGTGCAGCGATGCCAACAAGTTGGACACAATGCTCTTGCGGAAACTCAAAGAAGACTTTTGTCACGTGAATTTGAACGTGTGTGGGTCGCAAGAGAAGTCTTTTGTGCTCAAACAGCCAGGCAAGCCAATATCCCATTACACTATTCAAGTCGGTGATGAGTGTATCATAGCCCCGTTAAGTATGTTCAATCCGGAGCTGTTTGGAATTACTGGGCCCAAGCAAATACACACGCAAAAGATCTCGACGGGGGACCCGGAAGATCCCCATGATGAGATTTACCTCAGAGATATCAGGAAAAGAGGTTAGTGGAGATATGGTTATCCTGGTATTAGGAGAGAGCAATAGAATTTTAAACTATTTAAACTATCAGACCTGATTTCAATAACACCTTCTGTGTTCAGCCCATCCGACTGTCCTCATATATTGATTTGTGTTATTGCTGTCACCAGGAATGAAAGAAGAGTCGTCAGTGGCGGAACTGCTGAGTGAAAGTTATATAGAAAGTCAGCAATCTGCAGTGAATGATGACGACATAGTCGTCGACGCAATGGACTCGGTTGCGCCAGCGTCTGTTAGGGAATTTGTTACCAATCCGGGACAGATTCTGGGTCTGGATCAGGCAGTCCTGCAAAGCATTGACCGTTGCCCGAACGAGGACTTGAAAAGGAAAATGTACGGATGCATCTTGGTGGTCGGCGGCGGCATGAAATTCAGCGGCATCGGTATGGCACTTTTTCTTATTATGCATTATATCCTATTACTAAACCTATGACACGCCACCGGAATTTTTATCTACAGTTAAATCGATTAAGATATCTATGAAAAATATGGTCTTTTAATCATCCTATAACTCCTTGAAAAAAAATTAAACATTAATGTATTAAAAATTTAGAACCGCATCTCCCTTCTATTTAGTTTACCAGAGGTGGACTAAGGCTCCACATCCCGCATGATGAATCTTCAATTTAGAAGATACTTTCAGGCTGGGGGTGTATTTTAAACCTTTAATGTAATTTTTCTTTTCAGACGAAATAGAAATGTAAGCCTTTTCAAGAAAAAGCAAACTTTTTCTCATATCTTTACTAATATTAAGAATCTAGATTATTTTTTTTGATGAAGGTAATATTCCATTGTAGTGAGAATACAAGTCCTACAATAATTTTTTAATCATGAACAAGTGGTCTTCCCCTTAAGTTTGATTGTCGACTTTTCATAATGTTATTTTAATTTAATACAAACATATTATTTATATCTTGTACCTTGTGTATTGCATTTTAGCTACTTGGCTCCAGAACCGGATTTCGCTGCAGATTCCGTACTTGTACAGGGCCGAACAGCTCGATATAATTACCAATCCGAGAGACATGGACTCGGCGATGGTGGCTTGGAAGGGGGCGTGCATCATGTCCTGTCTTGAAACTGCCCAAGAACTTTGGATAGAGTCCTCTGAGTGGGAAAAGTACGGGGTTAGGATACTAAGGGAACGGGCTCCCTTCACGTGGTGAAATGAACTATTCCAAAGACGCGTTCAGTATTTTTATTTATGCGGTCCCATAAAAAAAGATTACAGATAAGCGGTTTATTTCTTTTTTTTTTTTTCTACTCCCGTCTGTAAAATACCTAATTACCCACCGATCTAGCGTGCGGGAAGCGTCACTTTACCACGTCAGTATCCTTTCCCACGAATCCGAGCCACTTCGGACATTTCCGGGATTTTACCGCACCGATTTGGGAGCGATCGGCTGTTTTCGGAGATATTTCCCACCCTATGAATATTGACGTTTGTCAATTCCGACGGTCATGTCAGTGAATGTATTCGTGTTGTTTTACGAAAATGTACCCAAAAACTAACGGTCGTAGAAAAAGTATAGTATGCAACACTTCGGTAAACTTTTTAACTCACTCGTTTATTAAGCACTCACTCCGCTCGTGTCAAATAAACTCGTGAGTTATCTTCTATATTTTTGAGATTATATTTTATTAAATTTCTGTTAAAAAAGACATCGATTTTTTAAATTGAAGTAAAGATTTTTAAGTTAAGGTTATTTTAATATTTTAATAAGTATATTTTTAATTAACAAAACAAAATTGAATTCTAAATATCTGAATAATGAAATAGGTATTAATGTATATTTTGAACTAATTCGTAATTGGTGGTTGAAGATCCATCCAAAACGCGATTAACAACACTGCCGAAGTTTCTATCGATTTTTCGGTTCTTTTGAAATATACGCAAATATTTTTCCAACAACCATTATTGTCTGGTAAATCCACTTTTATCTCTTATCTATGAGTAAATCCCAAAAGGAATAACAAACAAGTTTACTTATACCAAATTGGTAATAGGTTTTACATTTTTTAATTGCATTATGATATCACCAAAAAAGATGGTGTTCTCGACGCTTTTTTTGAAGAAAATCATTTTTGGTGCTCGTGCTCTATGTTAGCTCAGAACACCTAAGATCAAAAACCGTGAAACCTTAAACTTTGCCGTTTCTGCTTTCTGTCCCATAGCAGGTTAAGCGCGATGCGGCAATATATGAAAATTTGATGAGAGCCAACGGATCTCCGTAATCGAAAATCGATCACGCGCGACAAAACTATAACCGGTCATAAAGCCGGGTAAATATTTCATTACACAACGACTTAATACAATGAAATCAATGACCAACGACACGTCGCCGATGAAGCATCCCCTGACGGGGAGTCTTTTCTAACCAAAATGCACGTCGAAAACGTAACGCTCGCGAAAAACTGCGAGGTACTCGATTTAGGAAATTCCGCTTTCCGCACATACCTCATATGTAACTGTCTTTTGGTGCTCAAGATGCTTGGGCTCATCGCGCTGACCGTGCGCCACCGGATGAAACATAAGGTGAGGTTATGCGTCAATTCGCAGCCAACTGCAACTTGTCGCTTTCTTTAAAAGGTGTTTATAAGTGAGGAAGACACGAAGATGGGCGTGGGCGGTACCGTTGGTTCGCATCCAGACGTGGACCGAGTGAGAAGGTACTTTGCCAGTTAAATTTATATAGCTACTTGATATGTAGAAATGCCAAACTTATGCTTGTTTTTAACCAATAAGCTCAGTCATTAAAAATCTCACTTTCAACCAATAAGACTTCTCAGCGTTCAAAAACCAACATGGCCGCTGACAGTTCGTCAATTCGACAATTTTCAGTTTGGATGCCGCATTTTTCGGGTAGTATTTTCTTAAAATGTATTCAGTCATGCTCAGGGAAAAACGAGTCGAGTGTGAGGAGATCGCTGTTTAGAAAGAAAATGGCTCAAATTACAGGTTAGTGCGAAAAATGTAGGTGCCTGCATGGATGATTATTCCTTTCTTATGATCACTATATTATCTAATATATATAATATGGTTAAATTCGACCATAAGATAGTTCAAAGGATGAAATGAAATTTGAACCGCCGCCTCTCTGTATAGTTGAGACCATAGTACAGGGTGTTTCAAAAACTTTATACCAATGTTCGGCTGAAGATTTGTCATCAAAAAAAAAGTCCGTTCAATATAGGTTCGGAAATGCTTAGTTTCGGGTTATGTATCAAAGAGCGAAAATTCTTACGTCATAGATTAAATGTCTGCTGGTGGCGGTCGTTTTCACAATTTTTTTAGAGTACTAAGTTTATGTAGGAAAAGGTCCAAAAAATAAATGTTCATAAAAATAAATTTTGGCAATTTTCATTAATTTTATTTTTTCATTCGAAAACGATGCAACATTCAAAAACAACTTTACTGTTAATGGCCTATCTAAAGTAAATAAGAAAAATTACGAAAAAGTCAGTAGCGTGCATATGTTTCGCAATCCTATTTGTTAAATGAAGTTGCTAACTTTTTAAAAAATTGGCAAAACATATTATACATATTGGTAATTAATATTTAACACCCGGTATCTTGCAAACTCTATTCCCGGAGCGATGTTTTTTTTCTTTTTTGAATGACGAATGTTCGGGCTAGCGTTGGCGCATATTTTACGATGTATATCTTTTATAGTAGTTCAATTGTATTACATGACAGGAGTTTTTGCATCAACCCCCGCCTCGCGCTATATCGAAATAAGATTTCAACGGTTAATTTGTACAAATTTTATTGCATTTTAGTCAAAATAAAAAATCTCCTTTTCGCAAGGGTCAGCTGACGTCACGTCAGCGACTCACGTTGGGATGGCGGAAATAAATCGTTGACGTAACTGGCCTCTTTAGTTTGCAGCGTGGCCTCTTAAAAAGATTTTATTTTATTTCTATTTCCATTAACTTTCCTTTGAATTTAATATGTTCGTGCTAAAATGAAATGCTTAGCCGACAAAACGTTAAAGCTTAGACGTAATTCTTTTTGTTTTTAGAGCGTTCGCCAACGATCTGGAAACAATTCCGGCGTTCATGTTCGTCAGCCTCTACTACTTGTTCACCTCGACTCCTAAGTGGATAGTCCACCTGCTCTACTACCTCTTTGTCCTCGCCAGGATAGGCCATTCGATCGTTTATGCTATCAAAGTCGTCAAGCAGCCCGCTAGAGCAGTTTGTTTTTTAATAAGCTACTTCATCTTAATCTACCTCACTTTGCACACCCTGTTTTATGCTATATTCGCGAAACACGGTTTAAAATAAAACTAAAAGGCATTAATGAAAAAATAACAATGTAGTAAGATTAACCGCAAGAAATGTTGTGGTACGAAAATAATTTTAGATATAAAATTGTAACTATTATGAAATATTTTTAAAAATATTATTTGGTTCGGATTTTTTTACCATTACCATTTAACAATTAAATTTTTAGTCATGAAAATTAGTTCTAACCATTATTGGTCTAAAATATTCAATTTTTTAAGAACAGGAATTTTATTTTGTCGCTTTTAGAAAGCAAAAAAATTGCTCTAATTGAAAACATAATTTGACCAATTTTCGAACAGGTATTAATGGTGGAAAAAAACAGTTTTAACGCCAAAAAAGTGCGGTTTGTAAATTTAATAAAAGAGAAAAATATTATTTTTACTCGTCAAAAAATCATTTTAGGGCAAAAATTATTTTTAATGGTGGAAAAACAGTTTAAATCCTTTTTATAGATCTTATCAAATATTTTAGTCAGTGAAGTTCAATTTCCAATCCCACCAACTAAACTATTTATAGAGGAAAAACGTAGTTTAACTATACCATGAGTTGGAACGACGGTTCGGAAAATAAAAATCACATTACTTTAAACGGGAAATGGTTTTAATTGCCAAAATGGGTACTTGCGCGATGTATTGGCTTGATGTATTAAATCCAATAGACAAAAACCTTCACTTTGCGGGTGGTTTCAACGTGAACTGCAAGAGATCGACTGCAGTCACTATGCCCACAGGTTTCTCAGCTACGGAACCTGAAACACTCACCGCTGAGTGTCTACAATTCACATCTAATCATCACTGGTCTATACCCTGCCCCTCCTCAATTAGCAAAACATATTGCTCCGTCTCCAAAACCCTTGAAATCAAACCCAAACTTGCCCCCTTATAAAGCCTAGGGTAGACCCTAGCCATGATCTTCTCGATAGGATCGTTCTCGTCCACAGTTTTGGAATTGAAAGCAGCCAGCAGCCGCTGCATCGTAACCACACCCACGATACCCCTGGAACCCCTCATCAATGACCTCACTAGACATTCCCAAATCTGTTCCCCACTCACCCTTTATCATCGACCACGGGCAATTGGTCGCCTCCGAACTTCTTCATGAACTGCATCGCCCGGAAGCACACCATGTTTGGGAGCGCCGGGTCCAACGGTTGCAGGCTCAGCTTGTCGACGCCCAAGTTCCACCACCTGATGGGTTTCCCGAGGTCAATATCCAGACCCTTGATAATTTACAACACTCACCAGTGGTTTTCGGTGTTGACACAAGGCAGGAAACCTCTTGCCTCCATCCACTGGTCGGACACGAACTTGGTGATGTAGTTGCGGATACTGTCCGGCAGTATTACAACGACGTTGGTGCCTTCTTTCAAGTCTTTGGCAGCCTGTACGGCGGCCCACACGGCTGCTCCACTGCTCGAGCCTTGAAAGATTATATTGTAATTCAATATGTCTAAAAACCATAGGTATTCCCACTCTTTCTTTATTGGGTTGGATATAACCACCAGAAAATTAGAAAATTCGGCGCACACGATTTGATTGGTTGTTTAAGTTTTTTATAAAAATATTTAATTTTTTATATTTTTCTTACCGCACAGCAAGCCCTCTTCCCTGATCAACCTGCGCGCCATCGGCAACGAATCTTGATCCACGGTTTTGATCCATAAGTCAACCACAGATCGATCCAAAACAGTAGGGATAAAATCGTAACCTATCCCTTCCACTTCGTAAAATGACACATCAGTCTGGTTTAAAGTGTCGGGCACTGCTAAAATCGACCCTTCCGGGTCGACCCCCACGACCCTGGTTTCCGGTGAGATTTCTTTAATTTTTCTACCGATACCGCATATCGTCCCGCCCGTTCCAGCACCAACCACCTCAAAATCGGAAATCACGGCATAAAAAATTGACGCGCTTTAGTTACGCTTGCCCACTTACAATCATATCGACTTTTTTGTCGCACTGTTCGTAAATTTCCTCAGCCGTGGTGTCGTAGTGGGCCAGAGGGTTGCCCGGATTCGAATACTACAAAAAAAAAAATGAAGCTTCTTGACGCAAGTACATATTCGAGACGTTACGGACCTGATCTAGAATCACCGAGTTTGGAATTTCGCGTTTTAATTTATAGGTCATCCCGAACATACCATCAGGAGACGTCGAGTCGGCATCGACAGGCGTCCTGATGATCTCAGCGCCGAGGGCTTTCAGCACCGACACTTTTTCGTTGGACATTTTTTCGGACATAACGATAACGCAGCGATAGCCTGGGGTTGTTTCGCTTAGGTTATACCGCGTAATAGAACATTTTCATATAGCTAGTGGAGATATAGACGCCCTGCCTATACTGCTAATACAGGAACTTATGAAACAACTATGAAAAACAAATTAAGGGTACAGGGGGAAAGTCAACTAAGTCTAGAGACAATTTGCTTATATATTTTGTTTAATAGCTAGATTAATGTGAAGAACATATTTACGTATGAAATTTGATTGTTCCCATATACCCTTCAATTGCAGAAGTCCCATTCAACATGCATGAGATTTATAATCTACTTAACTAATGACGAAGTGAAGTGAAATTTAGAGGGATGCGCAGAAGATCACTCTTACCTTTTACCAAAATATCATAGCCATCTGAGGCGCATCAATTTTTACCATAGTAGGGACACTATATTATCTAATAGCTATATGAATAGAATATAATCACAGAAAAAAAAAGACAACAAAGACAGTGAGTAACATTAATTAAATATTCATTAAAATTTTTCAATAAAAAATTAGAAACAGGTACCTTTAACCGCGGCGGCCAGGGCCAACCCGATGCCTGTATTTCCTGAGGACGGTTCGATAATGGTAGAACCAGGTTTAAGCAGACCCTGTTTCTCCGCATCTTCGACGATCCTATAGGCGATACGATCTTTAATGGAACCTCCCGGGTTGAAAAACTCGCACTTTACATCTAAAAACACCTCAAATTTTAAAGTTTTGTACCATATCCGAAAGTAATACATACATAAGTTGCATTTGAGGCCTTCGGCTTGTGGGATTTTGCCTAATTTAATTAAAGGAGTGTTCCCAATTGCGTGCAAAGCGTCTGGCAAGATTTTCTCTGTGCGTCTCCTAAACATCCGTGTCAATTAGACTAACAAACGTGGTTATCTCCGTCATAAAACCTAATCATAGATAACTCGTATCCGAAATAAAAGTGCAGCGGGTGCATAATCATTTAATTCAGTCACTTACCAATCTTGTGTGGTGTGGGGGTTCGCTTGTTCTTTATTTCGGGACCACGTGCAATTTGATTTCTTATCGGGAGGCGCAATGCAATCGTTCAAAGGCGAATGAAAAACCGGTACCCCGTTTTGTTTGAATTGTTTCGGCTTTTGATTGTTGCCCGTGCCGTTTTCTGGTTTGTTTTTGCCCATTTTTCGAAGAATGCACCGCACCTTTAGAGTTTAGACTGTCAGATCGTATCTGTACGAATACCACTTCTTATTTTATCGTCTCTTTCGTAATTTATCTCATGATACGATTTCTATACTTTGTTTTCGTGTTACAAAATGTTTTTAAACAGATAATAATGTGGAGCACATAGGTATTCTTTTTGCGGGCATAAATATTTGGGGTTAAGAGGTTAACCCACAACTCATCAAGAAAAAAAACTGAGTTAATTATATCGACAATCTTTGTTGTCTCGATTTGGATAAGAGAAATATTCGATATCGATATTTCTTGTTTTATCTCAAGCCACAGACCACTTGGCTAAGGTTAGTTACTAGACCTGTATATTCTGAGCCACCAATCATTTTTTTTGTAGGATGAATTCAACGCAAGATTTATGTTAATAAAACATGAATGGATGAAATACAAGAATTAATAAATAATACCTCTTTTAGAAAGACGCAAATTCCTCTGGTTTTGTTTATCAAGACCACAGTAAGAAATTAAATATCCCAAGCTTTAGGTTAAAAATTAATATTGCTAAACTCAGTCAGAAAATCCTATTGAGTATTAGAAAATCAAATCTTTTTGTCTAGCTGATATCACGGGAAGATAAAAAAAAGTACTTTGCCAAGTTTCTAATAGTGTAATTACCAATTAAGTTATAAGTATAAAAACTGGAATGAAGGCACTATAATTAGAAAATATAAAAAGGAAACGACAATTGTCAAATATACAATATAAATAAATACATGATGGTATCTTTATGCCCAATCGTGTGGTGTTTAGGCCCTTTTAACCTAACCGGACATCACCAACTTAACAAATTCTTCGTAATTCACATTTCCCTGAGAGTCTTCCTGACCCTGTAATAGTTGCTCCACCTAAAAATCAACCCCTTTTGAATCACTTCGTCTTTAAAGCTCAAGCGAACCTCACCTCGTCGTCAGTCAATTTTTCACCTAACGTTGTTAATAAGTGGCGCAATTCTGCAGAGCTTATATAACCGTTACCATCTTTGTCGAAATGACGCAAACCTTCGATGAAATCGTCGGCTGTGTCTGCACTGCGGGTTTTCGAGATTTGCTGGTAAATCGGCAGAAAAACTTCGAACGACACTCTCTCATCTGGCTTGTACTGATGAGTGTATTTCTTTACATCTGACTCGGTGGGATTTTGACCCAAAGCTCTCAGAGCGTCTCCTATCTGAGCCACATGTATTTTTCCATCTCCTCTGTTGTCAAAAAGTTGGAACGCTTCCTGGAATTCTATAAAAAGGCGTCAAAAGTATACGGGATATCAATTTAATCCTAAAAAGCACCTTCTACAGACGTCAGAGTTAATTTTGATGGTACGTCGTATAAATACATCTTTCGGTAATGTGCGAGCGACAAATGGCTCTAAGTTAAGCACAACATCGTTAAAAGAGATTGCAGGTTTCAAAACTCATACCAAATTTGGTATTAAATACCAATGATTCGCAGACTTGATTTTTTTATGACGCCACCCATCCGGAATCTCTTTGTACCCAAAATAAACAATGTAAACGTATTGGCTCTGTTTGCATTCGGTTGTAAATCTTAACCGTATTGAAACTTGTCTAGAGGCGACTTATGAAAATTTTGTTTTTAAAACGTTCGAAACTGATTAAATCAGACACGAAAATATCCCGCAGTACAAAAAGATTTGAAATGAATCACGTTAGGCGGGGCAACATAGCCTAGATTTTTTCGCTTACCGGCCATCTGATCCTCGGTGTAGTTCGCCTGCAAAGAGAAAACGCATAATTACACTACACCGAAACGTCTCGCACTGGTTAACATTAAAATAATCGCGTACCATACAGTTTACTCACCATTTTCTTCGGTTATCTTTTCTTTCTACGGACAGCTGTCAAAAGTTTTCAGGAACTTAGTAAGACGTCACGCGGCCGGACATGCGCGGTTCAAGGCCGCTCGTCGCAAATGAAAATCACTCTTTCCGTCTCTTTCGTACTCTGCTCGTAAGACGAAGAGGGATTCGTACTAAATCTAAGAAATCACATTTAAAAAAAATACGTTAACAAAAGACGTCAGAGACTGATAAGATAAGATAAATATGATTTTGTTTTACGACGTAGTATGCCTAGCAGTGTGGATATTGCTTTATGTAAAGTATAATCACAGACCACAATTCGACAAAATGTTACCACAATCTTAATTTCCCAAGCAAGGGAGGAGTATTATTGTGTATAAAGGAGAATGTAAATAACTTCACCTTCGGTTCGCGTTTTTTATCGTTTAAATGTATCGCAATAATTTTATCGAAGAACTCGGTTCTCACCACACCCGCTTTTAATGGACGTGCAAGGATACAAAACATGAGTATCGCTTTCTTCTCGTTGATGATAGTGTTGTTTGCTTTTGGTTTTACAGCTTGCAATTTACGGCAACCTTTAATGTGGGCGTTTTTACGTATACTTGATTTAAAAAAGAACAGGTTGATGCGGGTAGCCATAATATCCAGACGAAGAAGAATTTTAAATAAATTTGTGCCTACGCGCCAAAATTGTAGTGGTTCTGCTTTTATCTGCGGTCGTTGTTAAGATGCATAAAGAGGAAGGAACACGCGTTGAATGAGTTGGGTGCATACGGAAAAACTATTTAAAACTGGAGGGGACTTTAGACGACCGCGGACTGTGCTTTATCGAGCGAAAATGTATATTTTGCATACGTTACGGCTGGACGTCCTTTGGATGTGTTTTTCGTCCGAAACGGATTCGTCAAAAATCCTACGTGTGATATGACCAAAATTGTTCAAATGTGTGTTAAGGGTCGGTGCATAATTTTGTAGGAAAACATAACATACAATAGTTTATGCCGTAACGAAATATTATCAACTGCAAATAATATATTCAATTCTTGGTTTTAAAAATAGGTTTTCAATGTTTTTCTTAACGTAGTAAAAAGTCATTCTTCTAATGGTTTAGGTTTGCTAAAATATATTATAGCACGTTTTTCTTTTTAGCAATCCTCTATAAAATAATTATTTTCTTAAAGATACAACTCGATATCACTCTACTAGGTGGCTTCAATGCGATAACTTGTCCAGTAGACTATGACCGTCTATTCGAAATATGATGAAATTTTTTGTCTGACTTGTGGCGAATGTAATTCGGACGATAACGTATCCAAAGGCCGACCGGCCTAATCAATCCCATTTAACTTGTCAATCTTTTGTACAGTGGAATATATAAAGATGTGCACAAGGGTATATAGTATTATTTAGTATTTATAGTATGTATATAGTATTTATACAAAACGTTCTATAGGCAAGTATATATTTATGGTATAAATCTAGACGGACATATGCAATATAATACTCTATCGGATGAAATCTAATAATAAACCTTATACCGTTCGAAAGTGTGATATTTTTTGCGCACACGGCGCAGAAAAAAAATGGGCGGACCAGACTGTGGGTAGTGCACTGTGCACCCATTGTTAGAGTAATATACGGGAGGTTCACCGCAATCTACTGAGCACAATATTGTCACATTCTTATGGTGCGATTGAAATATCAAGGTCAGGGGACCATGACTTAGTTCTGTACTCGGCATGTTGGTGCAGTTACGTAGTCGGTGCCCAACTATAGTGCCAGTGGCGGCCACTTAAATGAAATTATCAAAAAAAAATCAGTTGTCGATTTAGTGCTATAGAAAACAGTCTTTACTCGTCAACAACAACTGATAAATAATTTTAACGAAAACTAATAGAAATGGACAGACTCATTTTACCTAAACGTTATACATAACATTATTTCGAAAGTTGCGCGAGGAGAACACTTTGACACCAAGTATATAAAAAATTAAATATTTTTACAACACGGCTAACATAACCATTAAAAAAAAAATCGGACACTAAAAAACGTCGTCTTGGAACGTACGTCGCTGGTTACACATACAAAAACAGTCTCAGGGCGATAATGCTCGCAAGGCATGATTTGAAATTTTTAACGTTAATAAATATGTTCCCGTCGATTTTTTTTTACAGAAATATCGTATTTTTTTTAACTGCGGCGCGCCGTTTTCTCATACATAATCGATGTATGTAGCGAAGTGAAGGGGCGCCTGTAACCAATTCAAATGCCAACGAAAGGGCCCGGGATTTTATTTTTTCCGTTTGTCGAGCACCTCCCAAAAATTTAAACGCATCGAACCCTTCCCCGCAATCCATTTTGTTGATTTTATTCCTTTTATGGCCCACGACCTGTTTTCGAAAGGTTTTTCGAACTTTCCAAAATATAAGGAGCAGCCATGTAGCTACTACATAATACAGTAGCCCTTCTACCCACCTGCAACTTACACCATCTTCTTTCCAACAGCGATTTTCGCATATTTTGAGAAAAAACTGTCCTAAAAATGCGGCATCCAGATTTATACAATACTAGATAGTAATATTGCCAACTTACGTCACATATTAAACTACTGGAATAAAAATAAAATGATTTTTTTTAACTTGCTGGAAATTTTATCGAGAGAGATTGAATTATGAACTTTGAGATTTGGGCATTTTATAGAATGCAAAAAAGAGGCTTTGTCTGATTTAAAAAATAAAATCGCAATAGTTGCTCGCATATACCTACTCGAGATATAGAGACCCTGACTATACCGATAACACAGGATTTTGTGAAGCAATTATGAACTTTTTTAAGAAGGTTTATTCAACATGCGCGTGCCCGAGATTTAAAATTGCATTTTATTGTATTGTATTGTATAAGGACTTATTATTTTAGGCGTGTCATATTAAAACATAACAAAAACGAATTGTTTCGGCTCGTGAAGTCTGAAATACCGGGTCTAGATATTGATCTTGTAAAAAGAATGTATGTTATTCTTCAAACAATATCTTCAGGGTACCAAATTAATATTGAAAAATTTCTAAATTAGATATTTCAGACTGCAGAACACTATGTAATGTTTTATTTTTGTGGTTACCCAAATATTTTTTTGATTTTTTAATGTTTATTTGCCTCTGTAATTTATTTTGAAAATGGTGAGCAAATCAGATGTGTATTTTTAGCTGCCTAAGTTCAAAAATAAATTTAAACAATTTTTTTTAATAGCCTAATAGCTAAATTTGTCAGGCTTCTTAATTGTTTATGAAATGTCTTAGGTGACAATTTTTTAATGTTAAAATACCTACTGGCTTTTTCAAAAATGACTATAATTATGAAAATCCTACAAAAATATGTGAGTAAAGAGCAATTATCAAAGACTCATTTTTGTTGAACACCCTGTCTAGTTTTTTACTGTTTTATAAAAAAATATTTTTTTATAATAAAATTGAAAGCGCCTTCTTTCCAAAAAATTCACGAAAGAGAAACTGCGATCCCGCTATGACATCCATATTGCTGAGAAGACCAAAGTTCGTGTTTTGAAGTCGGAATGTAAAGAAAAAGCCAAAGAAAATTCGTCTAGTCTCTGCGGTGTCTTCGATTTGCAGCAGGCGTTTAGCCACCTACAATTTTACGTTTTATAACATAGCAACAAAGGAATGCTTTTGTTTCGTGTGGAATGAGTCAGTGAGCAAACGCGGTTCCTCCCAGATAGCAACCTGCATATCGCAAGTCTTGGAACACTATACCAAAAAGGCAGTAAGTAATTTTTATTTATTCGCGGATGGTTGCTTCGGGCAAAATAAAAACTCAATTATGGCATCAATGTTACTCCATTCATTAAACAAATTCTCCAACATTGAGGAAATATCGTTGCTCTTTTTTGAAACAAATCACGGGCAGAGCGAGGGAGATTCAGCTCATAGCGCCATTGACAGAGCTGTTACTACTGCTGGAAATGTATTTGTCCCTTCCTAACTTTATCCCATAATACGACTGGCACGCAGAAAGCAGCCTTATACGGTGATTCCTATGGCGTTCAATGATTTTAAAGACTTTAGGTTATTGTCCAAAGATCTTGAGTGTTAGAACCACCGAAAACGGCCTGACCATAAATTGGACCAATGTAATGGAATTTATGGTCAAGCGAAATTCACCTTATACCCTATATTTTAAGAGCAGTCATTTAGATTTTAATTACGACTCTATAGTTTTGAAACGTCTAAAACCTAATGTGTTGGAACTACAACTTTTTCAATTAAACAAAGAAGTTCCAAAAATAACTAAAAAAAAGTACAAGGACTTAGTGTCACTTTGTCAAGGAGAAACTCCTGTGGTAAGATTAAAAGAGTATCAACAATTTTTTATGAATCTACCCTATCTTGAGCAAGACTAGAATGTATAAATTATAAGGTACAAGTTAAAAACATAATGTTAGTTTGTTAAGGTTAAAGAATTTTTGTATGATTTTTTTTACTGATAGTCGTACAGAGATTTGTAACTTTATTTTGAGGAAAATTCTCTTTCGTCAGATTTTCCTTTTGTCAGATTTACGGTTTTTTATAAATTAAATAGTGTCCATTTTAGTTATATTATCACCAGATAGTCTGAGAAAATCTTTATGTTCTATTAAGTTTAATCTTGTTATTCTTAATAAGGTATAAATTAAGTAATGCTTATTCTTTGAGTTCCAAGAATTTATATTTTTTTCATTAAAAACCCTATTATTATTTGCAGGGAAAACTGTGTAAGAAATACGCTCTTTTGTTTTTGTAATAGCAAGTTGAACCAGGCTTATCTTACAAGCACTCTAATTTTGTTTCACACAAAGTGACGTATCTACATATTTTATTTCTTTTATAAAAAAAATTGATATTTTCACATGATATGGTTAGTGAATAAATATACGTTCATTAGTAATAAGCATGATATAAAAAAATCAAAACCGACATTTTCATTATTTCTATGTTACGGCAACCGAAATATCGTGAATTTTTGTTTTTGGCCTCTGCAGTAAAATTTACTCAATGTTAGTTACGTCAGTTCGTGTGGAGATCTGTTCCCATAAGGTCGTTTTACTGTGCGGCGTAACATAAAGTGAAGCAAATTTTACAATACAAAAAGACTGCTATTAATGGGTATTGTTTTCTTCCTCTTACTCATTTATATAAAACGGAGAATGGAATGTTCTCGCTGTTTGATTACTTTATGGATATGTTCTTACTGGAATTATTTTTACATCATTATTTGACGATAAAACTGTACATTTAGCCAATATGTTCTATTTCTGGAAAAAGCGAAGGTTCTAATTTTTGTGTTTCAATTTTGGTTCCAAATAACTCAATAAAATCAAGGATTCGCACACACTCGCGAGTCAAGGTCTCAAAAATAATTATTTTTAAAACGTTACACGGGTTTAGTCAACTCAAACGCAGACGGACACAAATTGGCAATCAATAAATAAAAGATATGAAAATACTGTTTTATTTTTTATTACTAAATAAAACGAATTAATATACATTACAAGATACAATATACAATTATTTATAAAATCATATTTCTATGTCTTTTAATATAGTCTCTCGATGAATTTTATAATGCGAAATCAGATCATATAATAATGCAATTAGTCTAAATGCTTCACTTACCCAAAAAGGAAAACGTTTTGGCCAAGTGAAATTATTAGCATTCATATAGAAGATTTGTCACCGTCAACAATAGTCAAAATATATCACAGCCACTTAGTTCAAAGAAAAAGAAACTGAATCATATGATTTCACAAACTTAAAAAATAAAAAGTTGGAAAAATTGAGAAATACATATAAACATTTACTTATATGCCATTAGTATGACAAGAAACATAATCCCCATTACTACCTGTCTTCCTCTAAATAAATTCTGCCTCCGAAAATCCGTATTGATTGCATTTTACCGGAACCATGGCAGATCGATAGATGGAGTTCACTGGTCTGATGTATGTGTCGACTTCGATTACGGATAACCTTCACGCCGGTGTTATTCCACTGCTTGCAGAAGATAAAGAAACGGTCCATGACGACGGAAAAATCGAGAGATTTATTCCAAAAGGTTCGCTTTGTAGATATATATCGTTACGTTTACTTTCAGTTTTTTTGTAGGCCAAAACGCAACTCTATAGGGTAATCTGAGAAACGCCGAGTAAAACACACCGTTGGAGGAAAAAGAAAAATGTGTTGCGTACAGAGTGGTCTCTGCACCAGATTTTAACGAGTTCGCTTCTATTTTCTTTTTCTTCTCCCTCGAACGTCTGGATTTCCTTTTTTCTGTACAATTGCGACGCTGTCAGTGATAGTTGACATGTGGCTTTCTATTTGACTTTCAAACTAAAATAAGAACTCTGCGTAGAACATCCATAATAGCATATTATGCAACAAGTACGGTAAACGGCATTTTAAACTCACGAGCTTATTTGACACGAGCGGAGCGAGTGCTTACTAAACGAGTGACCTAAAAAGTTTAGCGAATGTGTTGCATACTATACTTTTTTCTAGTTCCGTTTGTAAAATACCTAATTACACACCGATCTAGCGTGCGGAAATCGTCACTACCACGTCAGTTTCGTTTCCCACGGATCCGAGCCACTTCGGATATTTCCCCGATTTTCCGCACGGGTTTGGGAGCAGTCGGATGTTTTCGGAGATGTTTCCCACGCCTTGAAAGGCTAACGTTTTTGAATTCTAAATGTGATATTCACTTTGCTCGTGATATGAAAAATACCAGTTCATAATAGTTACAAACCTTCTTTAACCAAAATCCACTTCCTATATATACATGTCTAATTTATAAAATATTGGAACAATAGAAGTATAAAATAATAAATACAGCAAAGAACAAATTTTAGACTCACAAAGATGCACAAATATTCCCAAAATACATTGAGACTCCAAAGAACCATTTTCTTTTTATCAGTAACATTGTCTTTTTAAGCTGTTGTGAAAATTTGCTCTAATAAAGTATAATTTTTGTTCTTAAAATGATGCTGCGTGCATACACATTTGTTCAAGATCCTTAGCTTTAGAGATTGGATAAAATGATGATGAAACTATTTTTGCCATAGATACATATCGTTTCTGCTATTCCACTAAGAGTTCCACCCTAGAACTGCTTCTATTCTATCAACCCAATGGCGGCCAACAGCCAAAGTATAAGCCGCTGTGGCCAATCCACGTGCCTTCTCCTGTATCGCTCGCCAGTTACTCAGTGCGTAGGGTATTTTGAATATTGGCGTAGAATGACATCGCAAAATGTGCAAAATGTTCAGTTTGGAAGAAAATGGTGCGCAGCTTTGACCAAATGGCATAGCAACGTTCATCTCTAGGGATGTGGGATCACCATTCTAGCACAATCATCGCTACTTGGCCAGGGCTGTGTATAGCACAGAAAATGCTTCGCAGTTGTACATCGTAGGTCGTTCCGGATCGGGAATTTCGACGGTCTTCGACTCGAACGCACCCGGTAACAATTGCCCAAACGCCGTCAGCTTATTATTCCGATAATAATATCCACTAGGAAGGAAATGAAACCGTGTACTTAAGGTGGACCAGTTCTTGCGGACGCTATTGTTTCGTTGTTCGGTCGACGGGCAAAATAAGAAGAATGGACGACGGCGACGACGGCCGGGCCTACCATTGAATATTCAGGGTTCACGGTTGAAATTTTTTCCGAAATCGGGCGCGGTCGCGGTATAAATAAGCGACGCGAAATTTTGAGTGGACATTCATTCATCGGCCATCAGATCCTTCCGATCGCCTTTAACCCGCCCGATCACAGCAACATGTTCGTAAAACTGGTGAGTGCCCTTTTTTCTTGTTTCTCCGACGAATTTTTATTGGATCCTATGTAAACAGTTGATTTTGAAAACGGAAGAAGTCACCAAATTCGTTCATTTCCAAATTTTCAACAAAAAAACATTGTTTTAATTTTCGCGGCGGAATATCTACAGAGTGTTTCCGAAAAGTTGAATCCTTTCCGTAAAAACTTAATGGAATATCCGACGCTTTTGATTTTTTTGTAAAGAGATAGAGGGAATAATATGAACTAGTAGTGACTTTCTGTGACAAAATATTCACGTCGCCTTTGAATAATTTATATTTTAGGATTTATTAGAAAATTAAAAGTAAATAACGGATGTCACAATTTCATTATTCTCCGTTATACTGCTTGTGCTGATTTAATTAAGTTTTTGCTTTTTTCCGCTGTTCGTAAGCCAGTAGAAGTTTCATTTATCAGATTGTCACAAAAAATGTTTGTAATTTTACTATTTATTTGCATCTATTTACTTTACTTAAGATTTGCTTAATATACTCTGTTCAGTATTTTGTAAAACAACTCAACCAATTTAAACAGGATCAAACCAAACATGCACAGTTCAAAAGTTTGGCCGCTACTGGAATATAGCTGTGAATATATTTGTGAATAGCAAGTGCTTCAAAATTAATTAATGTTATTACCTTTGTTCCTAAACGAAAAAAAGGGATTGCTCATTTTTAATATATTTCTTAAATTGCGTCATCTTGCTGTATAAATTTTTGTTGTACGCCATTGGAAATTATGACATTTTGGTATGGAATTTCCAATTTCCTTATAGAGTTGAACTTAATGTCCTTTTTTTGTATTCACAAAAATAAGTAAAAAATCAATAACGATTTAACAACTAATGTTTCAGGCCGTCTTCGCTTGCGCGCTCAGCGCCACCTTTGCCCAACAATACCGGGGGCCACTGGCCGGCGGTCAACCCGCTTCCCTTTACCCCGCGGGCGTCGATCCACAACTTTGCCCCAACTTCCCTCACTGCTCCAACCCGTTGGTCGCGATCGGCCAGAGCGCTCCCCAACAGTACGCCCAAAACGCTCCCCAACAGTACCAACAGTACCAGCAGCCCCAGCAGCAATACCAATCACAGCCCCAATACCAACCTCAGCCCCAGCAGTATCAGCCCCAGCAGTACGCACCCAACCAGCAGCAGCAGCAGTATTCGCCTGAAATCCAGCAAAGGTTGGACAGGGGCGAATACATTGGCGATGGGGATTACAGGGGAGAAGGGTTGGCTGAAGCCCTCGCCCCCGGATACGCACGTAAGTTGGCAATAGTGGCCAGAAATAAGTCTAATTACTTTACTTGGATTATTGAAAACAACTGTTAGGTTAAGTAAAGGTTCAACATTTAAACAAATCCGCAATAAAAAAATTAAAAGGTTACATTTTTTGCTGGTTAATAAGAAAAAAAAATCAGTGGCGGATTTTTTTTTAACAAAAATTTTGGTTACTTTTGGGTAGTGTCGGTATCGTTAAGTGCGCCTCTGCAATTGATCATTTTAGTCTAATTGGTGGTACCAGTGCGAGACCTTAGTTAAAATTGGCTAAGTAAAACATTTATTGAAACCCCTTTTTTTAAACTTAACTCTGACATATACGTTTGTGTCTTAAAATCACATTGTATATTTCATCTTTGCAACAATCGACTGGTTTCGGTAACAAATAAGAGCGTACTAATTATGTATTCATTTTAATTATTGCTTATTAATGTAATCTGTGTTTATTTATTTTAATTAATTTTTTCCGTTTTTCAAATTGAATAAAGAAAAAACAAAATAAATAATAATTCCGTGACCCCTTAGAACAAGCCGCTCCTCAGTACAACGCCGCGCCGTCCTATCAGGCCCCCCAACAGCAATACAACCCAGCGGCATACGCAGCCCCCCAACAACACGCGACCCCAGCTCAAATCCCTGCCGGAGTCAGTCCCCAGGCTTGCCCCAACTACCCCTACTGCTCGTAAGCGGTATCCCCTTCTCGAGCATCCGCCCAGCCCCCCTCACAGTCGAACTGATATTAGCGAGACAGACTGCCAGCTGACAGCATGTTGTTCCAAAGCATTTACCGTTTAAGGGATATTTTTGCGAAACCTCGTTTAATGTAATATATTATTGTGTATAGTCGTGTAAATTGTTTTTACGCATATAATTTTGTACTTATTTATGCGCGAGGAAGCCATTTTTTCGGTATTGACATTTTGTAAATAAAATTTTATACGGAGTATTTCGGTGTTTGAATCGATACCTATAGATCACGCTTGAAAATGGGACATATACCTATGCAGCTCTAATTAACTAACCAAAGAAACTAACTAAAAAATCGGTCAAAATTGTACTTTTAGAAGTCGATTGACTTGGCTTGGTTGACTTAAAAAATACAATAAAAGAATGAATTACGTTTCCTCTTTGAATTGTAATTAAATCGCTAAATTTTATTGGGTTTCAAAATGTTTAAACTATATTAATTTTGCATAAGCTTTGACGATTTCTATATGTGCATTTGAATACTTTTTTTGAAATCGAGTGTTAAAGATAAATTTAAAGATAAACACTTTATAAAAATATACAGTCTAGTCTATCTAGTCTGATTCCCATTGCCTTGGATGCATAAAAAAAAATTCACGTGAAAAAATAGGTACATTTGTATAAAACTGAAAAAGTAACAATTTTTTGCAATAAAATTTTTATATATTTTCTAATTTTTTCACAAAACATGTCATACTTTGACCGGTAAAGGCAAATGTTAAAAAAATATTGTAAACTGTTTTATTTATTATTTTTGATACGCAAGCTATCCCCAGAATCTAAGTTTGCTAAAATTCATTGATAAAAAATGTTCCCACATTATACTATTACACTATAATTAAAAAATTATCCCATACATTATTTAAATAAATTCCTTTACAAGTGTCGCAAAAGCATTTCGGCAACGTTTGGAACTCTTTCTCTGCTGCAAAGCAACGCCGCAAGGTTACCTTCGAGCGCGGTCGCGTCTAAAAAAGCCGTACCATTTTTATTAAGGTTACGCCCACTTTGCGAACAAACAAAGCGCAAATGTTCCGTATTTACGGGTTTTTTATCAGCCAAATTGACGTGCAATAAAAGCGCGTTATTGCGGAATGCCTGCCCGGCTTCTTGGTAAAATTCCTTTTATATTCGTGCAGATCGCCGCGACGATTATATTGACCTATATATAAAACGCAAAATTGTATAAACACTTATACGAACATCATACTTAACGCTCCGACGTAATAAATTATTCATAAGGTAAACGATTGCAATTAAAATGCTCGAGAAACCGCTCCGGTTACCTCGACTTGTAGAAAATTGCTTAAAATTTTTGTTTTTAATTCGCTTGTTTATTGGTTCCGATATTAGGGCGGGCCAATTGGTACATCTCAAAAAATATGGCAAAAAGCCTTTTTTCTACTAACCTCTGTAAAATACCTAATTCTACACTTGACATGCGGGAAGCGTCACTTCACCAAGTGAGTTTCTTGTCTTCGGGCATTTCAGGGATATTACCGCACTAGTTTGGGAGCAATTGTTTCGCAAAAATGTATGGTCTGTTCATAGATATGAGAAAGTGACCAATTGCTTTTGAATGGGATTATCCAAGGGTGGTCATTAACATACAATGCAACAAGATTATTACCTAAAGTTTCGGAATTTAAATTCAGGTAAAATTGTGGTCCGTAATAGAAAATAATTTTATACCTACTTGTGTTTAATATTCTTTGGTTTGGTATACTACTCAGTTTCAGTTTATTAGTAATTATTCTTATTTCGTGTGTAATACAGTAATACAGCGTGTGTTGAATCGTGTGCGAATTATGCAATATATGTATATCTCAGGAGATGCTCCCGCCCAAATGTAGAAAACACTATTCTATTGAGGCTAAGGAAGTTATAAATAATGTTTATTTAACTCTCATTGAACGTGGTGCCAGCAAGCAAGCATCTTTAGAAGAAAACGCCACATTGACGAAAATTCCAACATCAACTGTATGGAGAATTGTGAATAATCCCATTTCAGCGAGGAAAAAAAGAAGTGATGCTGACATTTTCTCGATTGTGGATAAAAGTGATCAAGATATACGGCATAAAATTTACCAGTTCTACGAGAACAAAGCGTGCCTACATTAGATATCTTAATTGGGAGGCTTGAAAAGGATGAAACCGGTGTTAAATGTGGCAGAACTCCTTATGTATTCAACACATGGGTTTCAGATTTAAAAAAATTGAGAACAACAAAGGCCAATTATTTACTTGGATAAAACCTGGTTCGATACTTATGATACCCCGGGTTGGGTTGACTCAACTGATGAGTGTAAAACAAACGCGCCATCAAAAAGAGGTAAAAAATAACTATTTTGCATGCTGGCTCTAAAGATGGTTGGATTCCAAATGGACTTTCTCTGTCTGCGAAAAATATGAAAGATTCTTCTCTGGATTACCATGAAGACACCACCACTGATTTATTTGAAAGTTGATGTAACAACAAAGTATTTCCAAACATTCTCCCTAATAGCGTCATTGTAATGGACAATGCAAGTTATCGATAAGAAATTAAAAAGTATATATCCGAAAACAGATCTATAATTTACTTAGATGGATCGGTTTTACATCTTCCTCCATGTATATTCAATAACAACAACAAAATAACATGAAGCCCATTATAATCAATTTGAGAGTGAAACATAATTAGAATTTGAATGAAAACTTTATTATTTAGGTTATTATTGATAACTTCTATATATTTCGTATCATCGTATTTTCTATTAGTAACAATGTGATTTTATTATACCTAAATAATTTGTTTTTAACATAACAATAAAGACGGTTAATAGAAATTTAATTTTTAATCAATATAGGTCATTTATTTAGCGACTGGAAGTGAGCAAACCTCGAAATGGAGGATAAAAGTGATAATGGCGGTCCTATAAATTCTTTCTAAGACAAATAAAAATAGAGGAAGAAATTCAAACTGCGCAACCAGGAAGTGGAGATGCAAATGCAAAACAAGGTATTGGTTATGAGATTTTGCTGTTAATGGCTCTGGTAGCTTCTAGTTTGCAAAGTAGATGCAAAGACAAGATTGGAAAAGCTAGACCAATAAAGATGGATACTAGATAGAAATCCACAATCGCTGGACGTAAGCGAACCTCCAGTTATATAGTGACTAAAAGTATTAAGTGTTCTTCCAACTTTCTAAAAGCGTATAATTGTTGTAACTTTTCACTACAAAAACCATAAAAAAACTCGTCTTCTTTAAATTTATTACATACAGGGGGTAGGTATTGTTGAACCAATTGATGGGCTATTAAATTTGAATTAAAATGCCTAAGTATCGCCAGAAGACCATCGTAATATAAATCACTGAGGATCTGGGTAACTGCGGTAAGAAAGCTGATTGATGTCTCCCTTCTAGCTGCGGCACATGAAAACGTATTTGTTCTAAAAGAAACGGAGAATCGATTTCGTAATGGCCTAACTTGTGGAGAAATGGTACATATTGCAAGTCTCTGCGTAAGCTCAGAGCCAGTGCGGCGAACCTTCTCAGTAGAAGATCACCATCAACTCCCCTCTGAGAATAGGAACAATAGACACTTCTCTGCACACTCATAATCGACTGAGTGTGGCAGTTATATGTTGGTGGCCATACCACTGTGCCATAGGCAAGCTTGGACCTAACGTAACAGTTAAATAACAATTTAATAGTAGCTGAGTTAAAAAAATGCCTGCAATTTCTTATAACCAATCCTAAAATTTGCATTGCACTAGAAACCATTTGAGTAATGTGAGGTACAAAAGGAAACGTGTGGCCAAATAAAATCCCCTGATAACAGTGGCAAGTCTAGTCAGGATGGTACCATCCATAGTGTAATTAAAGACTATAGGAGTTTTTGTGCGGTGGTAAGAAACCACATTACACTTGTTGATGCTAAGATGCAATTTATTTTTAGTACACCCCTGCCTGTTTTAATGCAGTGATATAGTTTTAGGTCATCCGCTTAGGAAAGCTTGTCGCATATGATGAAAGATTTGAGATCGTCTCTAAATATATTGAACAGAAATGTTCAAGGTGCCTTGAGACACACTAGAACTTGAAACACAAAAGGAACTCATCTAAAGTCTTCAGTCTCAACGCAATTGTCGACGGTTCACCAGGTAAGACCCCAACAGTGAAATCAGCGATTTGGGGAAATCAAATTTTTGAGACGTGTTTTCAATCAGTATCTATCTGGTCAAATGCTTTGTGGAAGTCAATGTATATAACGTCAACTTGACCTTGCTTGTTCAGGGAGTCACAGACATAAGAAGACAGAGAACTTAAATTGGTGATACACGATCTTTTAGCATAAAAACTATGTTATTGCGAAGAAGGTTTATTTCTTATTTGAGCAAAGATAAATTTAAGTAATATATTCTCCAATATTTCCAAAAAATTGCATAAGATCGAAATAGGTCGTTAATTTTTTTGAGAATAGGATAAATGTTGGCAAGTTTCCAAGATTTTGGATAAACGCTCGTTCCAAGTACCAAGTTAAAAATGTGACATAAAGGAGCACACGCTCATTTCTTTGGTGAACCATAATGGAAATCGTCTTCGTCCCGGTGTTTTAATGGGTATTGTAAAATTAGAATCGTGTGGAAAAGTGGCTCGAAAGGAAACTATTAACGGGGGATGGTTAATGTATATTGTTGAAAGTTTTTTTGTTGTTTTTGCAACAGTGTTAACTTTAGTTTAGCAAAAAAAATTGGCTCTTCCAATTTGTAAAAAAACTGAGCATAGCAAACAAGCACATTGAAGATTTTTTAATATGAAAATACCAATGATAAAAATAATTTTTGTTTTGTTCTTTTCTTACTCAGTTGCAAGTGTGTGTGATTAATATGTTATTGAAAATAACACTCCCAAATTGTATACCAGATTCCGGTAGATGTTGTCTATAATTAAGCTGCAACATACCAGCCTAACTCATGTACAAATCACATTCATTGACAGATACTAATTAGGATCAACAAGTTCTCTTAATTCGGCCTGCCTAACACCCACGAAAAAAAAAGCTATTTATTAACGATAATCTCATTCGCAGCATAAATTTTTGATAATGCGAAACAAATCGTATCGTAAATAGGCGCTAATTATAGAGCTGCAATATCGAGCAACCACAAGGTAATACGGTAGCTAAATCGTTCAAAGGCCAATGCCAGCGAACATTTGTTGTTTTGCCATCTGTTACCAAAAACATTAAGAATTTTATGGAATTGTAAAGGATTTTCAAATAAATTTTTAACCTGTTTTCCAAGATGAAACTTTCAAGCGAAACGTAATACAATTGATTGAACTATAGCTTTAGAATAAAAAAAAAAGAAAGTGCTATGATTTTATTTTTAAAGAAAATTTTTTGTTTTAAATATTTTTGGTCATTGTACTAACATTGTGAATAAATGATTATATGTTCTTGCAATATAGATCAGGTATTAAAATATTCCAATTAAATAATTAAAAAAGGGTATGGCAAGGTTACAAGTGATACGTAATAAAAATGATTTAAAAATAACAGACATACGTATATAGATTTCTGTACTAAATCAAGCAGTAATAAAATTTATCAGTGTCGGGTGTCAAAATAAAAATATTTGGTGGCTAACTCTTTTTTGCGTTTAGAAAAAAAAATATGGCGGGCCTTGGTTTCTGGCTTTCTTTTCTAAAAAATAATATAAAATGTTTTCATTGTATTCCTGGATTATTTTTTAAAATATTCTATTTAAATACCTAACGATGAATGCTATATACTAAATATTCTATGTGAAAAAGGCTTTTCAAAAGCAGAAACGCAGATTCAAAAAGAAAAGACGTCAACACCAAAAGAGAATGGTAAAGCTCGGTTCAAAAGGTCAGAGTCTTTGCTGCGGTTTTGTGCAGATCGTTAGATTTTTTAATGACTTATTTCTACATCGGTAAAGGTCGTACAAATATGCACGGTATATGTACAGAGCGTAAAGTTTCAATCGCTCCATATGTGCACAAATTTAATAGCTAATTAATTAGCTTCCATTCTACTTTAGTTACGCACTAATTTTAATGTTAAAATTAATTTTGAAATAACATACAAGACGACACTATTGTTCTAAAAATGCATTTCGAAAACTAAAAATAAAAATATCCGGAAGGGACAACCTTATACAAAATTACCATAATATTTAACACCATTTTCATTCGCATTCGCATTTGCAAAAAAAATGGTTGTGTGGAGTTTTCCATTTATTTATGCATTGTACAAAGTCCAGCTTAGACGGAATAAGGCATAAAATAGGTTTTCTTCCTATTTTCAATTTATATTCACTTATTCTATAGCTTTCTATTTGTTTGTTGTTTTATTTTTCGTAGCTACCACACCAAAATTAAGTAAAAAAAACCATCGATATTGGTTAGCCACTGTTTTGTTTCCTTTTTAATTTTTATATCCGTTAGGTTTCATTGGTGAATTCTGCTTGAAGTTTATCTCAATAGTCTCTATGCCGATTTCGCATTTTTTCTGTTTGCTCTATTTGTTATAATTATTTGCTTAGTTCTGGTTAGTTTCTGTTATTCTGTTGTTGTGTTTGAAGGAGAAAGCATATATAGTATAAGCATAACAGAAACGAACCAAAACTAATCAAATAAATCCTGGCAAATAAAAGAACATTTTTTAACTTTTTAACATAACAAGTACTCATGAGTGTTATTGACCTATAGTTGCTTTTCGGCGTCTTCGACCCCAATTTATATATTGGTCATACTTTAACAATTTTTAGTTCCTCCGGTAATTCTATAAATTATTTATTGATAATACTAAGATATGCAGGTTGAAAAGATCCTGATATGTTACACCATCGTGTCCTGGAGCGACTTTTTAAGGTTTTTTATAACATTCGTTAAACGTTAACACGGTGCTTAGAGACTTTTTCTCATCCTCAATCTCATTAACAATACCTAACCCTATATCTGTAAAGTATTTATTTATTTATTTTGTTATTATTTTGTGTTATTTTGTTACTGTCCGTTTCTGACTTTTTTATACATTGTTTGGTTGATTTGCTCCTAATAAAAGAATAGAATCATTTTCCGGTTTTTGCCATTTACTTTGAAAGTGTCGTTTTTTTTTTATGTTATTTTTAAATTCTTGAATTTTATTTGTAAATAGTTATTATTTGGATTGTTTTTCCAGTGTTTATATGCATTATCTCTTTGTTTTAGATCTGGTGTAACCCAGCTGTTATTTTGGTGACACTTAATTTTTTTTATTGATTTTGATTCATGTTTTGCCTTACTGATTATATCAATTAACTGTTTAAATGATTTTAATTCGCCGCTTAATTGACTTTTAAAATTTTGTATGATTTTATTAATATTTAATATTTATGATTAATTATTTAACATTTCCATGTTTTTTTTTCTTTATGATCCGATATTTTAGACTTTATTTTAAATGATAGATTTTACATAGTACATGATCTGGTGTTGACGAATTTTCGGACACTCTGGTTGCATTCTGGACATTAACCTGGTTTACAATTGTATATCCATTCAAAAGAACTAACTCTTTGGTTGCATAGGAATTATTTGACAGTAAATTAATATTGAAATCACCTACAATAATATGATTTGTTGGATATTTTCTAATTAGAGACTCTAAATCTTTAAAAAAGTGCTGAATAGGAAAAGTAGGCGGTCTATAACCTATACTTAATTTCACATTATTTTTTCCAAGAGCCAATTCACTAAGGTGTCTGAATTACTTTCTAATAATTTGTAATTTATACATTGTTTGATGTACACTGCAGCACCTCCTCCTAGTGTTCCTACAAGAGTACACCGGTGAGTATCCTTCGATGTTGTAGAACGGAGTCTCATCAGCATACAGCCATATTTCTAGAAGCACTCAAATATCACTTTGAAGATTGGAAGAAAGTTCATCACTTTATTTCTTAGGATTTGAATATCCATATATTCAATATTTATAGAGTTGTTCTTTATTTCATTGAATTTTTTAAATCCTCTTCAGTATCAATTTGGTGTATTTTGGTCGTCTCATTTTTAAGTAGTAAAATTTTTCCACTATTTACCCCTAGATAATTAAAGAAATTTGCGTCCTTAAACTATTTTGCCTTTTTAAAAAGCTCAGTAATTTCTTTGGTTAACTCATATTTTATCTATATAGGTTCCGGAGTGCTATTATTTTACAGTATTACATAAGTTGTAAGATTTATGTATTTTTTAGCTATCATTCGGTTTCTCTTATCTTATTACTAAAAGTGATGTGATTTTCCTTTTTTGACCCTAATCTAGTTACTTTTTGAAAGCCATTTTTTTCTACAATTTTTTGAACATTTTCTTTCTCCTTATTAGACACAACCTGTATAATTATATTATATAATAGGCACACCCTGTACAATTATATTATAAAGCATGTTGTTCACTATTCTTTAATTGCCGCTGTATTTTTTGTTCTATTTGCATATTCTGATTAACGATGATTTTTGTTCTTCATATTTTTCATATTCGTTATATTTGGTTTCCATTTTCACAAGATTGGACAATGCCTTTATTATCGTGAAATAATAATATTGATTTTTTGTTGGTTTTGTTTTTAATTTGCATTTATCACAACTCCATTGTGTATTTAATCTATCTAGTTTCTTGTAGGCTATTTTGTTAATATTTAAACATTTTCTGTGTAACCACCCATCGAAGTTATCACATCATAGAGCCTCACCATTATCTGTTAAAATTTTGGTGCAAATACGTGGCAATGCTGACCTGCCTAACCGCAAAAAACCATAGATATGGGTAAACAATTCCCGACACATTCGACACAGGGCACGTGTTTTTTGTGCTTTATTATTCAGTAATGTTATATTTTTTCTTAGAGACTGTCAGAAAAAAACAATAATAAACCACTCATCACCACTTTTCACAATTATTTTGCGCTAAATTTGATTATTCTCTAACGAATCTCAGGACGTAAACAATCAATCTCGCTACGTTGTCGGCTCGGCTCGAACCTTCAAGACATTTCCCTATTTTTCTTTTTCATATTTTTTTAATAGACGCTGCATCCGAGGACTGAGCCAAAACGCTTCACCACAAGCTTGGCGTCAAGGAAAACATCAGTTCTGGTTAGTCACGAAACTGCCAAGTACTAGTAGCAAATGGTTAAAAAATGAAAAACAAAAGCCCTACAAAATTGCCTTACCTAATCTGGTGTCAATAATCTCTAAACAATTATTCCGGGCAAAAACTAAAAAAGCCGACGCCAGTAAAAGTTTTGCCGCCCACACAAAATCGATAACGTCATCTGCAAACCGCTAAAAACGATTTAATGCGGGCACTGTCAATCGCATCGTTAGGTCAACCTTCATAGCTCCCGGAACTGGCGTTAAGGATTCGGATATTCCTACAGTGTAGCGTAAGACATCCGTTCCGGGCGTCTCTAGTCGCTCCTACTTGATTTTAAATGACAAAATTCAGTCATCGCCTGATCGACGCTCGCCATCGAAGTTCATCGATACAATTTTGATGTCAGGCCCGTACTTAGCCTGTCACATATAATTTCTAGAGTTCTAAAAGATAGCCAGTACTAATCAAGTCGTAATTTTCGTAAAAACGTATTGAAAAATTGTTTTTTTCAAAATATTTTTTTATGTAATTAAAACAGATTTGAATTTTGATTTTGTTAGTTTTGGTTAGTTAACAGCATTCAAAAATTGCGGAATGCTTGTTCTCTCTTAATATTCGGGTCAAGAATGTTTGCCTACAGGATTCATTTTTTGGCATTTGTACACAGAAATCTCAGATTCTCTCATTTGCTAACCAAAATATAAGACCGCATGTTTTAAATCAAGCTTATTTTATGACGCACCTAGTCTATAAAATAAGTTTGTTGTAGTACATTACCTATAGAAAGCCTTACAACAAAAAGCAAATTCTACATATTATTTTGAATTACTTATTATATACTATTTATTAGGTTAGTTTATGAGATACATTTGCGTGGCAATGTTGCATTTTGTAATTCTCGGAAATGATTGACTTCGGAATTAAGATGACTCTGGTAGCTTGTAGCTCGAAATATGCTTAAGGCAAAAAGAAAACAATGTAAAACATGTTATAATGTTATCTTCAATACCGATAGTGCTAGAAAAGTATCGATACCGAGAGTACCGATACGGAAGTATCGAAGTATTATTAAAGTGACACTTTTTGTACGCTCGACCAGAGGCATTTTATATGTAAATTCAAACAAGACTTTAAACTTACCAATTTTGAGTAAACAAAGCTCCGAACGTTAAATAAGTATCCAACGCTAAACCTGCGACGAGTCCGATCCTGGAAGCGAGCGTTTCTCTGAATTTCACTGAAAATAAAAGAACACGGCTCGAATTTTTCATCTTTTATTATTTGCTAAGTTCATGGTTAAAGAACGCTCGGTATATATGGATTTGCGTTTTCGGTGCGCACATCATTCAGTGGTCGTGCGCTCTTGGTGCGGTCAGTAAGAAACCATGCTTGCGAAATTGGTAAGTTTTGCGCACATGGCCGGGATCTAGGATCGCAAAGGTGAAGACGTGATTTGTGCGCAAAACCGTACGCGATCTTTGGTGGGATACCGCCCGGGTTGACTTTAACGTTTAAAATAATAACGGTCACGATTTTCGTACAACGTTGACATTTCGACGGGGGGCAGGGGTAGTCTTTTTCTTGCATGCCGTGTATAAGCTATGTATTGCGTACAAACTAAACAAAATTATACAAACAGGAGTTTCCTATGAGCTTCAACCCAGTAAGTGCGTTATATAAAAAATTAATGAATTAATGAAAAATGAAAAATGTAGAAAAATGTAAAAAATTTATGGGATTTAAATAGAATATAAAAAAGAACCATGACGAGTTTCTATGATTTTCTCTAAAGGAATCTCCTAAAAATTGTTTTTTTTAATTGAAAAAAAAAAGTTCTTTTTTTTATTTCAACAGGGTTCATTGAATTGCATTTTTTTAAAAGAAAAGGTGCAAGCTACTCCAAAATATTCGTTTTAGGTCTTTAACATACACAATTCTTTTAAAATTATGCGTTTAGATGTAGCACTTGGTCCAACTCTGAAAAACTAAACAAATTAAGTATGTTTTAAGAATACTCTTTTCTTTGGTCGTCAATATTACATTTTTATTAAATTATGTGAAGTATTTTAAAAGTTATTAAGGAGAATCAGTAGCGCCTTTTATTGGCTCGTGTCGTAGCAAGAAAAAATAGAGCAACTGGTCATATTAGTTTTGTGTTGTATCTGAATCCTAGAGATTTATTATCAGGAAGAGAAGCTAAGTAATGTCTTCTGCCACCTTGTACTGTTTCTGCGTTGTTTTGGTTTTAATTTTATGTAGTTGGTGCAATATATATCACATGAATGTCAATTTGTGTGTAGACTACGTATATAAATCAATACAGATACCAAGAAATAATAAATTATCAAATAGCCATTGAGATATCAAAATTCATTATTTTTGTCAAATAAGCATTCCATTGTTTCAGTTTTGTAACACAAATATTGAGAGATCTGTTTTCATTATGAGATTCAATTAAAACAGCAAGGATGGAGCAACAATGTACCTATATCAAGCTGGGAAAAATTAAACTCTTGGTAATTATTAAATCTAGAAGTTTTGTTAGGGCGAGTTTTGAAAATAAATTTATACCTCTTACATAACTTCTGGATTCTTCCTGCGTCGTTTTTTGCTGAGTCGAAATTGCTGACGTTTCGTCAATAATCCTCTTGGCTTCTTCAGAGCTTGGCTGAAACTGTTTCAGTCAAGCTCTGAAGAAGCCAAGAGGATGATTGGCGAAACGTCAGCAATTTCGACTCAGCAAAAACCGAGGCAGGAGGAATCCAGAAGTTTTGTAAACAGTGTTGCAGTAGCCTGTGCAATTTTCTTTGACAAATTTATACTTATTGCTCAATAGGTATTGTAATATTATTAATAATAATACACTTTTCTCATGATTGCCTGAAATGATTTTTATAAAAAAAAAATATTTAATAGACTCAAATTTTCGACCTTATGTTTCGAAAAAGCAAAGCAGCTAAATAAATAATTATTATCGTAACGCATGTCGCTAACTTATAGTAACAATGAAAAAGTACGGACAAAAAAATCATGAAATACACTTTCTTATTATTTTGAAAACTCCTTGGCCGATTTTGGATTCTACAGGCCTATCGATCCACATTTCGACGCTCCCACGCCTACAAAAGGTTAAAGGTCCTGATGGCGAAAGACCTTCGTTGTTAGTTTAAAAGGCTAAAACCGATTTGTTTCTTTTACCAAAACAATCGTCACGCAAGGCGGATAACCATAATGCATTTTGCAACTTTGAATTATAGGTGTTTGTTCATTCATACGGCCCTGATTTATTTTCTTAACTAACCGTCCGTCTCTTAGAAAAATATCACAAAATCACAAGGCGCGGCTAATAAATGACCAACTTAGTCATGCCATCGTAATGTAAAATTTCGCACCATCGAATCAAGTTTGAATTTAAAAAGGATTTCAACCTTTGCTTCTCAGTTATCAATAGGTAAAATAAGAAGAAGTTTCAAATATCCAAATTAAATTTCAAATGTTTTAGCCACAATCTTTAAATTGAATTGAATTGAATTTTAATTGAATATACTTAAAAACTTCTAACCCTGTAGAACCAAAACTTTTTAGACGGATAGATCTTTATTAATATTACAATTCAAACAACAGTCAGAATAATCTTTTAACTACTGTCACTAAGAACTTTATCGCTCGTAGATAATCATCGGTGCTATCCTAGAGATCGGATTGGCCCAGTACCAATTCACGGGTCAACTTCCCGCCCAATACCCAGCAGGAGTCGACCCCAAATCTTGCCCGAACTACCCTGACTGTAGCAACCCCTTGGTGGCAGTACAAGCGAACGCTCCACAATACAAACCCCAGCTCTTACAACAACCTCAGCAGTACCAGCCTCAGTATCAACCTCAGCCGCAGCAGCTGCAGCAAGTACAGTACCAGCCGCAGTACCAGCAAGCACAATACGCGCCTCAGCCACAGGAACAGCCACGGTATAGTCCCGAGCTGCAGGCTGCCCTTGATCGAGGCGAATACATCGGCGATGGGGATTACCACGGAGAGGGATTGACCGAGTCGCTAGCTAACACAGGTAAAGTCTGTTCATAGATACAAGAAAGTGACTAACTGATACGAATTAAGGAAAGACCCGAGCAAGCTGTAAGAATGAAATATGGCCGAACAGGTCCGTACCTTACGTAGAATTTAATTATTTGTGGTTTTGTTAGGAAAGATACTAAACAATATTTATTTATTTATGTATGTATTTATGTTTAAATCTAAAATAAAATTACAAATTATTTTTATTACCTACTTAAATTAATTAATTCACATAATATATCAGTATCACTATCGCTATCATCGCCTGTTCTAATTATTATTTGTTCTATATTATTTGCAATATGGATATACGATTGTTCTGCTTTTTCTATATGTTTAACAAAATTTGCCCAACTTTGTGGAGGGATGTTAAAAACTTCGGTTTCTATAAGTTTGAGGACATGGGAGTTAACACGGTGAAAAATATTGTTACGACGAATGGCAGATTTAAGTTGGAATTGAATTGGATAGATTTTTTGCATAATTATCAGAGACGTATTCCTTTTCAGAGGTTCAAGCTTTGTAGAACTTCAAGTAATTGATTTTCGGTATAATCTTCGTGAAAATAAATGTCGTTATTATACATGTAGTTTTGGATTGTTGCTTTTGTGTCACATGAGGAAGAGGCTTTAGTCAACTGTCTACTGTGATAACTTGCATTGTCCATTACAATGACGCTATTAGGAGGAATGTTTGGAACTAGTTTGTTTTTAAACCAATTTTCAAATAAATCAGCGGTGGTGTCTTCATGGTAATCCAGAGAAAGTCCATTTGGAATCCAATCATCTTTAGAGCCAGCATGCAAAATAGTTATTTTTGTACCTCTTTTTGATGGCGCGTTTGTTTTACATTTATCAGTTGAGTCAACCCAACCCTATGGGGTATCATAAGTGTCGAACTAGGTTTCATCCAAGTAAATAATTGGCCTTTGTTGTTCTCTGTAAATCCTGATTTTTTCTAGATATTCCAGTCGCCATTAACGAATTCAAAAAGATTACATTAAAACTTGCTTTTTGTCAATTTTTTTAAATCTAAAACCCATGTGTTGAATATACTTCCATAAGGTAGTTCTGCCACATTTAACACCGGTTTCATCTTTTTCAACCCTCCTAATGTAGGCAAGATTTGTTTCTCGTCTAACTGGTAAATTTTACGCAGTATTACATCTTGATCGCTTTCATCTACACTCGAGAGAATGTCAGCGTCGCTTCTTTTTTTCCTCGCTGAAATGGGATTATTCACAATTTTCCATACAGTTGATGTTGGAATTTTCGTCAATGTGGCCGTTTTTTCTAAAGATGCTTGCTTGCTGGCACCACGTTCAATGAGAGTCAAATAAACATTGTTTATAACTTCCGTTGTCTCAATAGAATAGTGTTTTCTACGTTTGGGTGGGAACATCTCCTGAGATACACAAGACTCGCACATATTTTGCATAATTCGCACACGATTTAACACACGCTGTATTACACACGAAATAAGAATGATTACTAATAAACTTAATCTAAGTAGTATACCAAACCAAAGAATATTAAACACAAGTATTTTCTGTTACGGAAAACAATTTTACCTGAATTTAAATTCCGAAATTTTAGGTAATAATCTTGTTGCATTGTTAATGACCACCCTTGGATAATCCCATTCAAAAGCAATTGGTCACTTTCTTATATCTATGAACAGACCATAAGTAATATTAAAAATGAGCAAATATTGATTTTTTTGGAATGAACACGAAGGACGTTTAAATAAAACAAGAGTTTGTGTTACCATTGATTAGTATTACTTGATTATAGCGTTCAAAGAAATCCTTAATACGAAAAACTACAACAAAAATAATATAATTATCAAAGGATTAATAGTTGCATTGAGCACTCCAGTTGGGTCCAAAAATGACTAAAAAAAGATGTTAAGAGCATTGGGTAAAATATAGTGATTTCTTGAGAATTATTACATATGCTTAAATATTATGACGTCAGTTTCTTAAAAATGTCCATAAGCTCTACGTTGAATTGAAATCTGTGAAACCGACGTACCTTTTTTGACAGTACCGGCCGCTGCTGCTCCTCGTTACACACAATCGCCTGCCCCAGTTACCGAGTACCAACAACAACAGCAGCAACCTCTGGCTAGCCAGTACAGCCCAGTACCTGTCGGAGCTCAGTACAGTCAGTCTCAACTGTTTAGCCCTGGTCCCACTCCAGCTTACAGCGCGTCACCTGCACAATACAGCCCAGTACCTGACTACAGATCCGCACAACCTGCGCAATACAGTACCGCCCCGCAATACAGTTCTGTTCAGTCGTCGCAATATGATTCGGCGCCTCCTGTTCAAGCTCACTACGATGCTGTGCAGGCTAGGTCGAACTTCGGGGCTACCGTTTTCGATGCCAATCAAGCGGTGGTTCACCCCGCTCAAATACCCGCTGGGGTTGACCCTAGGGCGTGTCCTAATTATCCCTTTTGTCTTCAGTCTTGAATGTGATATTGCGCAATAAATTTTGTAGTTGATTTTGGGTAGTAGTTATCTCACGAGAGCCGGAAACTGCTGCGAGTCGGGCTCATGACGTAATTGTTTCAGATTCGTTCCCATTTTTATCGGATCTGTCACAGATCCCAGCCCATAATAAACAAATAAATACAAATTGAATAATTTATTCATCCCTTCAGTAAAAAAGGTGTCTATTAGAGGATGTATTCTTTTTAATACTAAAAGGCTGAGAAAATATGTCTATTAGAGGACGAATAAGTAATAGTAAATTAAGTAAGTAATAGAAAAAAAATGAAAAAGACTAAAAATTATTTAACAGTGCATTGGTGGAAACCAGTGAAATAATACTGCACTGTAGTGAACACATTCCAATTGTACAGATACCTCTCTTTCACTGCTGTTAAGCTGGTACAGATGAAAGTGTAGAGGTAACAGATATATGCTCCATATATTCTCCATTCTCCACACTTTTGTCTGCTAAAAACTCTTAGTTTCAACCAATTTGACCATTCTTAAATGTATTTTGCATATGTATCTATCATTGCAGCACAATTTTTAAATAATTTACGTAATACGTGGTTTGGAGTGAGCTATACCTCCAGTTTTGAGGCACTTGACTGGATTCATCCTTTTTGGTGATGTACCTAGATAGAAATATGTTACGCAAAGAAGCAATTCTCGCTCGTAAACTCATATCGCTGCGATTTCAAGCGCACTTGGACTTCCGTAATGGCCATAAACACGCACTGGAACACATTAACAGCGTCCAAGGTCGCGTGGCAGAAAGAAAAAAGCGCCACCGCCGGTAAAAAATATTAAAATACCAGCGCTGGGTGAGGCTTTCGATATTCCTTTATCATTTCTAATCCTTGTTGGAAGGAGTTGCCTGACCTTCTGTACGCACGCGTTACTTTAACGAGTATACGGGGTGGTTAAATCTGGAAATCTTGCAGGATAAATGGGTTAGTTTGTTATGTTGCGGATGTGGATTGGTCTAAAACAATTTGGAGAAAGGGTTTTCATCGGTCGCAACGGAGAGAAAAAAAAACTCGCTCATATACTATAACGATATGAATATTCATGTCGGCCATATTTGCGTCGAAATGATTTCAATTGCAAACTGCTGAAAGCGGTGAAATTATTGCGTGTCGTGGGGCAGACAAGGTCAGTTTGCAAATTTAATGATTATTGACTACGTTTTTTAATTATTGCATCACCGGTAATGTAGAGATCTACACATTTAATATCAAAGGGTTAAATTCAAATATATACTGTGTTTTTGTCTTTTATGAAAATAAACACTTTAATTTTTTATTGTACTATATTTAATAATGATAATAATTGCAATTTATTATTTTGACAATATGTGAGAAGAAGGAAGTGGTATTCTTATTTTCTTAAATAACATTTTTCTATATCTACTCCTCTTCTACACTTAAATTATAACAATATATGAAATAAGGAGGTGCCTATCGCAGTTTAGAATGAAAGACACCATCCACACATTTATTAAATTGTATTTTGATAACATTCTTTTTTACTTTTGTTGCAATTTTTATGTTTGTTTTAATGTTTTAAATAATGTCAGTTTCTGCTCACCCTTTATTATTATTATTTTTTTATAATTTTGCGGAATTTTCCAATTTCTCATTTCGAAGCTATTATTTTGAAAATTTAGGTTCGAACATATTACAATGAAAATCCTTAAAAAATATATAATTAATAAAATAATACATAAGTATAAGTTAATAAAAAAACATATAAATAGCTTCACTCGGTCAAAAACACCAAAAATGACTCGTAAATGACATATAAAAAATAAATAAAATGCTTTTTACCAATTTTAATAATTTAGCTTAAACTATAACAAGAAATGAAATATGGAGGTACTTATCGCAGTTTAGAATAAACGACACCACCCACACATTCTTAAAATTGAATTTTGATAACATATTTTTATAAAACTTTTGTTGCAATATTTAGCTTGCATTTAAAGAATTTTTAAATAATATATCAGTTTCCACACATCCTTTATTTTTAATTATTTTTAAATAATTTTAAGAAATTTACCAATTTCCCATTTCATCACTATTATTTGGAAAATATGTTTTCGAACATATTATGATGAAAATCTTTTAAAAATATATAATCAATAATATGATACATAAGTAGAGGTTAATAAAAAAGGGATATAAATTGCCTCCGTCAAAAACCCCAAAAATGGATCTAATATTATATTCAAAAAGGAATTATAATAATATTATAATTACAATAAAAAGAAAGAAAATACTCATTAAAATATCGTATATGGCATATATAAAAATTAAATTAAAGGCCGTTTAACAATTTTAACAATGTAACTGCTAAAAAAAAGATTAAAAAAACACCCGACAAGGATACTAAACATACGTGCGAGTACCCACCCCGCGACCCTCTTCCCCTCGGTGCCCCATTTCTCATAGTTGCGTACGTGTTGGGCACGGTACTAAAAATCCACACCGTCATTTCCATCGACGGGGTGTGGTCTTACCTATAAATAGTTCGTTTTTCCGCCTGTTGCGCCACAGTTGTGCAGTGCTGTAGACAACATGTTCGCAAAACTGGTAAGTAGCTCCCCGGGCGCGACGTTTCGAACCCCCGCGTTCTGAGGACGGTCGGTATAAGCAGTGGAGTGCAATCACATGGATTACTTCGCCAGTGCAGTGCGGTGCGACTGTGACGTATTTTTCACTGTTTCAGGCCGTATTGACCTGTTGCTTGGCCGCCGTGGCGGCTGTCTACAACGGACCCCTAGCGGGGGGCCGACCGGCCGACCTCTACCCCGCGGGAGTTAGCCCCCAGGCATGCCCCAACTTCCCGCACTGCAGCAACCCCGCTGTCTCTGCCGATCCTAATACTCCTCTTAACAACAATTGGGGATCTCCTCAACCGCAGTGGGGACAACAGCAACAGTGGAACGGCGGTCAGCAATGGGCCCAGAACAACTGGAACCAGGCTCCCGCCGTGCCCCAAGCAGGTAATTTTTTTCCAGTGTTTAAAGTTTTTACGTTTTTTATTTCTTTCAATTTTTTTACATAAAATTGTCATTTACATAATATCTAAATATTTCAATATCTGCTCGTTTGGACTTTTCCCCAATCATCCAATGGAGTTCTCGCCTTTTGTGATCCTTCCACACCGTGCATCGAATTCTGCAAACATTTTGCCAATACTTTGTCAATGTTGTCAACCCCCAAACTTTTCCAAAGAATCTACAGTAATCATTTTTGCAGGAAACTGGGATCCCGCTAGCCAGACTCCCCTCGACAGGGGCGAATATGTAGGCGACGGTGACTACCACGGAGAAGGACTGTACGAGGCACTCGCCCCAGGATACGAAAACCGTGGGGGCGGCGGATGGAACCAGGGCAACCAGGGTAGGTAGACCGACATCCGCACCTCGCCATCTACAGTACTGATCAATAAACGTATATACACCAAAATCATATGTCACGTTTGTCATTTTCATTTTCGTCACCTTTAAGCTAACAGTTTCGAATTTACTGTTGACGGTTGCGAACACCGCCATTTTGGCGATCCGTCGTTAGTTCAGATTACTAACGCGTGTGCTATTTCCGTACTAACGGTTAACTAAATGCAGTTTTATTTAAAAGCGAGTTTATATTGTCAATTCTGACGTCAAAATGACCTAACTAATCAACCAATTAACCAACGGTTTTTTACTTTCGCGCATGAGTTATTCCATTGTGTGCGCTGGCGTCATTGATAGTTGAAATTTGAAATTCGCATCTAAAGTTATCAATTAATCATTTGACATTAATATTCTATTAGGACAGTTAACGTTTGCTACGAATTTTAATCAATCGATTCAATAATATATCACTATTTCTAATGAATACTAACATGGGTTTCGAAAGACATATAAAGATAACACTTGTTGTCTCCTGCGAAAGGTCAATGGAATCAGGGCGGATGGGCGCATCAGTTGCCGGCAGGAGTGGGACAACCCGCTCAGCTTCCCGCCGGAGTGACCAACTGTCCAAACTACCCGATATGTCACTGAGCGCGGAGCCGGCTGACGACGTGTTGGTGCTATAGTTTAATTTCGTAATCTGTAACCGAGAAGTCTGCAACTGACGTGTGGTGATAATGCGCTCAAAAAAATTAATAATCCTAATTGAAATTTCAACGCGTGCGTGTGAGTGATCCGACGATGTTTATAAGAAATAAAATGGTAAAATAATCGATTTTGTGGTTTCATTTTAAAGCTAGAAATCGGGAAGTACTTCGATCTACTATTGGAAAACTGTTGACGAAAATATTTGTTTCTTTGAAATATTAGCTGCAAAAAGTGAACAAAATTTTATTAAATGTACAGTACAAAATACAATATCGAAAGCCAATTAAAAATGTTTTTTTTTTCAAAGAAACTTCTACAAGCTACTGTAATACTTTTTACTTCAGAGCTTGACTGAAACTGTTTCAGTCAAGCTCTGAAGAAGCCGACAGGATGATTGGCGAAACGTCAGCAAGTTCGACTCAGCAGCAGGAATCCAGAAGTTTTGTAAAAAGTATTACAAATGTTCAGTTTGTTTTGGTTTCATTATTTTTTATTTTTTTAATGATGAAGGAATGTTTTTAAAAACCAGTGCGGTAAGTTTTTAGTTCCCTAACTGAGCAGTTGTTGTAAAACCGAGAGTAATTTCGCCGTGTCATGTGTGTGTGTGTGTGTGTGTGTGTGTGTGTGTGTGTGTGTGGAAAAACAAATAAAATAAATCCGACAACGTAATGTTAATCGAGACTTTTAGCAAAACTCCACACGTAAATTTTCATCAAAGTCAGTCAAACTAAGAATTTCAAAGTCACTAAGTGACTCGAGTTCGAGTTGGAATTATGTCAAAACTTTAAATTTTTAACCAAGAACTTCTACATCCCCATATACGAAATCTAAATAGAAATAAAATTTTAGATGAATTTCAACTTTTTAAAATCAAATAATTTCCTTTATGATTTTCGCGCAGATGGCAGTGATAAAGATACTGCAAGTTGTTGTTTTTATTTCCCTAAGTCTGCTGGATTCCGAGATATTTATATCAGATTATATTATATATAGTAGTCTGCTCTAACTCGTCCAAGAACTAGATTTGAATTTGATAATTTTATTGTGCGTAAGTATAAATTTTGGCTAGTGTTAGCTATTTTTATACAGCTATGGTCAAGTACACGCGTTGCTGTAATTTTCTAGCTACCTGATGGCAATAGAATGAGCTACAAATAAGAAGGTGGAGTGGTAGTATATCCGCGTTGGTACTAAATGGACATTTGTTGTGTGGGCACTTTCGCTTGGCCTTAACCTCGAATCGCTGCGAGGACGTAATTGCAGGAAATAAATTATTCGGATTTGAAAAATTTTAAAGTTACGAGAAACGTTATTGTTTCGATCACGTTTTAAAGGCGACCGTGGTGGTGGATTTTATTCGCAAGACGCGTATTACGCATATTTTAAATTTAAATTTTAATTTATTTTTTGATTGCGTTTGAATTAATTTTCCAGCAGTGGAATTGCCTTCGGATTTATGTCGAAGGCATAAAAGGATTTATGAAAATTTGCTTTACATGATTTTATGCGGTTGTATCGGCAATACAAGAATTCATCAAGATTTCAAGGGTTTCTGTGTTTAAAAGTCGTAAGAAAAATATCCTTTGTTAGTTTTTGTTAGTTGGTTTACTGTGGGATTTTCCGGGGATGCATCGAGAATGAACTAGAAACTTCGCAGGCGAGCTGAAATTATCTAATAAACTTGCATTTTTCAGTTTGGAGTAGTTAAAATTCCTTAGCAAAGCCAATATGATTAGCGGATTGCCTCAATTCCTATGATTTTTTAAACTGAAATTCCCTATCCGGATATACTGTTAAAAGCTAATAGAATAGCAATAACAACATGAAATTATTTTTTTTCAATTGTTTTATTTATGAGGGACCATCCTTTTTGAAATTTAATTTTTTGTAATTTGCAGTTCTTTCCGATATTGCCTCAGTTATTGTTGACATTCTGGTGGAAGAACAAATTTTCTAGCAATAACCCCGTTTCAGATCATTAATGATATTGGTAAGCCACTGAGGAAGTTCTTTCAATATTACAAATTGTATTAAGGTCTTGTGAGAAATAAGCCTGAGTTTGTTACGGACATAAAGCTGAACGGGCATAATTTTTGAAGCGAAGATGACATAGCGGCGTTCAACAACCAACATGGCCGCTGACAGTTCGTTAATTCGACAAAGAGAGCAAATAGCATGTTTTTTAGTGAAATTTAGAGGTTTGCTCGAGAAATCATCCCAATCTTTACGAAAATATTATAGCCGCCAGTGCTAGGGTCACTATATTATCTAAGAGTCCAATAGATTGAAACGAATTCTCCATATTACGATTGAACATCGGAGCGAATAATTAATTTTCTTACCCTACTTAAAGAACGATTTTATCGCGTTGTCTCTTTTTTTTTCATTATAAAAAAAGTTTAGTTAGGTTTGCGGATTACCTGCGATTGGGATGGCGAATCTAGGTAGCACGGTGGAAATTTTGACGCATTTGAACTGAGGTGCCTTTTACTTGATGAAAATCCATTTAAAAGTTCAGATTTTCACGAAATTATATATTTTGACATGACAATTGCTTCGACAACACCGTGTCTTTATCAAATGAGATATGATAAAGACACGGTGTGTGTCGAAACAAACGTCTCCGTATCTTAGCTGATCACACAGACAACAATAAATTCCTCCCATTCCCATTTCGACCCGGCAGTAGTCTTGTTACCTTTAAGGCGTTTTTTTTCGTCTCCCTCTTTACGAGAGTACTCCGACCTAGATCTTGCTTTGCTCACTGTCATCGCCAACGTCCTACAAAACCCGGTTCGTTGCGGTTCGCCACAAATCGCCTCAGCAAGCCTGTAGCTTTAGTTTGCAGGATTTGCAGAGTCATCAGCCACGCGCTACCAACCGATTGGACAAGGATAAGTACTCCTTAGGGAATAAAAGGACAGTTTACGAATCTTTCGTATACTTATTATGCACATTTCTTTTGGATGGTTCGCTATTATATATTAGAATCTATAAACATCGTACTTATATTGTTTCTGATGTAATTTCTGTACTGATGTAATTTCAATTTCAATAGTTGAGATACGATCTAGATTTAGGTGAATATTATTGGCCATTCGTGGCTCTTTTTATTTTATTTATTTATTTTATTTTATTGCGCAATTTTTCAGAAATGGTGTCAAATGTTGTAAAGGCGCTCCAGTTGTGTAATATTATCTACATTATTGCATTACACGTTAACTGAACCCCATAATTTCCAGTTCCGGTCTAGAGTTTTGGTGTTTTTTTTTTAATCTTAGCATCTTACTTAAAGAGAAATGTGTGTGAGTGATAAAACACTTGCCGACCAATTAAAAACTGTAGCGCACTATATGACCACCCCGACTGCACTGGCTAGGTCGGCGGATACTTCTGTGTTAGTAACGGATCATATTCCCATATCTGGATTGGCTAGTTTTGGGTATTTTGGCGAGTTTACATAGTGCCTTTCAAACTAAATAAACAAGAGACATAAAAACCCCTTTCATGCAAAAATTTATTTTTTTCTCGATACGCTTTAATAAAAAATGTGGTTGACCTTTTCGTAGACTTTCCCACATTAATTTTGTGCAACTTTTTTTAATGAATGAAAAGTTGTAGCTCTTGATGCGGCGCATGACATTGTTTGACCCGATTGGCCACATTTTTTACGATTTATGGTTTGCGGTTAATAATTTACTCTGTAAAAGAACAATTTTTAGGTCTTTTAGATTTTTACCTATAATTTGAAAACCCTGTATATAATCGAAAAAATGCCTGAAATAAATGTTATTGCACTGGATCTTCCGCGCCTGCTGGTTAAAGAATTTTGCCGATCGGGTGAACGGTTATGAAGGAGAACATATTTTTCTGGAAGCCAAAATTATCAAAAAAAAATTTCAAAAATTTTGAAAAAATACTTGGTAAAATATGATTGCACCCCATTTCTATTGTTTAAAAATTTTTTTCTCGATACGCTTAACGCTTCAATAAAAAATGTGGTTGACCTTTTCGTAGACGTTCCCACATTAGTTTTGCGCAACTTTTTTTATTGAACCCAAAATGATGCAAATGTCTTCTTCCTTCCTTCCCATTTTTATTCTAGTTAATGTTCCTTTGTTTAAAGCCCCGTTTTAATTAACCCCTATCTCTCAGTCACCACACCAGGGGCGGCTGGTGCATGTGCGCTGCAGTACTACAGAGCTCACAAAAAATTAAGAACTTACAGGAAAAAATCATAGTAACATAGTATAACTAAAACATTTTCTTTTATTAACAAGCAAATTCATAATATTTCGCATTCGCATCCTCATAATGATAAAAAACTGGAATGGAAATGCCACCGAACGCATAGGGAAAGGAAGTTGTTTTTTAGCTGGATCACATGAAAGTGCTCTCAGCCACCTTTTAAATATCTGCGCAGCACATCTCAACCCATGCGATGGTCTAAACAAAAGCTCCGATTTAAATAGGTAGAGTTTGCTACAGTTAGCCTAGCGCAACGGCGAAAATGGTTGATACTTACTGGTTTACGAAGCAGCGTGTTAAACGTAAAAACAGTAATAATAGAGTACCCATTTATATTCACTGTGAGTTATGGGGGTAGTCTTCAATTTAATTAACATGAAGTAATGACAATGAACAATAATATATTGTTTTTCCTGCTTACTTTTTGGTGGGGTTAAAACTTGGACGGAAATAGAAGCCACCGATCTAGAATCATTTGAGTTTAAAAATAAAAAGGCATGAAAATTCTAAAAGCGTACGAAAGTGTACGAAATGTGCAGCTCAACTAACTAAATATACAGAACATTAATGAAAATGTGTTAAAGAATGGGGACATGATGAGAACGACATTGGCGAGAATCCGGAAATATTTCTTGAACTTAATTAATTTTGCAGCAGAATTAGATACAACACTAAGTGAGCTCTACTAAAAAAATTTTCGATAATTAGGGGCACTTCCAGATAAATTCAGAATGATCTGTTGATAATACCAACTCCTGGACAAAAGCGCAACATTTGTGCTTCTGTTCATTTCATTCATTCGTTCATTCATTCCGTAAACCAGATAAAATAAATTGTTAATTTTGTCCTTGTGATGGTGCTGATGGTGTTGAGCAGAATGATTGATGTGCCAAAATTCGAAGTGTGAGCTCCCCTTAGTGTCTGACTTCGAGTTTGACGCCGTGGAAACCGTTATAGTTGTTAAAAAAAAATTAAAGAAATAATCGAGGAAATTAATGATGTTCCGTTTTTGGTTAAGATGAGGTTTTTGCAAGAATTGCAAAAAGGTTTAAAATGTTTCCCACGAGCACCACTGCACCATACAACAAAAAATGCTCACAACACTTTATGATATTACTTGCTGTAGACATTTATTGTTTATAATTGTTTACAATCACAATAACATCAATAAAGTTAAGTACAGTATATCGTTATAATTAATTACCTATGTATGATATGTATAACATGATATGTATCTTTGTTAAAATCTCTTATACCCAAATGGAAATACGAAGCCACTGGCGAAAATATCTTTTATTTTTCTGCCTGCGTCTCTGAGGGCGTGCCTTCGTTTAAATCTTTAAGACATCACAGTTAGACGAATATGAAATTAACTAAAAGGCGCGACGCACAACCGAGTCGCGACCGCTAGGTGGCGCGCTGAACGGCATGCGCCACACCCGTGCTCTTATTGACAGACGGAAAACTCTAAACGTTACACCAGCGTGTCCGCCATAAGTTTAAAATCTAGGCCAAGTTCGTTCTCGGTATCCTAAAGTAATGTGTGAGTGTTATGTGTGTGTTACATAAATACCTCAGCCATTTTGTTTTTTGTTGCACATTAATAGATTAGACGTTATCGTTCTAGAGAGGACACAAACATCGAAAGAAGTCCAACGCGTACGGGACAGCAAGAGCTTTCGAAAAACCATCGTACAATTAAATTGTCTAACTACTGTCACCTGGCAAAATCGACGGCCTAATACTTTGAAAAATTTTTAATCGGAAATATTTTTTTTATTTTATATTCGATTTTAATTTTATTATATTGATATCCGTTAATTTTTAATTCGTGTCTTTGCTAGACATTTTCGTTTTTGAGATTTTCGATATCACATGACGTCAAGAATTTAGTTGAAAATGAAGGAAAAAAGAAGAAAACAGGACAAAAGGGAAAGACAAACGAAGGAAGACATGGAATGAAAGGATGATTTATAGACTATATAGGGCATTTTTTTTGTAATGCGTCTTGTAATTAAACGTAATTTTGTATTGTGCTCAGGGTCATAATAAAAATAATCGTTGGAAGACCTTTTCCTCTTCTAAATAAGTACGTACCCTCTATAAGGTTCCGTACGATTTTTAGAAGTAAGTTTTAGTAACCAGTCACGAACACAACATTAACTTTACAACTATTACAAGTCGCAGCTGTCAACTCTAAATTCCATAGCCTTCTTGGTCTTGTAATAAACAACAATAAAGGTATCGAGAAAACGAAAATGTCAGGAAAAGTGGTTTGATATTTCAAGACAAAATGAAAATGTTTAAGACCCTCATCACAACAATGAGTGTTTCAAATTGCGGTTCGAGTATTACGCTCCTGTCATTAGTGACACGTTTTCGACTCCGTTAAATTCTCAAATATGGACGTCAATCGGCAAAATCGGATTTAAAATGAAAACAATATATCAAAATATCCCGCTTATCGATTAATTTACCGGTGACTTTATCGAGGATATTTTTCGAAAATTTAACTGATTAACCCTAAAGCGGGCGAAAGCGTCATCGGTCGAAATTCGAGCGTTCTTATGTGAAAACGGAGATGTGACCTTGAAACTAGGTTCTGCGCAGTATTTCATCGCGCCGCCGGATCTCGACTGATTTCGCCGTCACCCGAAAAAACGGTTGCTACATTTTGTGAGAGACAACGGAATGAATTTATTTAAAAACGTTAATTTGTCCGAGAGGATTGGTTGGTTGGTTTAGTGCATCATGGGCCTCTTGAAGCTCGCCAGGCCCGTAATTCTCTTCTCACCCGCAGTGTGTTCGACCGCATTCTTGATTTGATCGGTCGCTACCGGTCCTATGCACACCAGAGGATCCTTGAAGTACGAACAGACCTGCAAAAGTTTTTTTTTGTTTGATTTTGCCGCAACCGGAACTGCTTCAGCTCTAGACTTTATCAAAGTTAAAGGCAGATATAAATCTATTTCTCGTATGCCTAATGACACAATGTAACAAGAGTATAAAGTATAAAGTGTCTTTCACGTATCACCGAATTCCAAAGTCATAACAAACTTTGATAAATATAAAAAATTGTACAAGTAATAATGATTTCCAATGAAATTTTTCCAAGTATCTCGCGCACCCTGTATAGTAGATGAAGCCTGAAACTCTCTCGATACAGTTTACGACATTGTTTAAACCAAATTACTCCATGTTTTACATTTTTTCATTTACGGCTATCCACGAAAACGGCAATTTTCAGGGTATTTTAATTTTTTTTTACCTCTAATTGACACACCCTGTACATAACTGAAAAAAATCCACAAATGGAGTTTATAGCCCTGGATCTTCCACGTTTCCTGGTTCAAGAATTTTTCCACAATAGAAAATGGTTTTCCAGAAAATAAGTTTTTTCTGGAACCATTCAGTGCGCCGTAATAATCAATGACGTCATCGCGTCTTGACTGAGCCCCCGAAATAGTGATTTTCATATGGATATTTCCAAATATCCCGAGCAGCGTGTGTGATAGACGAAAACCGCAAATACAAAAATTATAGCTCTTGATGCGGCGTATGACACTGTTTTTTTGAATTTGTGGTGCACCCTGTTTTTTTTTGAAAAATTGTCAAGAATAAAGGTTTATGAAGCTGTATCTTCTGCGTCTTCTGGTTTTAGAATTTTGTTTTTTGGTATAGTAAACGGTTTTTGAAAAATGATTTTTTGTGGACCTTTGCACACGGGACTTTTTATTTTTTTAGAATATTTCCCGACTCCCGAGCTCCCCCATTTTTAATAGGTTACGTCACGGCGCAAAGCTGCATATATGTGCCAAATATGAAGTCGATCGCTTCAAATTTCGGACACTTATCGTGTTTCATACCAATATAAAAAAAACTGTCGAAAATCGCGAAAAAAAGTTGGATGACGGCCTCAGGTGGAGGCCATTTCTTATAGCCTGATGTATCTCGTGGAGGGTTAAAAACGAGGTGAATTTCAATTTCGTAGCTCAAGCGGTTACAAAGTTATTCCGGAAAACCCAAAAGACGAGAACGGAGAACGGATAGACAAAAAAAATTTTTTTTCACGCGGATTATTTCTGTACCAACGACAGTCCCCTAGAACGTACCGTCACTGAGATATAAAATTTGTATACGATCGTAGATACTTTCGAAAAATTCGATTTTATCGATTTTTGAAAGTAACAAGTAAGTCCTGATTAAGGATACTAAGGATTTTTAATGATTAAAGTATAGCAACAGGTCCTAGGTCCTAAGAGTGATTTGTTCTCTATTCTATTCACCACGTTTGAAAATTAATACTTGAAAAGACTTAGCTTAAAGCTTAAAGACTTTAAGCTAGTTTGAATGTAAAGCTATACTATATTATGCAATAGGTTTTGCGAAGTTTATGAACGTGTTGCATATTATATTTTTTCTACGATCTTTAGCTTTTCTGTATATTTTTGCTTAGCAGCACGAATACATTCACTCAGTGGCGAGTAATGTGACTTTGAACATTAACAGTGGTTAAAATACCATCGGTGTTTTAAATCTAAAAACTATTTTTCTCTATTCGCTACCCTAAGATATCCAATTATGTATTGATTACGCGCGCGCAAAGTGCCACTGTAAGAAGTCAGCTTCTTCAAACACTTTCGCGAGTCATTTCGGACGTTTTCTGAACTGAACACTAGATTTTAAACACTGATGGTATTTTGACGCTTCTCAGTTCTGACATTCATCGGGATGCGTCAGTAGTGTGCAAAAGGTGGATAAACTTCTTCAGCTAGTTATTTATTAAACACTCGTTAATATCATTTGTGGTACCCGACGTGTACCAGTTTAAATACAAACAGGAAAACAGGAAATGAAGATGCGTGCGTTGAAATTTTTATTACGAAAGTTTACAGAAAACAAAGGGGCAACAAATAAATAAAATTTATTATCGTACAGTTAAATACATAGTCCTATACACAAATTAAAAGAAAAGAATAATAAGGCCACAGCACAGTCACAAGATGAAGTCCATTGGTGTAGGTGATGAGACGAAGTAGAATTCGTAATCGTCCGCAAGATATCCGTGTCACGTATAAGCTAATAATCAGAATTATTTGAAAATGGGAAGTGATGGGTTAAATTTTCACTGAAAAATATAAAAAAAGGAATTTTAATTGTGCGTAAATGTAGAGACATCGTTCTTTATGCCAATTGCATATAAACTATACTTATCTGTTTTATCCGTAGTCTGTGATTCGTTTCCTATAGACCCATTTCAAACTTTACCGCTTTTGCATATGTCCAGTTTTCGTTTGTTACATTGATATAAAATATTATTGTAAACGGTTAATAATAAACCAAACAACGCGTAGTTAATGATTCATAACTTTAAAGGTTATGGTTACGCCTACTGACTTCGACTTAATAGCAAGAGTTGCATTAATGGTGCAGTGGTGCACTTATTTTAAATCCAAATGGTTACTTGCGGCCTATAGTTTATTCAGTTCTTGAAAAACACGTCATCAGGTTTCCCATCACTATTAAGTTATTTTTTGACTTTGGAGTAAAGTGGCTCGTTTTCTCACAACGACTCCGCTCATACACTCGATTTAGTGCAGCAGTATCAAACCAACTATCGTTATACGGTCTACCACGAAGAAGACAGTTGCGTGTTGGCGCAATGGGTGCTTACCTTCCTCGGTGCTTGCCTATGGCGCCGCTGCAATTGGCAACACAGGCCTCTGGAGATGTCGCACTCGCTCGACATGTGACAGGGCTCGGAGTACTGCTTATCTTGGTGCACCGGAGGACGACAAACTCTTGCGTTCGGTCCAGAATCGGACTCTGCGCATACCAGACCCGATTCACAGTCGCTGTCTTTTCTGCAGAGCTCCCCGACGCGTCTTCCGTACATCAACAGACATGTTCCAACTACTGGAAAAAGTGTTGGTGACCAAACGCCCATTTGGGATAACAGGGGTGAAATACTGCATTAATTATGAGACACATTGAGCGTCCTGTTCAAAGATGTAATGAACTTTAAATATTTTCTCCAATGGGACGTTGTCGAATCTACCTTAAACTAACGGCAATATTGGAATTTCAATTAGAACGCCACGTATGTATTTAAAAGTTTAGATAATATTTGTTATCAGTAACTCCCCATATGTGGATTTTAATCGTTCTTATTCCTAATTTTTAGGTTTAATCAAAATCAAAACTTATTAATTTCTTATCAAGTAAATATTGAAAATGATTATTGGCATTTGTAGCTAGCTTCTAGTATCTAATTTATAAAATTAATATTAAATTATGGAAAATATATTATTAAAGTTGACATTTTTTGTAGTTCTTACAAGAACATCTCAACCAACTGCTATCTAGAGTTTTTTTTTTGAACTGGTATTTAATTTAATTGAATTTAATTAAGTTCAGTTTATAAATGAACTGAATTTAAAACCGACCTATGGTTCTTAAAAATTTTTTGCGCATCGGTTGGATACATCGTACTGTGTAATATACGGCTTTTAGTGGGCGACAGGGCGTAATGGCAGTTGCCCCAATCAAGATATACGAGTTGCGGCTTAACTACGTGATATTATCCTCATAAATTACAAAATAACGGTGTTTGCCACTTTGAGATGGCGCGGAACCAGCGGGGTGAATATTAAATACGCGATGAAGTATGAATATTCAGGGTGCGTTAAAGTTATAGTGAGCGTACATACATCCATATGAATTACTAATTTGCTTTTTTTATTTGGCAAAAGCACTTTTAAAAAGGGCAAAAAAATAAATCCCTGCGATTTACCAAAAATGTAAATAATAACGACGGCGGCTTTTATAAGTAACAAATCAAAGTTTTGAAAAAGAGGGCGGTAAAGAAGTAAAAGTTCCCATGGACCGAAGCTAATCCTATGACTAGATTTTACGTTATATGGCGGCGAAGGGATAGAGCTTGGCTCTACCGTCATATGCATGGTATAACATAGTAAGTGTTGCACAGTGTAATAGTGAAGACCCATGTTCCATTAGTTTGGAGCTTTTAACTTTTATCCACTCCAACTAGACCATGAGTTTATGTAAAAAGTATTTTGGGTTGTTCCTATACGCCACTAAATATGATTAATTCTTGATTTTTTCTAGCAACATTATGGCACCCAATGAGTTTTAAGGTTATTATAAATAGTTGAAACCCTGCATAGCTATGGCCCTACTTCCGTCCATATCCACGCAAATAGTGCCCGGGCAGCAGTACTCGTTGGAAGTGCACCTTCTCCCGTAACAAGGTTCGTCCTCCCCAACGTTGACGTACTCCTCTATCATGTTCTCATCTCCGTCTCTCTGGAACACGCGTGCAATTTTATCCCTGCGCATGATGGGACCTAATGGGCGTGACTTACCAAGAACGACCCTCCTCCGTGTCCACCATAGCCCATGTTGGCCAGCATTTCTGGGGAGAATCGGTTGAACAAGCCCCCCCATGCATCTACGTCGCGGTTGATCAAGAAGTATGTGAGCAGTACGATGACTGACCGCATTTTGTACAGTCTGTGCGTAAGGAAAATGAGTATTAGAATCGGGCCCCACGGTTTGATTATCAAAAGGGAAAGAAAGTTACGTTACAGCGTTGCCATTGTTATCACAGTGACAAACTTTAGATCGAAATTAAATACTACTATGGTTTTGGATCTTGCTTGAGAATCTTGTTATTTATTGTGATGGTATTGTTTGGCTAGTGCAATTATTGGTGTGCTTTTATAGCTTGTAAAATATTTTGATTACTGATTTTTATAGTGATTTCTCCGAGAATCTGCGGTTGTGCTTTTTTTTTTCTATTTCTCCACAATTTTCGGTTTTCCTATGAGAGAATACGAAAAAAAAACCTCGCAACCGATTTAAGAGAAAAGGGCGTAAAGCAACGTGAGCTAAATGATCCGTGTGAGTTCAGGCCGGATGCCGAAAGGTTAAAGTTTATTGAAAATCGCAGCGTCATTTCGCGCTCGCTGGAGTGGAAAATTGTCAGCAAAAAAAAACCTATGTGGGTGTCTATTGTGGGCGTGTAGCTTAATTTGGAGTATATGAGGTTGGTGGACGTATCTCCCGTTAATTAATAGCGCGGCTTGTATAAATAACTCCTTGTAGTAGTTTAAATTTGATTAAAATCCACGGCAGATGATCGGCGAGCTATTTCGGGTTTTCTATTTCGAATGTTTGAAAGAAAAGTGAGGCAAATTTTACATTAGAAAAAAAAGACTACTCATGGTCTGATGAAACAATATTTTTAAAAATATTTGTTTAAAATAAAATTATTAATAATCTAAAAATGCATTCTAAAAAAAGCGTATACAAATTGATATAATTAGAAATTGAAAATATTAAAGTCTTTAAAATATTAATGATACGCATTTATCAAAATATGTATTTACATTTAACCAATATTGAAAATGGAAACATTCAAAATTTTTGTGGCTACTGAATCAATGGGTAAAATACCAAAATACAGTTTTATTTTTTATTTATAAATTAAACGCACATATATGCATTGTTATGTTATACAAACATATGGAAATGCTTTATTTTTATTTTCACTTTTACATATTTTATTTATATGATAACTAAGATTTATTTGTAACAATATTTTATCATGCAATATTTCCAAATACTTCACTTACCCCAAAAACGAAACATTCTTTTGCGAATTACTGCAACCGTAGGTTAATTGTTTAATAATTAATACCAGCAAAAAATTATTAGTAGGTATTCTATATCCACAAGATTGTCACAGTCAAAAATAGTCAAAATATATCACAACCACTTAGTTCACTAACCAAAACTATTGAAATGATTTCACAAAGTATCCGTGATGACGATTTACCCCCAAAAAATTCCAAAAAGGATGGAATGTTGAGCAATAATATCTCTTATTATAGTTATCCGTCATTAGTAATACTGGGTATGGCAAAGGGAAGAATTCACATTATTACTAACTCTAAATAATATTTGCCCACATTTGGCTGCATTGCCCGAACCATTCCATTTCGACATATGGAGTTCACCGTATTCAGTAGAGGATGTATGTGACTTTTTACCAAAGTATCAACTTTATTATTTTCATTTTTTTTATTATTTATTTTATTATTGTAATTGATATTTATTTCGTGGTATGCCAACACCTAAATGCTTTCATTCTTCATCTTTCTTTTTGAGCAGAGGCAAGGTTCAACATCATTATGGTTGAAATGAAAACCCCATTACCGCCACTAAATTTACTATCCGCAAATGGCGGGAACCAGAAATGATCAATTAGGCAAATTTTCTTTGTCTAAGCGAGGCAACCCGCCTCTTTCTCCGTCTGCCGGTACCCCGAAACTTTATTAATTACTGCCCCTGGACGAACGGCAATGTTGTTTTTTGCTCATCCTATGCAAAATTAATTTTCCTCGTTTCGGGATCCGGAGAGAACGATGTTTGCTGTCTTACCTTGAAAAAATACGCTTGCGAACATTAGGGAATTTAAATTAAAATTTTTATTTTGAAAGAAATTCGTTAAACTGCACAAAGATTTAATTTAACAAAATAAAATATGTCATTACTGTTATTACCACATTAACATTAAACAAAACAAACATTAAAACAAAACAAAACAAACTGTTATTAAAACATTTTTAATGTGGATCATATTTTCAATATACTGAGCAATACGAAAACGTTATTAAAAACATTCGAAATAAAATAAATTACTTACGGCATGGATCAATTCTTTTTAAACAAGTGTCTACTTGCATATGCAAAATTAAATTAATTATCAATCTTTCTTCTACTTTTACGTCAGCCATGTCGGACGGAATGGGCGAATGTGTATGGGAGTCGAACAAGCGGCAAGAAATAAAACAAAAAGACATTTAATCTAAATAAAACCCCTAAGTTAAAGCGGATCTTCTTTATCCGCGGCCTGGATCTCTTTACATGCTTCCCTCTCGTCATTTACAGAAATTACGACATTTTTCTCGATCTAAACTTACACCCCAACTTCTTATTTTTGCGAAGGATTTTCCAGGATTTTAAAATACTCCTATATAATCGAAACCTGGGAGGCATTTTCTAGAATGGTATAGCAATGGATTTAAAAAAAACAAAATTCTTTTCGATATCAAAAATATAAACACACTACAATAGTATAATGATATGCATAAATCAGACAAGTGCCAATTTCAAGATCTGAGAAAACCAAATTTAAAAATATTTTAATAATGGATAAGTCTTTTATTAGGTCTTTAATGTTATTTTTTTTCGTCAATGTTTTTTTGCTGTAAATGTTGAATCAGAAACTTAATTGTCTTTAATTTAACTTATTTATTAAATTTGTAGTTTTTACACATAAACTAATTTTTTATTAAAAAAAAAAATAAACATAACTAGAAATTACTAACAACTAACTAATAAAAAATAAATCAATTGTAATCAGGGACATTTATTAAAAATCTTCTGAAAGAGCCGTTATAGAAGCTCCATTTAACGACATGAAGAATTGATATTTTTGGTATCAAATTGCTATTACACAAGTCTACTAGAACTTTTTATTATAATATTCAGTGGTTTATTGTTTAGTGTTGGAAGGAATATCCTTAAAACGTTTCTATTTAAAAACTTTTCTTGCAAAATATTTTATTTACTTCGCCTTTTTTTCACTCAATAATGTTAAAATTATTCTACGCTACCTTCTCGTCTTGTTCATTTTTATTGAAATTATTACCCATTAAGGAGCAATTTTTCTTTCAGTGGATCTAAGAAGTTTAACACACATTTCGATGGCTTTTAGAAATTCACAATTACTGATAATAAAATGCATATCTACACGTTTATTTGGTTTGATTCAGTTAACTATCCAAAATCTCATATTTTCAACTTTTCCCTCTATTGTCCTGATATGCGCTACTAGTTTCTGAGTTTGTTCTGTCGCATCTAGGTCGGCTACTGTGGTGCTATAAATAACCAGCGAATCGAAATGTAATGTGGCTCTAGCGTAGTTAGATCGCTCGGAACGGATTCGATAACATTTTCACGAGACGAATAGTTTTCAAAAGTGACAGGTATTGTTCGTGAAACCCGGAAACAAAAAAGGTGCGTTTCCCTTCAGACAATGAAAGCCTTAAAGGTTCACAAAGTATTCATTTTCTATATTTATTTTATAAAAATCGAAAATGTCACTCTCACCTTTTGTTTTCCGCTGAACTGCACTCGCCCAGAACTACGTACAGCTATGCAAAACACCGTCAGTACGAACACAACACTGTTTCCAAGCTCTGTCTCCAACGGGATAGCAGTTGGACAGGTCTTAAATCTCCACTGCAGTTTTGTGCGGATCTATAGAGCGCCTTCGGTTATATAGAGCCGGTTCGGCTTTGGTCGGTCGTCCTCGGGCGCGTGGGAGTCGTTGTCGTATGCATTCCGTGACGCGCCTGACTTTGTACAGGGTCGGAACCGGACTAATTTGTCGTCATTATTGGTGAGGGGCTCTTGGTACGAATGTTGACAGGGAAAATATGTTGCTGATCGATTGGAAAAGCCAAATTTCGGAATTGCATACGCTTATAAGCATTTGAATATTTGGAATCGCGACCCACAGGAAGTGTTTAGTTGTAGCAAAAATACTTTGGAAAAAATACCTTTGCTTTAACTATGGGGTTAAAACATTCCTATATACAATACCATTTGTTTTAAAGCATATCTTCTTCGTTTTTGACGGAAATTATCGCAATAACCTGCCGATCGCAATAAGCCAGCAGTGCTTTAAAAATATTAAGATCTAATATTGTATTATGATTGTTTAGGTACGATAAAATCACAATAATACTAACAGAAAATACGATTACATAACGAAAAAAGAAGAAAAACAAGCTTTATCGAAACACACGGAAAAATGGCTAATTATTATGTATGGGTCGCCCCTGTCGTCCCCTTTACCTATAAATAAATTATTGGTTGTTTGGTTTACCCAGTAACAATAACTATTAAGGTAGTAATTACTTTTTAAGGCAGGGTCCATCAAAAACCAAGCCCATATACTTCGAGACAGACTATATCTATGTGTTTCTTCAACCACTGAATTAAAAAATCAAACAAATTTTTTCTTTATTCTTTATTCCATTTCCCATGTTGAGAAATTATTCTTCCTAAGTCTTGTCTCAACAATGAAATTTTGCATAATTTCCCTCCATTCTCTATAGATGAGGAAATATATTTTTTCTACTCCCGTCTATAAAATACCTAATTACGCATCGATCTAGCATGCGGGAAGCGTCACTTTACCAAGTCGTTTCCCACGAATTCGAGCCACTTCGAACATTTCCGGAATTTTACCGCACGGGTTTGGGAGCAATCGGATGTTTTCGGGCATATTTCCCATGCTTTGAATTTTGACGTTTGTCAATTCTGACAGTCATGTCAGTCAATGTATTCGTGTTGTTTTGCGAAAATGTACCCAAAAACTAACGGTCGTAGAAAAAGTATAGTGTGCAACACCTTCGCTAAACTCTTTAACTCACTCGTTTATTAAACACTCGCTCCGCTCGTGTCAAATAAACTCGTGAGTCAAATGTCGGTTATCGCACTTGTTGCATAATATACTATTAAAAGGTGAGAAACATATACACATGAAAGCGATTTTTCGCTTCTAAGTTGGACTGTAATGTAAAGCTCAAATATATGAGCTAATTATTAAAAATCTACAAATTCTCGATTTTCCGTCAAGTTTGCAAATTATATCGTCAATTTTTTTCAAAAAGAAAAATATCATTTCAGTGTATTTTTGTATAATTAATAATAACCAAAAAAAATTAGTATTGTACAAAAAAATAGGATCTAATTTGGTTTAAAAAAGTAATCTCCAGTTTATTATTGATAAAATATATTACAGTCAGCTTATAAATAACGTCAATAATTTAAATAAATAAAATCTGTAATAAGTTATATCAAAAAGGTTGTCTGTTTACCGCGAAATCAAGATATTGGTTTCCAAGATTCATTTTTGGTCAGCTACGGGTGCTAACCATATATAAGTTACATTCTATGGTAATGTCAGAAGTATGTCAACTTCGGCGAGATGGCTGACCGAACATCAAACCACAGGAGAGGCCCAATAGAATATTAGTAAATGCGACTCTATGCGAATCATAATTTTACTAAGAAATATATGTGCAGCGAACTTTACTATAATTTCGTCTTAAAATTAGGCTTTGCTTCTGGAAGAAAGTTAGGTTATACCACGTGTTTTATTCTTTAAATTATATAATTTTAATGTTCATGATAAGAACTTAGCACCGAGGTCTCTCCTATGCGTTTAACATCTCCCAGGAGTATCTGTCCGCGTCGAAGCTAATTAATCTGAACTTTGCCCAAACGTCCGTAACATCGCAACTCCTGACGGCGTCCGCTAAAGTTCGAAACGCGCCAAAACTTTTTGTCATCAATTAAAGGTCGTTCGAAAACACTTCACTCGATTCCCGTTATCGATGTTATCCAAGGCTTGAAGTACGTCGTCCTCATGTACACCCCCGGCAAATATGGCGCCGCGCACTTGATCCCGTGGGACACGGTACCGGCCAGCTGGTACCTCCCGTCAGGACGTTGTAGTACCAAAGGGCCACCAGAATCGCCCTAGAACACGAATAGGTGGCCTTAGGCTGATTATGTGATTCAGTGCAGCAATACTAATAGTTTTTGCGTCATCTCGGGAAATGAGTAACGATGAGTTATTAATTATGGTAACCAAATAAGCGACGCTATGTCATAGATCTTCTTGGTCTAACAACATCACATAATAATCACTTTTCTAGAAGCCTGAAGCACATAATTAACTTCTCCATCCTGCCACTCACCTCGCAAGAATCTTTCTGTCCGTTGGCGTAACCCGCGCACAAGAACGACTCCATTATGACCTTTGTGTGGCCCGCCGTCCTGAACATCTCCTGACACACGTGGTTCTCCATTATCGGCACCTGCACTTCTTGCAGTACCGACGGTACTCCTCCGCCGTACTTCAATCTACCCCAACCAGTCACGGTGGCCACCCGGCCAGTAAAATCTTCGCCGTCTCTCGGCAAACAGATTGGTACTACAAGTGCAACGTTTTCAATTCCCCTCTTTACCCTTCTGAATACCACTTACTAATGTGCGCGTCAAATTTGACGGGGGAATCCAGCTCCAGGAGAGCGAGGTCATTCTCGAACGTCGCCGGGTCGTACTTGCGGTGAACTATTACCCGTTTCACGTTCCTGCTGACCGGTTTTCGACTCTCTAGGTCTCCGGAGATGTCGAATTCGCCGAAGACGGCGACCAAAGAGGCGAGGAAACCCGGCTGACAATGAGCCGCGGTCATCACGTACTTGTCGCTTATCAATACACCTCCGCACTTGTTCTTAGTGAAGAGGCCGAGCCATGTGGACTCCCTAACTAGCACTTGCCACGGGAATTCACCGAAGACGGCTCCTTTGCCACCCACGATTCGCCCGGTTTTGACTAGAGGTCTAACGCCACATGCTAGAAGAAGGAATCTGAGTCGTTATTCTTATTCATTTCCAGAACTCTCCTCTACTTACAGTCTCTGTAATCCTGGGCTGCAAGAGTGGACTCGATCAAATTCTGAGTAGTAGTTGGACTTTTTTTCGTCGTAGTGGGTTTCCTAGTAGTCGTGGTCTGCTTTCTAGTAGGTACCGTCGTGGTAGGTCTTCTGGTGGTGACCGGTTTAGTAGTAACCGGTCTCTTGGTGGTAGTTTTTATGCTGCTCGGCTTGGTAGCAGGTTTTTTGGTGGTGGTGCCCTGCTTCTTGACTGGTTTCTTCGTAGTAGCGCTAGAGGACGGCGTGCTGTTGCTGTACACTATGTTTTTGAGGTCGTTGAAAGGTTCTTGGAGGCCGATTAAGATCTCGTTGACGAAAGATTCCACTTTGTCATTCATCTCGTCACTCTCGACGAAGCTGGGTGTTGTGATGTCATCCTCGCTATAAAGCGGTACCGAGATGTTCAAGTTCGGGTGCCTATCCGGCGGGAAATTGATCATTTCATCCTGAGCGGTCACCTCGATGACTTCGGAATCTTCCGCAGTCAACGGAGCCAAGGACGAGGAAATCGTCGGCTTGGGCGTGATCAGTACCGTCGGAGAAGGCAGGTCCTGGCTGGTACTGCTTGTCTGCGGCCGTTGCGTGCTGTAGATATTCTGCGTGACATGATTATTAATGGTAACCTGGTTCACCGGTTTTCTTTGAGGGAGAGCGCCCAACTGCGGTCTCGTCGTGGTGGTACTCTGGAACCTGGTGGGCACTGGGACGAGCTGGGGTTGCGTGGACGAAAAAACGGTACCGCCTTCGCCGGAAACTGGGCCGAGGACAATCACAGTGGGAGCTGGACTAGGAAAAGGAGAATACTGACCGGGTTGTGACGTCACAGTGAATCCAGGACCTGCAATGTTAGAGGTAACCACACTAGGGGTGGTGCCGTACACGTAGGAGGGTGTGGAAGAGCCCGGGAAGGCATCAGGAGAATTGGCGAAGGTCGAATGAGCTGCGGGTTTGGGAGTTTTGGTCGGTTTGAAGCTGGGGTTATACACATAGGAAGTAGATGGTGGTTTGGGTGTCCTAGTGGGCTTGAAGCTTGGGTCGTACACGTAACTCGTCGATGGTGGTTTAGGCGTTTTCGTGGGCTTGAATGTCGATAAGTAGACAAAGGATGTTGAAAGACCGGTATTGGTGGTGGGGTAGGTGTCCTCTTTGTTGATAGTGTATTTCGCGGGAGTTGGTGCGGTCGTTTCGGTCGTTCTTCTCGGCGGAATGGTCGTACTGAACACGTAAGAAGTTGAAGGTAGTTTCTTGGTTGTCTGAGACGGTTGTCTTGTTATATAACTCGAGCTGGCGTAGGAACTGCAACGGATTTAATTAATCAGAAGTGACGTAACATGAAATGTCAGGCGCTTACAAAGTCGATATTGGTTTTCCAGTAGTTGTCCGATTCAGCTGGCCCAAAATGTTGATTATGGAGTCTATCGGTGGCGTCTTGTTCTGGATTTCGTGAGCGATGGTCGGCACAAGCACGTAGTTTTCGTCCGTAGGTTTGGGAGGTTTGGGTCTGAACGCTGGTTTCTCGAAAGTGGGTAATGGTGTGTAGCCTATAGGTGCGTTCGACACTGATATCTGAAGGATCGGGGGGTAAGTGTCGGCGTATCTGGTAGTGGACGCTTCCATTTTGGAAGTCGTGTAGATCGTGTTCTGCGGCTGATAGGTGGGCCTGAAGGAAAGGCAGTGTTCTGAATTTTCTTTTAAAGGTTCTCAGAATTTGATTTGATTTATTTTTTTATCCCAAAAAGACCTTTAAAAATATTTTCACTGGTTTCGAAAAAAATTACATAAAAAATGACGGCTAATTTGCTTGCTATTTTTTTCAGTTTTGTTTACCTGAAGTAGGTGGCGCTGATTTCGTTGTCCGCATTATCGACAATAGTATCGGCAGCTTGGGGATGAGTTACCCCCGTATTCGTCCAGTGGTCCTGTCCGTTAATCTCGATCACAGTGTTATCTTGGGCAGTCGGCATGAGACTGCCCCCACCTAGTAAAGCGGCGGTAATCTGCGACACGCCACTTGATGTGATATCCGTCAGCCCTGGGGTCGACCTGTGAGTGGTCGGAGATACTTTGGAGGAGAGCTCGTTCTCTAGGGACGGTATGGAAATGCGATCGTATTCCACTAGGTCTCCGACCGATGAATCTGGAAAGGGCTTTGCTTTTTATGCGTTTTAAGGAGAGGGTAAATCGTCACCTAGCGGTAATTGGCAACAAGCGCCGAAGAGGAAGCCATCCATACAGGCCCCCACCACTAGACCGTCTCTTTGGAGGCATTCGTGGTTGAACATACACACGGTCGGACCGCCTGTGGAGTTTCGATGAGTAAGGGTAGCTGCGCAGTACTTAGGGGTTATCCGGTATCCGCCGAATAGTTTTCGTGGACCTGAAATTACAGATTCAGATGAGATAGATTAAAAAAGTTTATTCGATATTACAAAATGAACCAGCAGTTGTGGAGTAGAATAGAGCAAAATGAATATTTACAAAAACAAAGTCAAGCATAGAACACACGACCGTACAAAAAAATTGTTTACTTGCGGTGTTGCAGCAGCGGCTTTAAAAACGTCGTTACATTTTGTTCTGTATTTTAGCAAGATATCGAAATACAAAACCCATAATAGACACCGATACCTTAGACGACATGTGTCTTTGCACACGACAACATTTTCTCTTGTTTTTATAATGTCGATGATTAATTGTATTTTTTATTTGAAAATTTTGTATAGGTTTCGCTAGCTCGAAATGCTTCAAGCTTCTCTCTAATTCATTTTTTCTTAACTCTGCGGTTTATATTTTGCTACATTATTATGATTTAATTGTAACATTATTAATGTTCTTGAAACCGATCGAATTAATGTTGCTGCGGTGTCGCTCCATTGAAGTCGCATTCCGTTTGATCGCCGACTGGTCTAGTGACTGCGCGCGTATTTAACGGAGAAATTTTGTTTACCTTACCCGATTGGATACGCTTTCGGAAAGCTGCGTGTAAATTGAAAACCCGTCGTCCCTAAACGGATTAGACGATCAGCCCACCGTGATCGCTGGCGAATTATCAAACTGCCAATGCGGACCGACTAACTCGCTGGTCGATATCCTAATCTTCATTGTCAGGTCCTTTTAATCTCCCCTTTAAATATTTATGGGAGGCGCGTCTGGGTTTATAAATAAACGATGTCGTTCCGCGACCTGTTGAGGTGGTAGTCGCGGTCAGGCAGTGGCTTGCGTTTTTGTTTTTGTCCAAAGTTGTTTGGATGGGAAACTTCCGCAACAGTAATTAAACACATTAACGATTTATTACCGCCGGTTTCGTGCAAGCGCGTGCTGCGGTAGTGACGTCACCTGGCCCACTCGAAACAAGTTTCATGCATTAATTGGATGGGAGCATAGCATGCTGTTATTTTGGCTATTATTGCTTTAAATTTCTACAAACTTTATTTCAAAGCACTTTCCTTTTAAAAATGCTATTTTACAGTAATAAGTTTTACTTAGACGAAGTTATAGCGATGCTTTTCAGAACTTCATGATTGCCGGATCTCCTTTAAGTCTAAAATATCTAAAATCTAAAATATCCGGTAGAAAGTGGCCAAAATTTGCGACGCTTTCATGTGGCTCTTCTTGCCGGCTCGAAATTGACAACGAAAGCGAGATCGCGCTTAACCCGAAAAACCGCGAAATATTTTTATTTACTTTCACGTTAAAAGGCGCCCGAACTGCGTTGATAATCGCGGGATTAACAGAGCACGGATAAAATTAACGATAGTTTTTAAGACCATGGCCCAATTCGCACGCACACGCGTGTGGGAATTTTACACTTGGCAACATCGCAGGTGATGCGTGTGACGATAGATTGCGGGCAAAAGACGCGGATTTTCAAAAGTTGTAATTTATTTGTATAGTGATCGCTTTATTGTACCAGGTAGATAGAGGGATGCGGTTTTCGCAACACTGTGCTACTTTTTCGAGAAACAAAAGATGCGTCAAACAGAATTTGTCATGGTCTTTTTGATGTTTGAGATACGAGATGTTTTTGGAAGCTTTGCATTTTGGGACACGGGATCTCGGATGTTCTAAAGATTATTAAAGAAGTAAAAAGTTGCTTTGTTGCCATTTTCTAAGCAGACTTCAATGAATTACTTAAATTTTTTCTATCTTCAATTATTTGCGAGAAATAAGCCAAATTTTTATTTTTTAATTTGGTCAATTTGTATATTGAGCATCTCAAAAACATATAAAAATCTATGGTTGTTTTTAATATTCAGCCTAATACTTAAGTTGTTGGTTAGTTTGACATGACAAGTTATTTAAAAACAAAATAATACTACCTGTCATATACAGATATTCTTGAGTTTCTGTCAGAACCCTGGGATTTTTTTTTTAATTTGTAAATTAAAAGGTCAAAATCAGCTATCCCAGCCAGTAACAAATTTGAGAACTATGAAAAATAAGTAAAATAAGCTAGTTTGTTCTATTCAGTTTAGCGAAAATGCGGAAGAAGTCTATCTAAACAGGTTTGCATTATTGTTTTTTTTTCTCGTGAAAACTGTTTCCCGTTTATCGTCATTATCTGTTACTTCTAGATATGCACAAAGAAAATAAGCCGCAAAAAAGAATTCTTTAAACATTACAATCAAATTTAATTTAACATGGAACATTTTGTCAACCCCAGTCCAAAGAAAAAAAGATTGTTTTCGCAAGCTCGCCGTTGTGCGAGGCGAGTGCTCTGCGCTAGACGCTACGCAGCCTACAAAGTCGCTATGCGGCTTTTATTTCTATTTCAAGAAAGACGCATTGTTTTTCTATTGTGCTGCTCCGGATGACTATGGAACTTTCGCAAAATCGATGTAATCTTATTCTGCATGCACCTTCTATAAAGGGCTTTCATGTCTCGCCCAACTTTAAAGTTAATGCTTTGGTACTTTGGTAAATAATTTTTTTTCCAAATATCTGGCGGACCCTATTTGATGGACCAAAAACCGTAAGTAGAAAATTGTAGCTCGCAACACAATTTGCGATACTGCCTAAATTATCTTATCTTATCTTTAAGGATTTTTTAGAATTTTTGCTCCAAAACGAAACACCCTGTGTGTAATTTAAAAAATATTCGAAGTAGAGGTTATATCCCTGCATCTTCCGCGTTTCCTGGTTCATGAATTTTTCCAATAGAGTAAATGTTTTTCGAGAAAATAATTCTTTTCTGAAATTGCAGTACGTCGTAATAGTGAATGACGTCATCGCGTCGAGATTGAGTGCGAGAAAAAGCGAATTTCATTTGGATTTTTTCAAATATCTCGAGCAACGTATGTGACAGACCAAAATCGTAAATTTAAAAATTGTAGCCCTATTTTCTACAAATTTAGATTTACGGTAAATAATTTACTCTGGAAAAGAACAATTTTCAAGGTCTCTCTATTATTGGAAAACGCTGTATATAATCGAAAAAAATGCTTATAGTACCGCATCTCCAGCGTCTTTTGGGTTCAAGAATTTTGCCGACCGGGTTAATGGTTTTCAGGAAAATATTTTTTTTCTCCCAGACAAAATAACCAAAAAAAAAAACTTCCCGATATTTGATAGCGCCGAGTTTCAACAGTTTAAATGTCAGTGTGAACTTCTACCTCTTTGCTAAATTTGAAGTAGATAAATTACTAATACAGCACGGAATAAATTGAACACCCTGTACAATAGGTGGATCTCTTGGTTAAAGAAATTTTTTGATTGCATAAACGGTTTTCGAGAAATGACTTTTTCCTTGGACCCTTGTAAACGCGATTTTCAATTTTTTTAAAATACTTCCCAACCACGCTACCCCTACCCCCAGTTTGTATAGCTTCCGTCACGACGCTAGGCTGCATAGCTGCATATATGTGCCAAATTTGAAGTCAATTGCTTCAAATTTCGGACACAGCGTGTTCCATAGCGATGTCCAAAAAACAGTCGAAAATTGAAAAAAAGGGTGGCCGCCGAGGTATGACAGTGGCCACTTCCACATATCTTGGGCATTCCGTAGATTGTTTGAAAGGGGCAAAATTTGGACCGTCTAGCTTAAACCGTTCGGAAATTATCTTCAATGGGGGTCAGCTACCTACCGTTATCGATTTTGAGAAAGCATTAAGGAGATTGATGAAATTAATCTATTTGCTCCAATCCAATTCAAGTAGTTCTTGCAGCAATGTGCAAGATTCTGTCGGAATTATTAAATTATGGGTTTAAATGATCTTTAAAAAACATAAATTCAAGTCATATAAATTTCATCTGGTGCAAAATTTACATTTTGGCGACGCACAGCGCCCAAGGAAGTTCTGCAATTGGTATTTACATAAAGTAAATTCTGAAAATAATTTTAAAAATTCCGTCCAACGACGCTCATTTCACGGATGCTGGTATATTGAATTGGCAAAATTCAAGATTTTGATGTCAAGAAAATCAGAATGTAACATTTCCACCGGAACGGTTTGGTTTTAATATTCCATGAAAACTGAGAAAAACAATGTGTATAATATCTTTGAAGGCATGGCGATGCGCTCTCGGAGAAACGTAACAATTTATATTTGCAATGAGACGGAGCCCCTGCTCACATTGCCCGAATTATAAGTGCATATCTTAACACTGCTTTACTCGGCCACTGGATTGGCACAAAAGGATCGATAAGATGGCCACCTAGGTCACTCTATTTATTGGTTTTGGATTTCTTCTTGCGGGGATATCTACAAAATAAAATTTATACCGTCCAGTACCAATCAACGGCAGAATTGAGCGATGTCACTGAAATAGCGTTAGAGAGGTACAAACACACGGTCATTTAATATTTTAAATGCAATAAGACAACAGTTGCGATGTAATTCCATAAACCATCAATATAAGTTTTTTTTTAATAATTAATTCAGTTCATTGTTTCATTGTTTTCTATTATTATTATATTAAGAGTATAAAAATGTGTATTTCTTTTAGGTTAAATTACCAAAATTGGTCTGTTTTAAATTAAATTGATAAATTTTTAAGTCATGTCATGGCTATCGAAAACGATTTTTTTTCTAAACTTAAATAATTAATACTAATACTAAAAAGCCACCGTAGAGTTTCATATATTTTTGAGATGCTCTTGACAAACTCCCAATGTATTATTCAAAAATACACAAAGTGACCTATTTAAAAATATATAATTTTGGTTTATATAGTTGCAGATAGAAGAAATCTGAGTATGCCATTTATTTCTGCTTCTGACATGTTTTAGAAGAACCAAGATACGTGGGGTGTCCCAAAATGCAAAGTTTCTTGAAACATCTCGTATATCAAAAATCAAAAGGGCTATGAAAATTTTGTTTGTGACATCGAAAAAATAGCACAGTGTCGAGAAAGCCGCATCCCTCTCTCTTTACTAATAAG